AAAGATATGCCAGAATTAAAATCAAAATTTTCAATAAAAAATAATATTTTATGTAATGTCTCGAAAGGATATTCAAGAACGGTAATTCCTAAAGTATTACGAGCTGAAATTTTGTCAGATATACATTCAATTCCGATGTCCGCACACCTTGGGTTCAGTCGTTGTTACAATAAATTAGTGTTGAAATTTTATTGGAAAACTATGAAAATAGATTTGTACAATTTTATTTCAGCATGTGATTCTTGTTTAAAATTTAAACCAAATTACGATAAAAGACCAGGAATGTTAATGAATATTCCTCCGGGAGATCGACCTTGGTTTTATGTATCTACAGATATTTTGGGGCCCTTTGCGACTTCAAAATCAGGCAATAAATACATAGTTAATTGTATTTGTATGTTTTCAAAATGGATGGAATGCAAAGCAATTCCTAATCAATCTTCTGAAGAAATTGCACGTTTCTTGGACGAAGTATTTTCACGACACACAGCTCCAAATTATTTATTGTCTGATAATGGAATGTCGTATGTTTCAAAATTGTTAGATACTCATACAAAATTATTTGGAGTCAAGCACAAATTTATAACCCCATATAATTCCAGAAGTAAGGGTCTATCAGAGCGACTAAATTTTATAATTAGTAGAATGATTTCTCACTTCGTAAATGAATATCATGACGATTGGGATAGTAAATTAGTCCAACTTCAAATGGCTTACAACACAACTACTCAAGAAAGTACTAAGCAATCTCCTTTTAAAATTATGAATGGAAGAGAACCAAATTTTTTATATGAATATAATCCTGATGATTCGAGTTCTATTCATTTAAAATATGAAGAATTACAGGCATTGCGAACTGATGTTTTACGCATTTTGAGAAAAGAACAATTGAGATATAAACTACGAGAAGATAAGTACAGAAAACCAGTCGAGTTTAACGTTGGAGACATAGTTAAATTAAAATATCCCAAGAAGACTAAACGAATCGGTCAATCAATTAAATTTATTCCAATATATCTGGGCGAATACGAAGTGATCGGAAAAATAAATGACCACAGTTACACTGTAAAATGTAAACAAACAAATAGAATAATTAAAGCAGGTGTAAATAGAATGCGTCTTGTAAAGGTATTTTTAATCGAAGACGATGAGGATGTCGAAAATTTTCAACAACTAAATCTGCTTATGAAAGAATTAGAAAATGTGGATAATATGATTTTCACATTAAAAAATTTGAATATAGAACCAATTACGGAATGTAAATTTAACACAATCCCATATCTTCCATTTGATATTTGTATCGGTAATTTCATGAACGAAGAGGAGGTTTTGAATTTTGTAAAAAAGGAACCGACAAGTTATTTATTAGTTTTAAATTCTTGTAAAGTATTTACATTTATTAAAATAAATACATCCCACGACTTAATTTCAAAATCATCTACTGAAATTGAGGGAAAGAAAATTACGCAGATGAATATTAATTCCCCTTTTTCGAAAGAGATAATTTTGCAATTAAAAAGCAAACTAAGTAAGACAAAACTACTAATTTTCGGATCTGATTTCGATATCTTGCAGTTTTTATGTAAATATGTAATTTTTATCTACACTGATATTCACTTATTCCCCGTTTTAACATTATTTTTGGCTTCGTGGTTGCAATATTTTAAATTTTCGTTTAAAGATTTGAGAGAAATTTCAAAAAATATCTTACATGAAATACGACAAACCTACGAAATACAAATCGAGCAAACTGAATCTGACGACGACGACGACGAAGAGACTACAGAACAGGCAGAACGAAGTCTAATAATAACTCCTTCCCGACGAACTAAACGAATCCGTTACACACCAGTTTGGCATAACGATTATGAATTTAACCTTTAAAATGACGAATTTAATCAGATTGGTAATCTTGTGCTTCGTAATAAACAATGTGAAAGCTGAAGTGCCAATTCAAGACTATTTTCTGAATATGGACAGAAAAGAAGTACCACTTATTTTGTGCAATGGTTTTAGCGAGGGAGTTTTATGGAGATTACACCTAAAATTGAATGCCCACTTTTTAACGTTACTAAACCTTCTAAAGTGATTGAGTTTACTTTTTGGTGGCAAGACATAACTAAACAATTAATATCAGCGTTTGAGTGCTACAAAGAGACAAATTACGACAGACGTAGTTTTTTCTTCTTTGGAACTTATAGTAGTGATAAATGGTCAACCAGGGAAGCCGTTTCTGTCCATGATTGCCACAACATGGTCTTCAAGGATAAAGCACCCAATGGACAACCTCTCAAAGCAATTGCAGATGGACATTTTTGGACAAATAACGAGCACACTGTCCCAGACTACTCTTGGCCGAAAACTACGGAAGTGTTAACGGTTAATTACCACTACACTGCCATGAAGATTAGTATTAACAATAAAGACGACACTATAATAACAATGACAAAAGTGACAGATTCATGTAAAGCTAATCAAGGGCACTGTACAACTTCAGAAGGAATTTTGATTTGGATACCAAGCCAAGTGGATTATTGTAGACTAGCTGAAGGTGAAACCACAAAATGTCTAATGACGGATACGAGAATTTCGTGTCCTGGTGTGAATTTAGCCATTTCTAACCCGTATTCAACTAGAGTCTGCAAAAGAACGGTAGGTTATTCAGATCAAGGACTACTGTTTACCCCGACTGAGAAAGGACAAGTTGAATTTTTAACCGTGGTCTCAGAGACGCTTAAAAGAGCGGTTCGTGGAACAGAGCGACTGAAAAGAAGTGAAATGCCAGAACTCCAAGAACCAAAGTTTAAAAGTTCCGAACAAATAAATGGAGAACTTCAATATTTATATGATGTGCTTCGAGATGATGTTACGTACGCGTTACAGACTATACATAGAGATACCTGTAGATCGCAGCAATTAGACCTCGAGATGTTGCGTGCTATGGCTGAAACAGGATCAACTTCAATAACAGTTCGTGCTCTTACCCGTGATGGACGCTACCGATCTACTCTACGTGGAAATTTATTAAGTGTGACAAAATGTGTTGAAATATGGGAATACATGTTTCTGAGGCAAACCAACTGTACTTTAGAGTATCCAGTAGTTTACATGTATCAACATGTTCAATCACAAGGCTGGCTACAGGGTCTCAGCCATGAGATTTTAGACAAACCAACATTTAGTGCATGCCCTCCGCCTTTGTGGCTTTTTGACATGGGATCACAAGTGATTCAACTATCCAACCATTCTCTTCCGGCCTCCAACATCCCATATCTACCGTCTCCAAGAGAAACCGATTCTCAATACATAATTAGAGATTTGGCATTTGATCAAGCAGGAGTTTATTCTGTATCAGACATATCAGGAGAATCAACATTAATTAATTTAATGCAGCAACTTCAACAAAAAACTAGAATTGACGAAATGATAAGGCTAAAACAAAACGGACAATCTTTTAATTCAGAGCAATTACGATTAGCTAGACTTTTATAAGATATTACATGGGATCCAATTTCTAAATACAAAAACACTGCAATATTCTTTATAACTTTATCAGCATTTCTTATATTGACTTTTTTTCTCATCACAAAAAATCGACATTTTATTGGACGAAAATTTCCTAAATTACGTAAAATATTCTTTCTCGGAAAATACTTTAATGACAAAAAATACGACTCGTATATTGAATTAGACACAACTGAAATGAAGAAAGACCCAACTTTTTTTGTAAAAAATAATTTTTTGTAAAAAATAAAAATTTAGATAATTTAAAGGTAAATCAAATCACTATTGAAACTAATGCTACCACTTCTAATGCTTCTGCTCCTTCTTACCCTTCGCGACAAGTCGCAAAAGAAATACATTACTTGAGAAAAATTGATTTTTAAACAAATTTATTTTTAATTGCAGCAAAGAAAAATATTGGGAGGATCTGAACAAATAAGAAGTTATTAACATAGTTTAGAGCCCTACTTAAGAATTAAAATTTTTAACTAATAATCTTCCTTAAAATAGATATAAATATACATTATTTTCAAATTTTACGAATTTTATTAATTTTAATATATTATAATACAAATTACTAATTTTAAGATTTCTTAAATTTTATTAACAATTAGTAAATTTTTTAAAGGATTTTAAAAATAACTCAACCAATTTAACTTAAATATTATTACTTGAATATTATTTTAAGAATATTACCATATGTCATCACATAAGAATTTTTCATTTTTCTATATACTTTTAGCCCAAAATAATAGTTCCGGTTCACCAGAAACTTTCTAATTTTCCAGCAGTTTATGTTCCACAAAATCATTACGTTGCACCACAACGTTTATTCACTTTCTTGCTAAAAAAGATATATTCTGCACAAAGTGAAATAGTTAAACTACACATATAGTTTAAGTTTACCTTAGTATAAAAAAAAAGTGAAAGTGGAAGATTCAAGTTAAAATAAATTGACATTAAAATAAATTAGTTTTTCAACATGTCAAAAGGAATCACATATAAAGAATATAAACTGAATAAAATAGCTAATCTTTCTAAAAAGGGAAAACCATCAGCCAGGACGCTAAGACGAAGAAAACTAACAAATAAAAATTGTAAATTAAAAAGACAACAAAGAGACTTCCAGTACCAACAAGTGGCAAGACCATTAATTCCTGTGAGCACAATGGAAGAAGAATTTATGTGTCCTCCTCCAAATGTAAAATCGCATCCTTCAAACCTGGAAACCTACCAGAAAATATGTAACAATTTTCCCAAAATAAAATTGGACATCCGTGCTCAAAATCAACCATTATCTCATGCACAAATGCAATATGTGACAAAAATTGGAAAGGACAATACTAAATTGAAACAAAGTGAACTTCAAAAAATAAACCCTCCTTTTGTCCCCAACTTTAAAAGTATTAACTGTAATTCAATTGCCATGACCAATCCTAAAGCTAGCAGAGAGCTATATACACGGAACTCACGAGAGATGAAGAAAAAATATCCGGATGACCTATCAAGACACCCTCCGTCGCGTCGCTTTGACTTCAAAAGGGGAGGTGGGAAGCATCATTTTACTAGATTTTTTACACAATATTTTCCACTTATTAATTTTTGATGCTATATTGATGACAGTTATATCAATGGAAATTGCGCGACAAGGTACCTCAAAAGGTCTTGGGATCCGTACCGTTTAAAAAGGTAACATTTTAAACCTATTATTTAGTACCACTTTCTTATAAAAACACGTAAATTCACTGCAATGACTGCACAAAACTTTAATTGTCTTGCAGATAACGGGAAGCTGCGATTATATTTTTGCCCTCACTGGAGAAGGAGAGCTGCACTATTTGGACGTGGATATCCCATCGTGTTCGTGTGGGTCGCCCATCATAAAGAGACTCTTCGAGGATCACAAAATTGAAGATATCGCGCCATCCTGTAGTGGAACTGAAGACGTCGTCGTTGTCGAGTTGAAGAATAGGACACGTTTTGTGTTTTCCTACTGTCATAAAGACGACCCCAACTGTTATCCATACCCGTTATTTAATATTCTTACATTGCCAAGAACTGATGCGTCAATGGAGGAACTTTATTTTCAATATGGTGAAATAAGTTACCGGACTATTTCGGCGCAAATTGAACCACCGCCACGACGCCGAGTGAGCGATGACATTTGCAACTTGTGGGAAAATAAGGTTGGTATAAAGTTAGATTATATTGCTTATAAAATTTATGGGGCGATTCACGTCAGCCTTCGTAAGTCCGTAATGACGTAAAATTACTAAACTTACGAACTTTTGACGAAACTTACGAAAAATTCTAAGATAATTTTTTCTTACGAAGTTATAAAATCTTACAAAGATGCATAAAAAGCATGTTTTTTGGTTCGTTCGTATGCTGATCTTCGTACATAAGTTTACGAAGGTTGACGCGAATTACCTCTATATTTGATTTATCTCTATCACAGAAACATGTCGACGTTACATTTTCCGTGGAGGGGAAGTCCATCACCGCGAACAAGTGTATTCTTGCCGGAAGAAGTGAATATTTCGAAATTATGTTTAGCAAAGAGTGGAACGAGGAGAAGGGAGGATCTTCGTGAGAACTTTTGACATAAGTATGAACTTATTTTTTTGCAAAGTTTAATTGTTTACGTGCAAATTTTGCAGGACGATTATGGTCAAGGATACAAGGCATGACATATTTGAAGCACTACTCTTCTACATTTACAGTGACAAGGTCAAATTCCAGGAGGACGAATATGAAAATATTTTTGGTACAATGTGCATTTATTTATTTTTCTGAATGGAAATAATATTTTTAAATTACAAAAGAACTGATCTATAGCCTTACTTATATTTTTAGACCTTATGAAATTAGCTGACTCTTACTGCGAAGTCAGTATTCGTCATGAATGCGAGAAAATTCTGATCAGCAACATCAACGAGGAAAATGCTTCCTTTTTTGCGAGGAACGCTTCCTCCGCGAACGCTTTAGTACGCAATATTAAGTACATATATTCAATTGATTAAGTTATATTTAGAATTTCGTGTCATTACAGACTTTGGAGGAGAAAGTTATCAAATTTATTGTGGATAATCAACTCCTCGCAGGCAATTCGTCGCCTCAGGAGATGATCGACTCGGTGGGATTGGACGCCTTCCAAAAAATCTCGGTATCCTTGCCTCATCAATAGTTTGTAATTTGTGAGGAATTATTACAATGGGAAAACGACCACATTATTATTTACCGATTATAATTTAAATACTTAATGAATTAATTACTTATGTATGCGGTAAAATTATTTTAAGATGAATTTCTGAAATCTGAAGAGTAAAATGGAACTATGAAATGAATGTAATCAACATTTGTACACTAATAAAAGAATGTGCATTAAATTGTGTTAGATTAGTAAATTTATTTATTGGATTTGTGTCTTTGCAAGTTCTGATAATACTGAGGGTGGGGCGTCCCCCTGATAACGTTTTTGACCTTTAATATCTTTGGCGCTATTAGAAATTTTGAATTGAAATTTTTAGAATTTGTTCACCTTATAGTCAGCATTATGGGTGCAAAATTTCAATTCGCTAGTGTACATGGCAGACCTTCCACTAACCCCAGAGTAAAACACTTATGATTTTTTTTGTTCCAGACATAAATTACCCTATGGAAGCACATGGGGCAGTTGTTGATAACCTAAAAATGTCAGGAAATAGCAAATTATGTGACCCCATGTCTGCAGTACACAATACAGTTTAAAGTTTGATAAAAACATTACTGTGTAGAGTTTCAGACCAAAAGTTATAACAGCCCCCAATGTGTCAAAATGTCGCTAATTTTTTCCAACTAACTCCATAACACGAAATTAAATATTTGCACTCCAAAATCTGTTTGTATTACCATCAGTAAGGTCTCCTCTAACTGCAAAAATAATAAACATGAAAATATTTCAACTATTGAGATTTATAAAATTCCATTTACCACAAAAAAAACTTTTCTCACGCTTTTTAAACAAATCCACCTGGTATGGAATGAGTTGAAAACATTTTGGGAGATTTATGAGTTGTTGATGAAAGCCACATAGATTCCACAAATTTTCATACCACCCAGATCAAATTCTATGAATAATTCGCAATTCCAGAGTGTTTTAAAAATATTCTGAAATTTAAAAAAAATCAGTTTTGGAAACTCTTTTAAACAGAAACATTTTTTCGTATCAATATATCTCTGGTGCTATTTACACTAGCGAATTGAAATTTTAGACCCATAATGCTGACTATAAGGTGAACAAATTCTAAAAATTTCAATTCAAAATTTCTAATAGCGCCAGAGATATTAATGATCAAAAACGTTATCAGGGGGACGCCCCATCCTCAGTAAACACTACCATTAAAATCCGTATGATCAGTTAAATTTTGAAAATTAGTTTTTTCATAAACCAGTTTCGCGAAATGTGCAAGTAATCCGGTAATCGTATATTTTGAATTTTAAAGCTTTTTTACAAATACAAAAGACAATATATGAAAATACAGTATGCACATCTAATCCTGCAGGTTGCAAAATACTGGCGGAAATCATGTGGTTAGAGAATAAAAAATCGAATTAAAACAAGATGGCAAATATGTATCGGAATTTGATGGACATGTGAATTTATTTCTGTTAAATAGCTGAAATACATACTCACTAATAATGAAAATGAGAGGTAACAAAAACCACAAATTAATATAATGAATTACTGCTGCGAATTTAATTAGGAAATTTAAAGGATCTAAATTAAATTACTCATTGCAAACCCATTCATTGCAAACTTCATTCATTACTCACTAAGTGGTTAATATGATATGTATTAATTAACAAATTTAATAAATATAAATTCAGATTAATGAGTAATTACTTCTCTAATTATCAATCATCCCCCTCAAACTCACCATCCATTCGTTCCGGACATTGGGAAATATTTCCGGCAGCCGGGCAGCTTGAAGATATAGCGTCTCAGGTTCAATATCATCCCTCAAAATAACAAAATTTTGCAGAGTTTTACAACTTTGTCCTACTTCATTGGGAAGCAGACTGTCAATAAGGTCGCTGTACGTGTCCCAAAAATCATCCTCATCATCCTCACCCATGTTTGGTGTCACGACGATGGAGCGAATCTCGGGAAGGTGGCGTCCATAGTCGATAACGTCGTCACGTGAACCCGGCAACGGAGGAAATGCGAGGCTTAATCGAGGCACGTTTTTGATAAAACAATACCAATTTCCGTCTTCTAAGAAATCGTCCTCTCCAAAGTGAATATCTAAACTTTTCAATTTAGGAAAACGTGGCATATTCATGAGGAAACGCGACTTTTTCTTCAGTTTATCCATGGAGACACGAAAACTCAGCAATTCCAGGGACGGGGCGAATTTCTTTAGCAGATCCTCAAAGTCGGGAAGATGTCGGTTTTTCAGAGGTATCGTCAACGTCATCTTGCTCAGTGGTTGGTTCAAATCGGCGAGAAAATTGATGCCATCCTCTGGTTTGCAAGTTAGAGTGATTTCCCTCAAATTTTTATACCGAGAAGTTCCCGTTGTTTGTAACTCCTGGACAAATCTTGACCCCAAAATATCCTCCCCAATAATAGAAATGGAGGTCACGTGTTTTACCGCGTCGGCCCAAGTTTTCATCCAGCTCGCGGTCAGTGTGTCCGGTCGTGCTTGGGAAGAGGAAAACATACTCTCACTCAATTCCAGAGATAACTTTTTCAATACTTTGAAACATAGGCCGGGCCGACTTGAAAATTCCTTTTCGGTGCCGTCAGAGTTGCAAAGTCTCATCTCAAAGTGGACACACAATTCTTCTAAGGTGTCTTCAAATCTAGAAACGGTATCGAGACGTAACCCGTAATCTTGATCGGAGAGGATGTCCCCCCGCAAGGACAAAGTCTTGACGAGATGTCCCCTTCTCGGCTTGAGAAACCAGTTGAGATCGATGACGAACTTAGCCCCAAAATTTTTCTGGTCATCCTCCTTGGCTGGTAGGTCAGGAAAGGTTATCTTCCAGTTTGGCCAACCCGAGACATTCCGCATTTCACCAATGTATGGAGAAAATTTCAGAGAAGGATTGAAAGTTTTCCAATCATCGACAAACTTTATGGCGCATTTCTTTTGCAGCACTGGAGTCACTTCTTCATCCCAGTGTCGACAAACTAGCCGAGCGTTCTTCAAGCTTCGCACGGAGAGATGGGACAGAACTTTGGAGAAAATCTGGAAATTAAGGGGAAAATTAGTTTTGCCGATGAGTTGGCTTTACTTAAATGCACCAAATATAACTAGTCAGAAACTTGAAAAATTCACTCCTAGATAAATTTTGAATGCGATGGTATAATAAATAGCAACGAAATCAAAAAATAAAAGTTGAAATTTCTTATGTCAGCTTGTCTACAATTAATTTCTGGTTCATCAAAAGTCTGGTTTCCATAAAATGTGTGTACTTTGTTTAAACTTAAACCATTGCATCCCCAAATTTATCCGCGAGTCCAAAATTGTTCAAAAGTTCAATTTTTCAAAGGTTGGTGATTGCATAAGACACCATTTTTTAATAAAATTAGAGGTGTAAAGTATTAAACAATTTCACATTTTGCTTACCAGTTGATTTCGATCCAACATGAAATTTAATTCTTTCGCATTGTCCGAGGCACAAGTTTTCCTACAGTATTCTAAAAGGTTACGGTACTCGCGTTTCTAAAATTACCACAAAATTAAAAATTATTCAAATTAGTTGATATGGTGTAATTTTGAAATTTATTTTTACCTCAAACGAAAAGATGGCAAGTCCACCAGAAATATCGTTGCGGCGCTTGATCATAGTGAATGTGTCGCCAAAATTTAGCGGCTTTTTTACTTCGTCATCCAGCTTTACGCCGTCTTTAAAAATTTCGTCTCCCTAAATTATTTTATTATTAGCAAAATATTTAATTATGAAGTAAGTTTAATACCTCCAACCTTTAACGCTTTGACCCAATACTCATGATCCTCGCATAAGATTTCCAGGCCAAAATTCCAGTTCCACGTGCCCAACTGGGTGCACGTGGTCCTGAAAAAGATGAAATCCCCCTGCGTCTCCCACGACGTGGCCAATGGTGTACTGTAATTAAATATTGAAATTTGCATTTAATTAATGACACCTGTATGAAATTACAGTTAATTAATTCGTATCTAATAATGTAACCTTTTTATGGTCAACGTAGGGCAAGACAACCGACCAATAATCAGCTTCCGTGTTAAATTTAGCTTTAAAAACACCATCCGGGGTTCGGATGAACCTGGCTGCCATTATTTCGATGACTCTGCAAGCGGAAATTATTAAATATGAATTATTATTATTATTAGTCGTTAATTTTAAAACAAGATTGATAAAATATTCAATTTTGTAAACCAAAACGTAAAAAGCAAGATTTTTTAAATAATAGAAAAATAGATAATTTAAATACTAGTAATACATAATGTATTACCTGTATTTAAATTATGCCGTGATAGTCAATTAAAATATTAATTATTTTTAACAAGTGTGAAAAGTGAGTATCATTTTGTCTACAAAATTATAAAAACTAACCCAATTAAAGTTTACCAGAATGGCCGATCTTGATGCCCTTTGGATATGTTGTAGTCCTAGGTGAGTCTAGCAAAAGTGAAGAAGGATTTCATTCCATGGCCCCATTTACGCCCGCCACACCCACTCAAAGGTGCGTAAAACACGAAAAATACCCTGTTTTCGTTCATTCAAAAAATCACCAAAAATCCAATTTTGGTCGGATTTTCACAATTTAAGCATTTTTGTGACCTTAGATAGTTGCTTTATCATATCCAATAGCAAACTCAACTTTTTTGAAATTTTGATTTTTTCGAAATCCACGAAATTTTCGAAAATATTCAAAAAATTCAAAAAATTGAAATTCATGTTAGATACGATAAACCAACTATCTGGGATCAAAAAGGTGCAAAAATTATCAAATTATCATTAAAAATGGATTTTTGGTGAATTTTTTAATGCGACCAGTTTGGCATGGGATTCCTCTTTGAGTGGGTGTGGCGGGCGCAAATGGGGCCATGGAATGAAATCCTTCTTCACTTTTGCTAGACTCACCTAGGACTACAACATACTCAAAGGGCATCGAAATCGGTGATTCTGTCGGTGAAGGGTTGTCCTCCTTAGTAAGTCGTTTGTTGATGTTTATGATTTTTTTCAAAAACAACTCAAAAGTTTTGAGTTCAAACTAATCAGCCGTAAGCGATGGAATTAAGTTAGTAAAAATTTACCAGTTTGAAAATACAGAACCTTCCTATCAATTTGACGGGGTCAAATTGGTAAAAACTTGTCAATTTTTTCTCACCTTGGCTTAAATTTTGAAATTTATTTAGCTCGTAACCTGCTCAATTTGCATCCTTGCCTGAAATAACTGAAGACTGCGGGCGACTTCAACGGACAAGAAAACTCGCCTGTCGCAATTTCCCCACGCAAAGGATTAAGTTAATCTGTTATCTAATCGTAAATCAATCTGATTAACTCATTCTTATGCAAATTATGCTCATAATATATTTGTATTACCAATAAATTTGGTAAAACATGCCATAGTTACCTTAATTTATGAAAACACATACGACAATCAAGAAATAAATGACCAATTTGATTTTATTCTCAATAATCCTCACAACTTATGCACAATAAATCAAGCTTAAATGATTTAAGCCCAGCTGAAGCCGAATCCGGTCCCGGTAACGCTGCTGTCGGACGTAAAGGTCACCAAGGCCAAGCCGGTTGGGAGACTGAACGGGGTGGGAAGCGAATTTCCGCAGAACCTATGACCGACAAGAAATTATTAGATACATATTTGTGCATTTCAATACATTTCCACAGTGTTAGAAATCTGGTAAAGTCCGGTAGATATTAATTTCTCGGTACTAAAGTTGCTACCGCTTGGTATTAAAATTATACCGGTCCGAAAAAATTTGCTACCGATATGATAAAACTTTTATACCGAGCTATTCGGTATTAAGTACTTATCAATACCACTTTGGCAGAGTCCTATCTCGATACCGCTTGGTACTATTTTAGTACCGGATTCCTAAGAGTGCATGAAGCCATACCTAGCAATCTGGGAGTACTGGTTATTGACCCAGGTCAACACGGAAACAGCGTCGTACGAGCAGGACGAATCATTTTCAACATCCATCCTGGTAAAGGTCAAGGTTCGAGCTCCCGCCGTTTCCGGGCTGACGATGAAGAGGGCATTTTCCGAATTTCCATACTGGCCACCCCCAACTGGGTAGCTGTACGAGCCGGTGGGCGTGGTGAGGGCGGCAAATCCGGAAAAGGCGGGGGGACCGCCGGCTAACCCGCTCGAGTACCAGTCCAGGCTGAACCCTTGGTTTGGACCAGTTCCAACGGTGAGCGTGACGAGGAAGAAGTTTCCAGAGAGGATGTAATCTTCCCCAACATTCACGCTAAGAAATTAATATTGAAAATTTCGTTTTAAAAGTTTTAATGTTTTGAAACTCTCACATTTCGACTTGGTTTCCTGGGGTTCCCGAATATGCGTTAAATTCGGTGAAGTAAATTCCCGATCCAAAGAGAAGCCCGGAAGAGACCAGGTTCACCCGGGTGCGGTCAAAGGTAGGTTTGACGACCCAGATGCAGGTTTGTCCGGCTGGGATGGTGGCGTCGAGTTGAAAATTAATTCGGGCCGAGCTGGCTTCAACCTCACCGCCGCAGGTGGTCACTGTTTTTGTAAATAATTGTGAAAAGTTAGGGGGAGAATGTAATGGGATAGTTAATTTTATTAATATGTACCAGTCTCGACAGGGGTGGGGTCCTCCTCTACAGGAACGGTCTCAATAACCCTCTGAATAACGACCTGAAGTCCAGCCCATACCTCTGCAAGATAAGAAAAAACTAATATTATTAGGGTACTGGGGTGAGATGACTTTTTTCTACGAACCGCGCGAATTTGGAATAATCTGTTCTGGCGGGAGAACAAAAGAATTTCCTCGCATTTCAATCGTGGCGGTGTACTTGATCCCATGATCCTTCGCCCAGTCGTCACTAGCTCCACCCACACCATCTAGAAAAATTGGAAACATAGTTTGTCACAAGATTTCCAAAAGAAGCAGCTCTAAAATCGTTCCATACATAGCAAATCAGCTCCCTGTCCAGTTTCGTAAATCGTTCCGGAAACAGCGCGCAACGCAGCGATCGCAGCTTGCCCCAAGCTCAACTAGAAGGAAATATGAGAATAAAATAAATAAAATCCAGTTTACCAGAAATCGACCAGTAAATACCTGTGCTGGGAAATCTGGGGGATAAACACCGCCAGTGTAACCCCATGGGAGGAGCCACATCTGATAAAATAATTACATCTTAAATTAGAGACTTCTCAATTTAACATTCCACACAAATATATTGGGGGTATTCAAGAAGAGTGCGTATGTTCGCATCGCAGTATAAAAAAAATTCTAACAAAATATCTAATTCAGTTCGCAATTTTTTTTTGCAAAATTTTGCCAAGTTCGCTAATGAATTTTCAAGCCAGTTTTTTGTGAACTTGCGAACTTTTTTTCTATAGAGTTACGAACTCGTAATGAATACCCCCACTATTATTTACATACGTTAGCATACGAATGAAGCGTCATGTAGGCCAGAAACTGTACTCCCGCTGCCTCTGACGCCAATACGAAATTTTCGATGGCTTGCGTCTCCGGCTCGGAGAATGGTCCCGTTCCGTGATAGATGTCAGAGCATGGATCCGGTGACGTGGACTCGCCACCTGTTAGGATTTTTTAAAGTGTGGAATTCTAATTCCCGCCATAATCTCAACTTACCCCACATGAAGCGGAAATTTCGGTTAGGGTCACATCCCATACAAGAACTGCCAGGATTCACGCTGCGAGTCTTCCTCCACATGCGATCGTTAGTGCGGGAGTATTCATACCCGTCGGCGTTGATCATGGGGATGACGTAGATGTCGACTTCCTCCAAAATCCCCGCATACGTGTCAGCGTTGGTGATAAGCTCGTTGATAATCCAAGTTCCGGTCGCCCCCGCGATCCATTCTCGCGCGTGGATGTTGGAATCAATGAGAATGGACTTTTTGGGCGGCCCGCCACTCGAAATCTTGACCACGTGGATGTCACGGCCCTCCGTCGTTTGTCCGATTACGGATACGGTGGCAATATTGGAGTTTATCGTGGTCAGAAAATCGAGAATCTGGTAAAAAAATAATATTTTTTTTGAACGCAAATTGATAATTTTTGAAAAAATTGTTTTTTATCAGTAAAAATATTATCTTACCGCTGCATAATTTGGGTACGAGACCCAATCGATTCTTCCAGAGAAAGCTCTTGTATTTGCTTCTCGTTCCTCTTCCACCAACCTAAAAAAAATGAGGATTAAGAATTTTAGGAAACTTTAAATTTTTCTGATTTGGGTTCCCCTCACTTTTCAACATCGTTAAATTTAATCGTGTAATTCATTCCGTGCTGTTCCAAAACCTCAACTAATTGTGCGATCTGCTCCGGCGCCGCCATGATGTCGGTCACTCCAAGGCCGTTGGGCGTGGTCCAGAAGTCATACTCGTCACTGAAGAAGAGCACTCTCAAAGCCTCCAACTGATCCCGGGTTGTGGTCAACGCGGAGAAAACTTTGTACCTGTGAGAGTATAAGGTATGCAAATTAATTACGTTATATTATGCTAAATTGTGAAGGTGATGGTAATGTAATTTTGTACACTGGAAGAAATCTAGTATGTATTGATTTCTCGGTATTAAACTTAGTACCGCTTGGTATTAAAAGTATGAATACCGGTCCGTAAGAATTCATGGTACATGGTATTGCCACTTTGATACAATCTTAATAATCGGGTGCTAATCGTCACCTCATGGAAAGATGTGCATATGTGACTTCACCGTGTGGTGATAATGTTTCGCACCCAATGGTGGTAAAATTAACACCAGCCAGTGACAACTTGTCACCATGCACACCGTTCCGTGACGATTAACACCTGGTTTTTAAGAGTGTAGACTAATATGAGTTCCGCTTGGTATTATTTTGATACCGGATTTCTAAGCATTTGGAGCTCACCCTTTGAAGTGCCGAAGTCCAGTTTCTCGTCCGGAGGAGAGGGCCACAAGGGCCAGCGCGAGGAAAATTGCTACCTTCATGGTGCCGGGATGAGCAGGGAGTGGTTGGTGCCACGTAAGAGGGTCCAGTTTATAAAAGAGTTATTTATGAATGTATGTATTATGTGGGCTGTATGGAATTTAAGAGAGATTAGATTGTTGTATTGTGCAACGTGATGGTTGACAGATGACATTATGTAACTACTGCGCAAATTTGGAATGCACAGGTGAACGTGAGCAACACAATACATAACTGGCACGACAAAGATATCGTATTTGATAAAAAGGAATCAGTTAAAATCAATTTGGCAGAACAATTTCTCGGATGCAAAAGTGGTCAAGGCAGATGACATGACATGGGTATTTCCAACCTTTATGTATGAATGGCTCGAGTAAAATACACGTGTTTCTTAAAAATGAACTAGATACACAGTTTGCAGACGCATCTCAAAAACGTGATTTGGGTTATTAATGCACATAACTTGCTAAAGAATGATGACTCCCTAAATTAAAACTGCATACGGTGAAGCTAGTCATTAAGTTTTCAACTTCATTGTGGCGTAATCTAACTTTGGTCAAGTTTATCCATTTATTAATTAATTGGTAGTTATCAATTGGCATTATGTATGTAGCCAATATACTGATTATTGGTAAATTCACATGCCAATATCAATATGTACATATTTATCTATCAACCTCGTGCACTATATGTGTTAACTCATAAATTCTGTTCTTTTCCACGCCAAGTCGAGTGGTTTGACCCATTCTAGTTTTTTCTGGAACTAAATTTGCGACGCATTCTTAGCTCAAGTAAAATATGAGCCACTTCATTGCAAACCTTATTACACCCGGATGTTTTATTAATATGCAAATGCATTTATTTCTGCCAGGACAAAAATCTTGACACTATGATTACCACGCGTGCGTGCATGTAATTAATTTAAAGATTGAATACTATAAATGTTTGTTATTTATCTATTAAAATTAAAATGCATTGCACTAATGAAGTTATTCGAAGTGAAGTTCGAAATAAAAAATTACCAATTATATTCCATGTTGGTGGGACAATCGGACAAAATTTAGCTCCATATGTATGTATATCTATCCACATATTTATTTGGTTTAAACGTAATCCACATTCCTTTCGATATTACTTATCAACTACATATGTACATAGCCAGCCCCGACCAATAGGAATATAATCTTGATTAGTGACATACATATTCTGCTTTTATGTCACGAGAGTAGGTTTACTGATAAAAATTCAGTTTGGAACGCAAACGACGACAGTAACCCCGCCGCATCTCAGGTTCACTAATCCCAAGATTGGTACCCTAATCGGACATTATGCTAAAGGTAAGGGTAAAGGAATACAAGAAATACGATTGTTGTTGAGTTTTCAGTCAAAATTCATGCAAAAAAGGAAACACATTGGTGCATGCATACATATGTTTGTACATAAATTATTGAATGTTAAGTATGTTAATGTTATGTATTTGTATATTTGTATATTTACTGAGACGGTGTACCTATATATCTATGAAGTAGCTTGTTGATTATGCACCTGAACCACGCCCTAATTACAGAATTTTGTAAACGCTGATGCGAACATGAGCAAGATGACAGACAAATTTACAAAAGTTAGACGATCTTCTTTAAGCTAAATGATTAAAATGTGTAGGTATTTTTTAGAGAAATTTTCCCTTACAATTGTTGTGTTTCCTTGAACAGGAGAAATTAGCAAATGGATGATCGGTTATACTTTCGTAGGATAAATCCTACTTATTAGTCGATTTTTTATGGCAAGCTAAATAGATTGAGCATGCAGGTAAAGCAGAACTGAATTGAATTACACCTCCTGAAGGACTTTATGTACAATTTTAACAACTCCAGTCTTTAAATTTCGAGGACTGCAGCAAAGCCCAAATTGTATGCAAATAGATAATAATAATTTTAGTATATGTGTGTACATATATAAATTGATTGCATATTATTTTTATTGCCTGAACATACTTATATTTACATACGCGACTGTCATTCTTTAAATAACAAACGGCCAGATTGGCAGATAATATAATATATGTAGTCCGTAAACCCAATTCATTTGCAGCCATCACACCGACGCACCTTTAATTAACGTAATAAGGTTTGTACACACTTAGAAACCTGGTATTAAATCATTACTGATGACTGATCGGAGTAGATAAGTGTGTATGTATGTACATGTATGACTATACCAGCACGGTAATAATACATAAGAATTACCTTTCATCAATGTCATTGTAATGCTAAATTTACTACCCAGTAAGGAGCTACTACAAATCCTAAATTCTGTATACATATTTATGTGTATCTAAATAACTCTACCGGATTCTTTATAGTGCACCAATTCATTTAATATGTGATTTCTTACAGCGTATGAAAGTTGTGTATATGTACGAAAAGGGTATAAGATACATACACTGTAAAGCATCCGGTAGATTCACATATGTACTCCGAGCTGGTGTTGATTTGGTAATGATTCTTTACCGGGTTGGTCATAGTTTGATTCTGAGTGGTACAGATTGCATTACCACCTCATTACTGCCCCGTAACGATCGATATTACCGATGCCGGTAGAGTCATATATGTACTCCGTTCGGTAATGATTCGTAATAATTCAATACCAGTTGCCTAAGAGTGTACGAATGGTTCCATTAATACTAAGCAGTCCACTGATTAATGGTTACTTGCTTTGCTTATGCATACATTTCTTGATTAGGACGATTATCGCAAGTATCTACGTAGGTGTTTTATTATTGATTTTCAAAAGGTATGTTCCGCATTGTTTCTGGCCAGAATTTTGATGAAATAACAAACTTCGGATACATTTAGGATCCTGTGATTTTTTTTAGATCTTTAGGTTAACATTAACACTAGCAATCAATCATCAAACTTTACCTCGACGGAAAAAATGTCAGATTTGCAAATTAAATATCGTAGTGTAATTTAATTTTTAACGCTGGAGGGGTAATCGGTGTCGCAGATTTATGATCGTATGCTTAAAATTTACAATGAAAACTGCTAAACACAAAACACAAATTCAATTGGGTCAATAATTTCAAATGATGGCGAAAAGAGGTCTCGGACAAAAAGCCGCTAGGACGCCCAAAATCTGTTTCTCCCACAGAAAGGCTCCGGAAACTAGAGGAACCAATAATGAGAGATCCGCGATTGAAACTGTCCTATTTAGCAGATGAGATGGGTGTTCCAAAACTAACAATTTGTTCCATGTTAACTGAAGACTTCGGTATGAAAATGGCTTCCTCCCGTTGTGTACTAAAATTGCTTTCGGCATCTCAAAAACAGGATCGAATCGACTTTTGGAATGAAAGTTTTGCCCTTTCAAATGAAACCTGGAACCTGATTCATATTTTAATAGTTGGATATGATACTTGGGTTTACTATTATGACCCGGAGACCAAATAATTCATACAATGGAAGCACGGGGGGTCGCCCCAGCCCACACTCTAAAGAAGATTGAGCTCAACCGGTTGAGTAAAACTATGTTGATCAAATTTTCCACAATTTCGAATTAAAGCAAAACTTCGAGAGTGCAATTTTTACACGGTTGAGTTGATTAATTTTCAGTTTACTCAATATTGGATAAAATTTGACTTCAGGTTGAGTAAAATAGAGTTTAATCAATTCTGGGTAGAAACCAGACCAAACTAGATTAAACATTGTCAATAAATGGTGTAAACTTTGCTCTATCGGCGGAGTTAAATTTTAGTCAACTTTTTGGTGTAATAGTCACACTTCAGGTGCACAAAGTCAACTCTCCCCACTGTACGTCTCCATCTTCCGCGTGGCTCAAGTGCCACAGTTGCTGTCTACCAGCAAAAGGAGAAACAACGAAAATAAATTATTTCTTTTTTTGAAAGTTTTTCGACGTGTCCAATAATGGAGCAAATTCTTCGAGATACTGGCCTGGAACAATATACGGATAAATTGAAAGGTAAATTGTAAATTCTTTTGATTAATTCATAGATTTGTATGTTTATAATTAAACTACATATACATAATTTTTTTTATAACTAATTATTTTTTGTGTAATTAATTATTTTTCAATAGAGAACGACGTTGACGATCTATTATTCTTTAAATTATTGGACGGTGCCGCTGGATCAACGGAGGAACGTTTGTTTGCCGAAATTATTCCATCAGTCGGTCACAGATTAAAAATAATAACTGCTGCTAGAGAGGTTAGTAGGTCAGGGTCAAACTTTGAGCAGATTACCCTTAATTTTAATTGTAGTATTTGTGCATTTAAGTTTAGTTCGTTCAAAGAGTATTGGCAGCATATTAAGGAATTCCATGAGATTAGAAAAGGAAAAGTTAGATTAAATTGTCCGTTGTGTTCAATGATTTTTACTGAATTAGACAATCTTCAAAAACATATTCACAGAAATGTTTGCTCAGTACATAGAAATGTTTCAGGATATTTTAATAATTCTGACACTCTAGAAAATAATACTAAACATAATGATAAGTGCAGTAGTGAAGAATTTTTTCCCCCAAATGTCATCTATGAAATTAATTTAGATTATAAATTAGCTTTTATAAAATCTTTGCAAATGTCTGGTGGAATTTCATTACTTAAATCAAATGAAATTTTATCTAATGCAAATTCTTTAGTCAACAGCATCATTGAAGTTGCAAAAGATTTTTCAAAAACTAGTTCTAATTCAGCTCAAATTTTAGTTAATTTAAATACGTTAAGGGACCCTTTTCCAAATAGTTCTTCCTCACAATATGAATTGGAGAAAATTTTAAAACAAAAATCTCTTTTAGTCGAACCAAAAGAAATAAAATTGGGTTCTCACTTTAAATTTGATAAAAATAAAGGACTGATGCAAGAAAAAGGAGACAACCTATATCTTTTTGAATTATCTAAAACATTGCCAATCATTCTTAAAAAGTATTCCAAAATCGCCGATAGTGTCAATGTAGGAATAAATCCGGAAATTTTGGAAAATTTTAAGTCAGGTGATCTGTTTAAAACTTTTAAAAATAATCCATTATGCTTACAAATTTATTATGATGATGTGGAAATTTGTAACCCGTTGGGAACAAAAGCAAAAATCCACAAACTGGCCTTATTTTATTTTGTAATTGCTAATTTTCCACCTCAATTAAATGCAAAGCTTGAAAATATTTTTCCGCTTGTGGTAGTCAAATCCAAATTTGTCAAAGAATATGGAATGAATTTAATTCTTGGACCATTAGTTGATGAATTAAATTCATTGCATGAAAGTTCACAAAAGATAGCTGTCCTTGCAAATAGCCAATTTAGTCACGTTCAAGTACTCCAGTTTTGTGGCGATAATCTTGGTTTGCATACTATTTTAGGATTTGTGGAAAGTTTTAACGCAAATTTTCGCTGTCGTTTTTGCAAAATGGAGAAGGAAAATACATACATATCTGTAGTAGCATCAATCCATAAGAGGCGCATTTTATCCCTATATGAAAATGATTTAGGCTTGGAAAATGTTAGTTTGACGGGGATTAGGGAAAGTTCAATTGTTAATGACATTAAGGGATTTCATGTCACTAATAATTTTGCTCCTGATATCATGCATGATATTTTAGAAGGAATCTGCATCACCGAACTGAAATTATTTTTGAAACATGTCATTAATAATGGTAGTTTATCTATAAGGCAGATTAATCACAGGCTCTCATCTTCATTTAAAAAGAATAGTCATGCAGTATCAAAATTGCCTGAAATCGATTCCAGTTTTGTTGACGGCGACAAAAAATCCTGCTTTTCTGCTTCCGAAATGAACCATTTTTTCTTAATATTTCCTGCAGTATTTGGTGATAAGTTTAGTAGGAATGATAAGCACTGGGATTTAATTATCATGCTTCGCCGCTTTATACGTATTTTAATGGCACCAAGAATAAATAGGGTTGGGGTTTCTTTGTTAAATAATTTAATTGCTGAGCATCACAGTGCATTTCTCAAACTGTCTCAATCTAAGTTAACCCCAAAGTTTCATCACTTATTGCATTATGCACAAGCTATAAGACAATTAGGGCCACTTAAGAATTATTGGTGTATGCGGTTTGAAGCCAAACACCGTCTTGCAAAAACAATTGGCAAGAATTGCTATAATTTCAGAAATATTGCAAAAACTGTTTCAAGAAGAATGGCACTGAATTTGGCATTTTCAATTGGATGCGAATTAGTTGGAGAAATAACTTATGGATCTGGTTCCAAAATTGCATTTAAAGATCTGAGAATATCGTTTGATTTTTCAAAACTTTCATTAAATGCATGTGACGAAATATTTTGCATGGACTCGGTCACAATTTGTGGTACGAAAATAAAACCTGAAAATTATTTTATTTTAAAAAATGAATCAACAAGTGTACAGTTTGTTCAAATTAGTCTGTGTTTTTTTCATAATGAGAGAACACATTTAGTAGTCAGGCAGGTGAAGTACGAGGAAAAGTTTAGGAATTCATATTTGTTCAAAATAGTTAGCTTTGAAAATCCTGTACTTATTGACCCTGAAAAAATTTATTTAGAGAGTCCCTTAGTCGTTGTTAATTGCTTGGACGATCCTCAGGGCCACGGTCTTATCTGCTGTCCAATAGAATTTGTGTAATTTGATTTTTTATGTAATTGTAGAAATATGTGTGTTCAGATGAGTTTGCGTATATTTTTAATTTAATTAGAATAACATTTATGTAAATATTTAGCTAGGCAAACAAACTTCCGAAACTTGCCAGCGTGCACCAAATGGTAACATGAATATTATGCTGGTAAAATTTTGGTTTTATTTAAATATGATTTCATTTATATCCATTTAAATGAAATAAGCTGTTTAAATTACAATTATATTTTCAGGGGGATGACAATTCCGTAAATTGCGGTCAGGAACCAGATAAAGAGGAGCACGTAGAAATTACTTTTGTCACGTTCAATCCGCTTTTTGTAGGAGCTAAAATTATATAAGTATTTTATTTGGAAGATTAATTTAAGACTTTTTTCTAAAGATCAATTCCTGACATTCTAATGTATGTGATTTTAGGATATTAAACAAATCATTTTAAATTCTGATGAAGACAAAGGAACTGCAAATGGAATGAATGTGCTTGAAGAAATATCGCGATCCAGCCTCCTCACCTCCGACACAAAAACTCTCATAAAGCGTCGTATTGTTAACTTTCTGGTGAAGAACTATTCATATCAGTAAGTTATACCTACATATAAACCGATAATTTGGAAGTAATAATTGATTTGTTGTGTTTTGTTTCTTTCAGTCCTTCAAAAGAAGTTAAAGAGAACTTGGCGAAATGTGTTGCAATGCAGCTATTTCAAAATCTTAATTGTGAGCAGCAAAAAAACATTGAGGTAAGAAATATTTATGCACTTTTATTATCAATGCCGAAATCTATTCTTTGGTTTTAGAATATGTTTTACCGAAAATCTGAGGTGAAAGAAAAAACGAAGAAAAAAAATTCGGCGTCAGGGCTCATTGAAGACAGGTTGAAACATTTGCGGAGAAAACGTAACGTCACTAAGCCTCGGAAACCTGAATCGTGTCTGGAGATTACTAGTATGTGAAATGTATATATTAAATGTACTTACTTATACTTACGTCATTTTATATTATTATTAAAAAATGATTTAATTTTTAAATTCAGAGCCATCAGAAGATGAAGAAGACAAGAAATCGTGGTTGCGTTATACTTCATCTCCACTAAATCAAGTTGCAGAATACATGGCGCAGACTTTTCGATTGAGATCAGAAGAGTTAAAGACAAATGATCTGTTGACTACCTTAAATGAATGGCCGCGACTAATTGATACTACTGGGATGGTAATTTTTCCAAAATAATTTAATTAACACGGACTTGCACATAATTACTTCCCTTAATAATAATACCTCCATTTTTAATTGTGTGTCAGATTGACCTAGATTTTTCCATTCGATATCCTGACAAAGGCGATATGATGCTGCACAAATGGACTTGTATTTCAAATCAAATTTGGAAATATGCAGTAAAAACGAGGGCGAATATTCATGGGGAAATTGGGATTTCCAAGAACGTAGAGGAATGGTCGAAGGGTATTAATTATTTTATCAATGACGTTTAATTAAACTAAGCGGTATTTTATAAATATTAATTATTATTAATTTACTTGTTCTTATAGACGAAATAAATTCCGGATCTTTACTATTGCTTCCGTATTTGTTTTCAAAATCTGCTTATACTCAAGATGGCAAAAAGAGACGAAGAATTACCGGAGCCCATTCTCCTGAATTCTTCGTACAGTTTTTTCAAGTCAGTTCCTTCTTTAAATTAATTTAAAAAATAAAATTATTTTTTCATAATAATATTAATTACTTTGTGTTTATTATAGAGAAATGAAGATCTTGAAGAATTTCGTTTAGCAGAATCCGTGAGAACGCAGCCATTTGTTATTTGTATAGGAAACTTGAAGTTTCTTGACATCCAACAAGCTTTCGTCATGGTGGAACGGCGCCTCATTGCTGCAGAGTCTTTCGTAAAAGCTGTGGATCTCTGTTTCAAGATCTTTTACGTCCTAGAACTTAAATTTCCCGAAGAGTGTAAGAGTGTTTGGGAGTTTTTCGACTGCACAGTTTTCCAAACTAACAAAGTTAGGTCGTCATCGTCTTCAGTCTTGTCGCTTTCGTCACAAATCACCATGGACGAAGGATTAAATGAAGATTGATTATTTAATTTTACTAATTAAAATAAGACGTACGGGTATTATGTACGGGTATTATTTTTATTTATTGTCAGTATTGTTAATACGCTTAATAAGTACAGTAATATAAGTAATATATTATTAATATCACTGTCATTATAAATTATAAATGTACTAGCTCTAGTAAACAACATAATAAATAATTATAAATTAAAGAGCATTCAATGATAAAGCAAAGAGCAAATTTTAGTAAGCATATGGAATAAACAATAATCATCAAAAGGTCAAAATTCGATCATACAAAAGTGCAATTATCATTCCTGAATGTGATAAAATTTGATTGGAACAAAGAGTAAATATTTAACAACTACTTTAGCAAAATTCGTCTATTTGATGGTGTAACTTTTGTGCTTTTATCGTAACAAAAATTCAACGACTTGAAGAGCACGCTTTGTCCAAAAGTTGAGTAAAACTTTTACTCAGCCTAGAGAAGTAAAATTTAACCGAAAGGTGAGTCATCCCCTTTTTTAACCCGGTGTTGTGTTAAGTTTGATCAAATTTGCGCAATACTTACTCAATTTTGTTTAGAGTGCATGAAAGCAAAAGTGCAAAAACCTGCCAAAAAATTGATGATTCCCATTTTCAAGGATATCAAAGGTCCCCTCCTTATAAAATTTATTGGTAAAAATACTATGATAAATGGGGCAACCTATGCAGGAATCCCGAAGGAGTTGTGTGCTCTGGTTGAAGAAAAACGTGGGGTCAAAAAAAAGAGTTGGTGCATTTTTAGCACGCCAAAGCCCCACCTCATACCTGGCATTTTGCGAGGGCTGCTGCAGACGGAAATCGCTTCACCTAGATAAACCACCTCCTGTACAGTCCAGACATGACCCCTGGTGATTATTATTCGTTTCGAAACTTAAAGAAAGACATCAGGGGGAAACGGTTTTCTGATGATAATAAAATCAAGTCGTAAATTTTGGCATATTTTCGAGGTAAATTTTGATGAGCTATTGCTAGTGATAATGTTAACCTATAGAACTGAAAAAAATCACAGCATCCTACATGTATTTGAAGTTTGTTATTTCATCAAAAGTTTGGTCAGAAACAGTGCGGAACATACCTTTTGAAAATCAATAATAAAACACCCACGTATATACAGTTGACAGTATATAGATACTTGATATAAAGCGGAAAATGTCAAGAATTACAGAACCGTGATATGTAACTAATTAATTCAAAGCTTATATAAGTACGTGCAAGCAATAAGGCATATGTATATGTAAATAAGTATGTACTTATAGTACCACCACTCATTTAACGCAATCCGCCTGGGCTCCTTCCTTCCAAGATGTACACATCATACCTGAAAATCATTAAATTCCATTTTCAAAGTTGCCAATTCGCAAAATGCGTACCCTTCGAGTTCGACACAAAGTTGGGGCGGATGATTTTAACTAAAAATATGCCCCACATTCGTATGTTTAGACTTCAAAGCGTGCTCTCCGTTGTTTACACGGGAGCCATGTTGGCCAATATTTGCTTCGGTTGGTTAACGTTGACCGAACGGTTGCAGGGATTCGTCTTTTTCTCGTTGTATTTCTTTTGCTCCATCCAAAAGTGGAATTGGAACCTGGATATTGCAGGGATTCAGGTGATTAACGCGTTCCTGGACTATGAGGATGAACTATTGGCGGGTAAGCCGATTGACACAAGTTTTTCAAAAAATAGAGTAATTGTGAAGAATTGAACTTTTTAGATAACGCGCCGCCACCACTATCACTGGGCGCCAAGATGATGCGGATTTTCATACCTGCCGGTGAAATCTCTCTACCTACCGTTGCTCTCCTGCAATTCCTACTACTCCGTTATGTCCCTTGTACGCCTCCATTCATCCTGTCGATGCAACCAAATTGCAAGAATAAGGCGGGATTTATTGTGGTACAACTGGGCGTACATATGTTCGAAGGATGGATGTTCTGGCATATGATGCTGGCCGGAGGGTGCTGGGTTATCTACGTCCTCTTCACCGGAATAGTCTCGATATTGAGCTACTTCAGCATTCTTAACAAGTATATTTTTATACAGAGTTAATTATTAACGTCCAATTGTATGAGGGTTATGAACTTGAATTTTTGTGTCTCAACTTTCCCTTCTTTCATGTATTCAAATGGAGGTGAGTCTCCATGCGTTTTTAACAAACTTGAGATTTTACTGCTTCAAAAAGTCGATTATCTTTAGGTTCACAAAGTCAGGGGGTTAAAATTTTGATTTTTTTCTTCCATGAGAAAATAGAAAAATAAAATACATACACATGTAAAAATAATTAATGTTCTCATTGGTTGGAAAAAAAATTATAACCGCTTGACTTCGTGACTCTAAAATGATCGACTTTTGGGAGCAATACAATCTTAATTTTGTAAAGATCCGAGCTTAACAGGTTTCAAAATGGCCATTTGAATAGATAAAAGAAGGGAAAGTTGAGACACAAAAATTAAATTTCGAAACCTGTATTAAAGAGAATGTTAAAAGTAATGTACATATTTGTAGATACAAATACCCCAATAGAAACCTTTGATATTTATGTACCATAGTGCTCATTTCTGTTCGAAAATATTGTAATAAAATTTAAATTATGAGTTGGCCTATTTTCCAGGAAAATTGAAGCCATCGAAACCAAGGCAGACTTGAACACGTGTATTCAATTCTATCAGCGGATTCAAATCTTGGAAAAATCCTTCAAATCTTGCCATCGATAATGCTATGCATCCCCGGAATCCAGATAATCACGTTGTATGTCACGCTAAATCATCACTCTGACATCGCGATGCCCGGATTCCTGGTCTTTCCCCTCATCGCCGTCAATTGCGGGATGAACAACGTACTGGCTTTTACGTTGGCATCGTTCGTCAACTCGGCGTCGGAAAAGGTGATGGAATCCTTGGCGAAGAAGGCGAGCGGATTGTCTGGGAAGAAATCATTGATTAAGCGACAAATCCGGGGCTGTTCCGTCCTCAAGGTGAAATTCGGATCGAACTTTATCGATCGTGGGACTCCACTAGTAGTGCAGACATTCTGCATCAATGAGACCGTATCACTCACATTGATCAAACAGGGAAAGACGGTTCATTAGGAGTTGCTGGTAAATATATTATGTAGATCGGTTTCAGCAGAAAATCAAGTAGTTAATTAATTTGATGGACATGTAATGTTTAAGGTTCTACTTATATAATGATGTATTGATTTGATGCGTAATGGATTTGTAATCTCACTCTACCCCAATTCAATTTCGTTAAGCTTACTTCGTATCAGAATCTGGTTAATCCGGGATTGAGGATTGAGATTGGGGATTAATTAATCCTTAATCATAATTCTCAAACCGTAATTCTTGACTTTTAATTCACATTCCACATTCCCAAGAAGTTTGAAAAAAATAATCCCTATTCCTACCTTGCTGTTGAGTTCGTGTTTTTGAGTTTTCATGAATTCCGAACTAATCATAAGTAAAGCACACTGGGTTTTAGCATGACACTTTATTTCGATTTTTAATTGGTTTCATCGGTATTTAATTGGGCTAGCTTACCTTAAACAAATATTTTACATATCAAAAACGTCGCCCATGTGTTGGACTATGTTATTTTTAGGAGACTAGTTACTACGTAACTAGTCGGAATATATGTAATAATATACGGAATATATGTAATAATTTTCTAAAACCCGGAGGACAACTAATGTCCCATTGGATATCCACTAACACTAGTTGCGGCAACCGTTTGTTAGGTTAGTAGTAAAAATCAAATAAAACCCTTACAAGCCCAGTAAACCTAATAAAAACCATATCCAAAACCATACCATACTAAAACCATAACCAAAAACCTGTCAAACGAAAACCCTGGATTTCGTCCGAACCTTGTTTATGTTTTAGATTAGATTTAAATACCTTATGGAATCCTATGCATAAATACTTTTTTGATAAGATATTTAAGGGGAGGACAATCTCTTGAATTATTAATATATTGCACAATTTAAAATATGTCAGTTTTACTCTTTGCTAGCAACGAACGAATGGTGCAATCTGTAACTCTTGACACAAAATTAAGAAAGTAATCTCTTTGAATTCCATCCCTAATAGTGTCCACGGACCCAATTATTTCTAGATTGATGGAATTTGGCAAAAGGGCTGTCAACACTTTTCTTCTATATTTATTCTTCTCATTGTATTGCATTCGATATAGAAACTCTTTCGATCCCGTTGCCGCCGTGGAGATAAAACTAACTGTGAACCATTCTATTAAAAATGTCGCACCAATACACGTGCAAGACCCAACAGTCAGGAAAATTGAAATTCCCTCCTTATCGACAATTTGTTTGATAAACACCCAAATTGCAATGCTGCAGTATATAACAAGATAGAAATGATGCATGCAAGTCGAAATGCACTCTCTGGCAAGTTCGGAGTGAATTTTACACATTATACCAATACTCTTGTACATTTTGATTCCTTCCTCGAAACACATTCCACCACGAAATTTTCCATCACACCTGTTGGGTATCAGGAATAGTGTCCATCCATGAACAAATGCAATTCCAAACGCCGTTACCACCATGTTACACCCCAAGCCCGCGAATAGTATCAAAGCCCCCATCCATGTAAAAAATCCAACCGCAAGCAATCCCGCATAGTGAAGGAACACACCAACTGGACCTGGCATGAAGTATCCTCGAATCCGAACGACAGTACCGAAAATTGGATTAGAGTCTGAAAAGCTGGCAAATAAAACTATGACCGGCATAAAATAGTCAAGCCAGAAGTAGATATTTTTTGCCTAACGGCTAATTTGCAACAATGAGGTGTGGATGTCGTCATCGATTGAGTAGTTTTCGGTGCAGCCTATATCAATATTGATAGGGTATCACTTTTTTCTCAGTGTTATTATATTCTAAGAATTTCTCAGTTTTGTGTACCTGTGAATTGTTTATCCAGATTTGATGTGGCCTCAGCAATCTGTATAAGTTTAGATGCTTCCGAGTACCTCATTAGTACCCAACTGTACGGCACAAATGTCCATATGGACAATGTAAAAAGATAGGCCAGGATTATTGTTTGTCTGTCGTGTAGACCTTCTTCCACGGAAACTTTGAAGCTTTGGAATACTAAAAGTGGTAGGATGGGAAAGGTAAAGGAGGCATACACCATTTGGAAAAGACGGTATCCCCGCCCATTCCTGAAGGTTGCCCGCTTCGTTTCCTCATCCCACGAAATGAAGCGTGCTGTATAAAATGAGCTTCGTTGTATGATGTGGACAATATTGCGAAAATGGAGGACGTACAAGTCTTTAAACATTGGAGAAGTCGAGATATTCCACAGAGTAGTGCGATGTTAAAGCTTGGGTAAGTTTTTGTATTGTCATATACAACCATTTACAGGGTGGTAAAACACGTACGGGTTTGCTATTTCTACCATAGACATAATTAAATTTCCGTTCGTCTAGACGATAAAAAATGTGATGCCGCCTTTTACGTGTTTAAAATATCAAGAAAAATAGCCTCTACATATTTTCTGGAGGTGAACTATTTACTTCAATCATTTTGTTATGGTATATAGATACGTAATTTAGAAGGTCAGCCTTATTAAAGCTTTAGCCGCATTTCAAAACCATTCAGATTAACTCAATATACTTATATTTATGCAACCAGAAACTCATTGTCCGCCCTCGATTAAAACCCACACTTCCTTTTCCATATTTTAAACACTACTTTTTAAAAGTTACCTGATTATGCAAATGCCTTGTCGGAGGCTTATTTTTCTTTATACGTGCAAAAGTCAACATCTTCCGATAATCTTATTCCCGGTATATTTTGCATGATATTCATTCGCTAATCAAATTAAGGAATTCAGTGATATTGAATCGAATTGATGAAAAATAGTTACTACTAAATGTATTTGTCGTTGAATCCTTTTAACGAAACGGGATACATCATGATGCCATATTGTGTTTCTAAGGTGACCTACTACTAGCATACTTTCCAGGCTTGGGCAAGATACTTTATTTTAAGATACAAGATACAAGATAAAGATACTTTTGGAAAAAATCCAAGATACTAGATAAAGATTAATACTTTATTCTCTGTTTTTGCCACAGATACTTAGATACTAAGTAAAAGATACTTTTTAATATTTGTAAAGATACAAGATACAAGATACAGAGCCTAAGTGAGTAGCTGCGGGATGGGTAGTTTCCCCAGGGCCGGGCCCCGAAGGGGCCGGGCCATTCGGACTGACTTACAAATTTGCATAAAAAATTAAAATTTCTTTTAATATACTCCGTGTCAAAAGTAACTTAACAGTTTTTAAACTCGTCTAATATTCGAATTACTTCGTACAGACTAAAAGGCAAAATTTAGCAGAAATCCTTACTGTTTGTAAGAGTTAGTAATGCCATTTATAGCTTCTATTACCCTTTTGTGTCCGGTTGAGCGAATTATTTTGGGAGCATGAGAATTACGCTTTTTTCACACTTTCTCCGCAACCAATTTCAAAATTTCATACAAGTTACTCTGAAACCTTCTAGTTTTTTTGGCTCCTGACCTGGACTAGAGTATTGTTGTATGCAGGCATAGCAAGACAGTTCAATCCCATGAGTTTGAGGGACATTTGGATGGTTGTTTTGATTGGGAGCATATTTAGTACATATTTTCCCCTCCAAATTTCTCGCCACAATTTTCGCATAATGACACATTGATAAGTCCGGCCAAAATAGGACATCTGCTTTTTTCTAATGCTTATTGATGAAGAGTAATAATCCTTTTTTTACAAACTCCTGTACGTACACGTTGTGGTCATAAACCCCCCGGATACCTGGGGTTCCAAAATATTCCCAAAGTCATACTTGCCTAGAACCATTGAAGTATTTTTCGGACATTTAGTTATTTTCTTTAATTTCTGTTCATAATCCACTTCATTATGATCTATTGCATGAAAAAGGACGCCTCCAGGAAATTGGGATGGGTCAAAAGTGACCTAGATTTCACCGTCAATGATCAGAAATTTCTCCATGCATTTTCTTGCATTTTTAGCCAACCAGTTTTCTTCCATTTTTCTTGATCATTCACATAATTCTGAAATTTCTTGTCTGTATGAGCAGTGAAACCTAGTTTATGGGCTTCAATTCGGAACACGCTAGAAGGATAAATTTCTAACTATTTACCTGAATTGATAATGGATTTGGGAGCATGCATTATGAAACATGTACAAACCCAATATACGCTTTTGGGATAGGATTTCACGGGGGTGTGGCCTTCAATATGTTTAGTATTTGCTTCAGCAGCTTCCTCATACATTTCAATAGTGTGGTAGAGTGTGAATTTTGAAGTCCTGTACAGTGGCGGGGCTAGGATATTTTCAGACGTTGGCACAAGAAAAAAGTTATGAAAAATTACAGTATGCAATTTATTTAATGTTACGATTTTTAATTTCAAATTCAAATTCAATTTTCCCAAGAACAGTTAGACATTTATGTCAAAATTATTTAGATTTCCTGCAAACATGCGCCCCAATTATTGTACGTTCTTCTCAAAATATGAAGGTGGAGTCGAAATTTTTTTATTTCAACCACCAAATAAGTATTTTGGACTCACGAGCACGACTTGAGTCCTTCTTGAATTTCTAGCGGTTGTTTTTGAATTGGGAGTGGTTCGGGGGATCCACAATTCGCTCGACAACTTCTAAAAATATTTTTTGACACCAAAGTTCACCCTCAGAGGAAAAAAATAACTTTTTCGACCAAATCCAACTTACGCCCAATAAAAAAAATCACAGAAGCACGATGGCGGATGCAATCAACGTTTTTGAAATTTTTATGGGTAGTCTGGACTGATGGTGTGCCAGCACGATCCTTTTGCTGTTTTATTTGGCCTCAATCACAAAAGTGTGCTTAGCTGATCGAAGCTGAGCAATTCCATTTTTCAAACGCGTACCGCATGATCAGCGACCTTCCGCTTAGTTTTACTTGGCGTACACTTATGTAACCATGATTTCTCCTCACAGCTTAAAGACATAAGTCCAAGGTTAAATTTAAGGGCCATGGTCGTAGTTTTACTTCATTCGTTCATCTGTGAAGGAATTTTTCTTTGGATCCGGCATGGATTCGGACAAATTCAGTTTTCCACGCAGCACTATGGGCCAAATTTAATAAATTTTAATCCGTCAAACTTCAAATTTTAGCATTTTTGACATTTGTCTGCGTAATTTGTCTCGGCACAATTTATGCACGAACGCATAATTTCATCTCATGAGAGGATAATTTTTTAACGAAACGAAATCGTTGTTCTGTGCAGTAAAATTATCTATTACTATTTGATCTGATCAAGACGATGTTGCTTAAAAAAATACTTAATGATATACATATTTTACTTCAACTTTGCCTCTAGAGTAAAATTCACATAAACCGTCAAAATCGAGTGTACAAACCCAATCCGTATCGTTTATATGAAATAATTTTTCCCCGGCAGCATGCCAAGAAATTTGGGAACGATTTTTCCCGGTGGTGGCCGCACCAAAAATGATGTCGGCGTCTTTGGCGCACCGGCGAAAATCGGCAGCGTGGAGCTCTGATCAGAATTTTTTATCCCCAGGGCCGGGCCTGGCTCGCTTAGCCACTGACAAGATAAGATAAAGTATCTTAGATATTCAACAAGATACAAGATACTTTTGATTTTTTTAGATTGAAAAAAGGTAAAATTTCATATTTTTTGCCATTTAGGCATCCCCAGTAAGATGAAAGTCTTACTTAAAAGTAAGACTCAAAATTGAGTAGTAAGGCATTGAAAAACACCTTCCACTAGCAAAAATAACACATATGTTTTTACAATTACTACCTCATAAATCATAAGAAAGGCGAACTTTAGATGTCGCGGGTAACATATTTTGCAAAAAGTATCTTGTATCTTAAAAAGTATCTTAGATACTTTCATCTTGGTGGAAAATATCAGATACAAGATACAAATACAAGATACTCATTGAGAATTTTTCAGATACAAGATACAAGATAAATACTTTGCTGGGGCGGCTGGAAGATACAAGATACAAGTAGTATCTTGTATCTTGTATCTAGTATCTTGTATCTTAAAGTATCTATCTTGCCCAAGCCTGATACTTTCCCATTTGGACGGTAAAAACCGTTTTTCCCACTTTTTTCCTACTTACCGTGGGAAAATATAGTTTCGGAAGGGAAAACGAAACCCTGTATGTAAAATATGATTTCTGATGAAATTTTTTAAGGTTAGTAATAATGCATTACTAATGAATATCCCTTACTATTATGTATGTAGATGTCTATGTATGTACATAATATGTACGTAACGTATGTACAACATATGTACACGCGTATACTCTTAATTTAGAAAACAAGAAGTCTATACATTGTTATGGAATTAAACCTCAAAATTAAATCAAAAACTTTATTTCAATGTCATTTTTGTAATAAAATACATAAACCCATGCTTAACCAACACAAAATATTTTACATATCACATACTTTTTCAAATTGTTTATTATACTTATTCTTCTCTAGCTTCCCCACCGGCACATCGCTTTCCGAAAATCTGTCCCCAAATGCTAGATAACCTTGTGGGGTCATAAGTCGGAGAAATTGGGAGTAGAGTCATCCATTTTGCCCTTGAAAGTGGGATTTATTCATTGTAGTAAATTTGAATATGAAGACGTATTCATATATTTCCTTACTTGTTAATGTACCCCATGACGAGTGGGATGTCATACGTGGGGTCACCACTTATCGTGGCGGCTTCCTCAGCCAATTTCCGCCTAGCTAAGCCACGTTCAGCGTCAGAGCCTAGAATTTAAAAAAAAACAATAATTCAACATTTCAAGATCCATTAACTGACTTTGAAATTCATCAATTTAATTTAGTATTTAATCGTAATTTGATAATTGGAAAGATAAATTGTTTGAACTAAAACAAACGTGAGTATTTATTTACCAGGAACGGTGTTATCTAAAATGAATCCAGTAATACCTCCGACAAACATTCCGGTGCTGCAAGTTTTTAACAATTTTAAAAATATTTCGAAATTTAATTCCATTGAGAAAACTGAACAGTTTGAAATGCATACCTTAATAAAATCTGGAATATACTATCCATATCGGCCGAACCAGTCTGAATTGCAGTCGGATTTGCTTGAGCCCATTCTGAGACTGCCTAAATTTTTAATTAGCAAAAATTAGAAAATTTTACAATCAAGTGAAATTTGTTCAGATCTCTGAAATTCTGCACTTTACTATCACTGTTAGAAATCTGGTATAGTCACGCAGGATTGATTTCTCGATATTAAAGTTGCTACCGCTTGTTATTAAAATTATTCCGGTCCATAAAAATTTGTTACTGATACGGGAAACTTTAACACCGAGCTATTGGTATTACTTATCAAAATCACTTTGGTAGAGTCATATTTATATGAATACCGCTTGGTATTATATTAATACTGGATTTCTAAGAGTGCATTTAATTGCCATTAAGTACTTACCAATCCCCCAAAAATTGCGAACGCCACGATGAAAATATTTCTACTTGATTCCAAGCAAATTTCGGACAGCGTTCCGATCGCGACGGCGACCACGAGGGGGAACGTGTAGCAAAATAAACCCCCCAAAATCGGGTCTGGAATTGAAATAAAAAGCGCCCCCACTTTTCCCACCATCCCGAAAAGAATCATGATTGCTCCAGCGGTCACAATGACGCGACGTGAAGCCACCTTCGTAATCCCGATGGTGCCAATATTCATGGCGTAGGAGGTCGATCCATTACCCGAGCCCCAAAATCCGCTCAAAACACAGCCCAAGCCTTCCATGAATATCCCGCGATTGATCGCGTGCGCGGGAGGAACTGAGGCTTCTGTTAATGTCAAAAAGTTTTAATGTTATGTAGTAACATATTCAGAATGTTATTTATGTGACTAGGAAAGATGTTTACGAATTAATGACAATTTTGAATTAAAATTGAGCTTGTAATTTCAAATTAATAGCAATTCACCAATTTAATTGAGCAAATAGTGTAAAATTGCTTCACAAACTTTTTAAGCTTGAAAAAAATTAACCTTGGAGTTTTACAGAGTTTACGCAGTTTACTATGCAGGTTATGTACGAATGCAATATTGAGGCAAATCACGCAGTCATTTCATTGGTAACTTGTAAAATCCGTAAGTTTTGTAAAAATAATTTTGCAAACTTTTACACAATAAAAGGACTCCCTTGATCTGACGATGAGGAAGTTTACAAAAATTTGTAAGCTGATTTTCTTTGGAAATATTTGTAAGGGTTTGTTTCGTAAGAATACAGAATTATGGATTTTGCAATGTTACAAAGACTATGAATTGACTCGTAGTGAATTGAATTCCTATAATTCTGCATCTTTTGGATAGCTATGTAATTTTCTAAACGACTTACTCGCCACAATTGCGCAAGCATAGTAATCTCCAATGGACTCGATTGTCGAAGTCATCACGCCGCACAGGACGCCAATCACAGCACCAATTGACACCGTCGGCCAGCCCCATTGAACTAAAGTCACCAGTGACATCATGTCATTAGCTTGTTTATGGACCTCGCTATACATATCTAGCAAGATTCATGATGTGTCTACCAATAAATCATGAACTTGAACTTACAGGGGTACGGAACCCTAAACCAAGGGGCTTGGTCCAGGATTTTAATTTTGTAATCCGTCCTCGCAGGGTCACCTTTGGGAAGAGCGTCGCTAACGGTGAGAATTGCAGTCACACCCCAAACAAGAATTAGGGCGAGGAGGACCTGTTGAAAAGTTATGTGCATAAATTTTCACAAATACCTTAACTATAATTATTCTTTATTTATACATATTATGTAAAATGTAAAACTTCAAATGACAATTCTTCACTCGGTCATTTGCAACTCAATAAACGTTGCAAAATTCATAAACTTGGAAGCCTTACATTTACGTGTGTCACACAATTTCGCAAATCCAACGTTTCAACGTACATATGTAACTTTGCTACTTTTGCATAGATTTGCGAAATTTCACAAAACTTAATTTTCAGAAAATCAGTAGATCTTCATTTTTAAATTTTTCTATGGGCTGATTTAGGAAATTATTTGTTGAGTAAGTCCCAATGCAAAATTATGCATTGGCATGAGTACTCCTAAAGTTTGTACAATACTTACAAAATTACATAACAAACTACATATTTACCATGCCAACTTACTGGATAAACTTGGAATAACGGGAACTTTTTACGTCGTCCTTCAGCATCCCTTTTCCCGAACGGTAACCACACCTTGATTTCTTTTAAGTGTTGCGAAAACAGTATCAAGAGTCCCAACATGCTAAAAATTCATTTTTATTACAAACTTATTTTCTTGTAACTTTTACATCAGTAATTAATTTCTTACGCGAATCCAACCGCAGGATTTTTTCCCATTTGCACCGTCACATTTTTAAACAATGACAGCCCAATCATCCCAATTGCTGGCGCTACGGTAAGCGGCGTTATAAATTTCGTCAAATATCCAATTACACCTAAAAATCAGTAAAAAAAATCAATTAAAAATTTCCAAATCACATTTAAATTTGTCACCAAATCAGTGATAAACCAAAATTAGTTTAGTCTCAAAGTCTGTAAAATTTATAGTTACAAACGTCCAGTAATAAGCTAATTTTGTACCGAGTTATCTACAAATTTAGTAAACTTTGCGACAAAATTTTACCAATTGACTTTTTCATAACTGGTAACAATTTGCTTTAACCAAATTCAGATTTTCAACACCACCCTGGTTACAATTTCTCACCAGACAACTTTCAGAAACACATCATTTATTTTTTTACCTACCCGTAAAAGCGAAGATCATTTCGAACAAGGCCGCGAAAATGATGGCGCCTTGGATTTCGCGCATTCTGACTTGCCACAACTCGCGGCGCTCGTCGTCCCCCATCCCGCTGATGACCGCGTCGTCTGGACACTTCCACTGGGGGAGGTTCATGATGGCGAGGGAGGGTAACAGGTAGGAGAACGAGCCACCCTGCACAATTGGGAGCCGGGTACCCAGCGTGGTTTGGAAAATGGTGATAATCCCCGACATGAAGACGAGGGTGGAAATGATGTTGGCCTTATCGGGGTCGTCGTCCAGCATGCAAAGAGCCGGCGCCAGGATGACCGGACACGCAACCGTAGCGCCAATCATTTCCAAATAATGCTGAAAACATTTGAATTTCTTTAAATGTTGCATAATTTAAGGTATTTATGTATAATATAAAATCGGAGATTTGTTGAGGAAATCCATGAATTCGTTGGCAACATTGCATACATAATCCGTTATTAACTCTGTAAACTTGCAAACTTTTTGCAAAAATTTACAAATATTTCCAAAGAAAAGTAGTTTTTATATGCTCAGACGAAAGGCGTCTATCTATTTAAAAAAAGTTTGTAAAATTATTTTATACAACTCGTAGCTTTGCAAGGACAGCTTGGTGAATTGTCTCATTGTTACGTAAATTATTCTTTAATGGTTTCATAATTTATGCAAATTAAGATGAACAGAATGTGCATAAATTTATCCCACCAATTAAAAAATAAGGTACTTCCGAAGTGGACCACCATGCTACCATGCACCATGAAAATCAACGAAAACCATGGGATAATTGTCTTAATTGTGCGTCTCTCGCTATAGAAACTTTGTGGCTTTACTTAATTGACTTAACAATTCGGGAGTCATTAAGATAATTAAAACCTGAATTGTGCATTGAAAACACAAAATCGCATACATCAATCAAATTCCTTTGTTTGTTCAAATGACGTATGAATGAGTGAATGAGTGAAACATCAAATATCATGTGCAATTTTTTCGCAAATTTTTCCAAATTTGCATAAACCTCTCATCACTATCATCATCGCTTATTCGTTTGTGTTCGAATGATGTATTGATGGATGAAATATAAAATGCATTCCTACATAGGTAAATACGCTTATCATGCATGTTTACACATGTGCAATTTTTCGCTATTTTTTGCAAATTTTGCCAAATTTACATAACCCTCCCAAATCCTGTTAATTACATATTCACCTGCAATCCCAGCGTTAAGCACATGTACCAAGGTGGCTTATCATCCATCGCGTATAACAACGGGTTTTCTAACTCCATCTTCTCCGATACCACCGACGCCGTCGTCGTGTTGTGGTTATTATGATTTTCATGCAGTTCCAACACTGCATGGTTCCCTTTATCTCGACCATTTCGCACTCCACGTGGTTCTGCTTCGTCCCCCTTGGATAAAAAAAATAACAAATTAAATTATTTTTTCGCAATTCGCAATTTTTTTGCGAATAATACATTATATGAAACTTATCAAGTATTTTGTCTTACAGCTCCCCTATACATGTCCCCATTACTCCCAGTGAACCCCCTGTTGTCCATGATCCAATGGTATCTGTACTAATTTAAAGGCACTTATGCAAATGTTGTGTAAGGTCCTGAACTCCAAACTATTTAAATTTGATCCTATTTTCGCAAAATTTTTCCAATTTCCACCATCACGCACAAACTGACAACGAAAGAAAACAATAGAATAACTTGACCTTAACAAAGATTGCAGTGAACTGGTTTACATAAGAATTCTGCTTTCGGTTACATACATACGACCAACTCTAGTTTTGGTTACATAACTCGGTTCAGATTAAGAATACATCACGTATCACAGCACCCACACGAATTACTTAAACTGACTGCACGCCACGGAATACATATTCAGGTACAAAACTTGCTTTATAAAATCCTTGTCAGAATGGAATTCAATCCAATCCTGTGAAAAAGTTGGTAAAGTAAAAAGTATTTTATTAACTGTGCTGATTGACGAGTTGGTAAGGCGGTTGCTGGTGTTTTATATATTTTAATGGCTAAATGAACTCGTTAAAAAATTACAGAAAGAATGTTTCGTTGCATGCATTCATAAAAAAAATCATGGAACAGGTTTCACAAGAATGGCATTTCATTTCATTTCATAACGCGTCTCGACTGTGGTGGGTATTTGTATTTAAGGGCGACGACAATTTTTGCACACAGTGTCAGCAAGGTGATTAAAATAATGAGGATAAAATACTATTAATGAGGAGGATAGTCTGCGTGTATTTGTTTGTTTAGTTTCATGGAAGAAGAAGTACTAGGGCATGACGGGCAAGGATGAGGATGCGTCTTAATTACGATATGATATCGTATTAAAGGATATGTACATACGAGTAGGTATGTGTAACCTTGTTTTGTTCGTATTTATGTGGCAATATGTGGCTGGAATTTGTGAGATTTATCCTTGTTTCAAGAATAAAATGGAGACAGGCAGGGTTCATGAAACCGTAGGTTGTGTTCTAAATACATACTTATTTACATATAATGCAAGATGTATTTATAAATACATAGGTACCTACATATATACGTATTGGGGAAGCTGTGCAAAAATGTTTACACTGTACAAATATATGCCAATTTGTAAATTGCAAAATTATTTTACAAATCGTGGTAATTTTATTATGCTATATTTTATTTTGGGCATACATATGTACTCAACCCACGTCGACTACTCACTTACTCATACGTAAGTACAATTAAGTAGAGCGGGTCTTATATATACCCGATCACTTTTTATTTCGGTATCAAAATGGTCAAAAACAAGTTTTGAAATCTGAAATTATTGTGGAATAAGGTAAATATATCTGGCTACGTGTCCCTAAAATGTCATAAGTTTTCCTCCAAAGCAAAATTTCCTAGACCATTTCAAAACGACTAAGTCGGGAAATAAGTTTTTGTAAGTCCCAAAACTTGCTTGACATTGTCTCGTTGAAGGCCTGACTACATTTTAACGAGAGGGATGTGGCCGTGCAAAAATTAGGACATACATAAAAAAGTATGGAGAATCCGAAAATGTCAACCCCAAATACGCAGGATGAGAAAAAATAATCATTTCGACTCCTCCGAAAATGAAAAACGAAAAATTTGTTTAAGAAAATTCTCCATCCACGTCGGTGCCTGATGCGGCATGCGGCCATGAAGTCAAAGATTAATACAAACCACTTGTATCATATTAAGGCCTATAAAATGGGGGTCAAAGCGTATGCAAAGAAATCTTCAGCAAAACAAAGGGGGACTGAAGAAAAAATAGTAGTCGCATGACCTCCCAAGCTTTACAACAAAATCTCACCAAAAAAGTTGATCACTGACGACGAGTCCTACCTTCTTAAAAACGTAACAGAAACTCCGGGAAGGCAATTTTTCATGGGAAATATATCTCCCAACTGAAAACCGTGCAGAAATTCAAATGTTTTCTCAAAAAACCTCAGGTTTGGTTGACGTTCGGGCAATTTGGGCACGTTTCCGACCCCTCAGTTAAAAAGGGCTGTGAGGAGGTACAAGTTTGTTTTCGGGAATGGTGGATAGACCGTCTGATTCCTTTCATCAAGGAGTATTATTAAATAGAAAATGTAATTTTTAGACCGACCTTGGACCATTCCACAATCCAACAACTATCAAGCAAGAAATAAAAAAAAATTCAGTTTGGCGTCCCTGGAATGGAATGGAAATGAAATGGAAACCCTACATATATCCCTCATCTTCGGTCAATAAAAAAATGTGACCTTTATGTAAGAAGCAATACTTCTAGCTTTGGGAAACAGTCGATACTTTAAGAAAATTTTGGTTCCGGTTGCAGAAAATTAACAATGAAGTTGCAAAGTTATCCAAAAAATCAGTAACGGCGGGTGTGAAGAAAAAAGTTAAATGCAAAGTGGATAATGGATTAAAGTCCTAATTGTTCCTGGATATGTTTGGCTAGATATATTTTTAGTATTTTACAGAAATTTGAGATTTCAAAACTTATTTTTGACAATTTTAAGGCCGCAGTTGCAAGTGATCGGGTATATATAAGACCCGCTCTATGTTCATACATATATGTAAATGAATATATGTGTGTTTTTCAGTAGATTTTGCAAAAAAAAATAATTAAAAAATAATGTCACTGATGATAATGTCACACATGCTATGCGACATTCATATGTATAAAAACTTACTACGAATGTATACATATTTATGTAACATGCACAACAGTTACTCATACACGCAGACACGCATGAATTAAATTAGACAGATACATCATTATTATTAAACACAAATATTTATTAATTCAAAACATTAGACATTACTATTATAACTTCCATTTTGTATAAAACCCTACAAACTAGTGTAAAACCTATGAAAATAATGCCCAATAATTCTGAACCTCCTCACAGCAAGCTTCCTCCACCCACTTGCTGCCCACCCGGCCCCATACTCTCCCCGACATAAGCTTCCGCCTGCTCCTGCATTTGATGCACCTGTCTCGCCTTGCAGTACCGCTTATGCGACGCCAAATGCGGCAACTCTGCACACCCTTTGCCACAATATTCGCAGCGAAACTGCAAATTTTTCTGCACCGGGGCGCCCCCAATTCCATCCAAACCTGCCCCATGGATCTTCTCATGCCGCACCAACTTCCTCTTGGAGGCGAAATCCTTCCCACAAGTTTTGCACACGAAGGGCCGCTCCCCCGTGTGCGACCTGACATGAATCGTCAACCGCTCCTTGAATCGGAACGTCTGGGGGCAGAAGTCGCAGGAAAATGGTTTTTCCCCCGTGTGAGCCCTCATATGAATTCTTTTATGACTCTCCTGTAGAAATCCGAGCCCACAAACTTCACACGAAATGGGATACTGTTTAAGGTGCACGGCTTTGTGATGATTTTTCAAATTGGTCGGATTTGTAAACGTCTTGTCGCACTGGGTACACTTGAAGGATTCCAAGTTCAGTTCGGGGTGCGTGGTTTGATGGTATTTGAGAAACGTGGGTTGTGAAAAGGACTGAGCGCAGATTTCGCACACGTAGTTCTTCTCTTTGGTGTGGGTGACGATGTGTGTGGCGAGACGGTGGGGGCGGAAGAAGCATTTTTCGCAGTAATCGCACTTGATGGGGGGCACGGTCCAGTGGTACTTTTCGATGTGGCGTTCCCGGAATAGGGTGGAGATGAAGGATTCGGAACAGTGGTCGCAGGCGAAGGGTTTTTCGCCCGTGTGGGTGCGACGGTGGATGGCGAGCTCGTTCCCGTTGCGGTACTTTTCTCCGCAGAATTCGCACACGTGTTTTTTCCCGTCTGGAAAAGAATGATGAAATTATTGAAGAATTTGGTAGGTAGCGAAATTATGGAAGGACAAAATTGTACCGTAAGTGCCACGTTTTTTGGGAGTAATTCCATGAGCGTCGAACCAATGGGATTTAAGGATTTTTTTGCGGGGGTAGACTTTATCGCAGTGTTCGCATGGATACTTTTTCCCACCTGCAATAAAAAGCAGTATACCATTAATTGATTTAGTTGTAACTTTGATATTTTGTGCAGCAATACAATTAGGGAGAAAGTTTTTGAATTAATAAATTTTCCACAATACTCGAAACTATGGAGCCCCATAGAACAAATTGTAAATTTTATGCCTAATTTAAAACAATCTATTATTTTGCAATATTTTTTCATGCATTGTTTCAGTTGTTGCAACTTTTATATCTTATTACTTCAATGAAATCAATCTAAAAATTAGTAATGTCAAAAGTTTCTGAATAAAATTTGTAAAGAGTTACGACTTATTTTGTGCAAAAATAAATATTCATCGGTATACTTTTTCTAAGCCTTTCATTTTCCTCCCAACCAGGTGCGTGTTTGTTTGTGAAGTGTTTGTCTCTTTGTTCTTCTGTCCTAAACATTCTGGGACAATCTATTTGCGTACAACTGATTGTATTTCGATTTTTGACTCTCTTTTCTTTCTTCATTCTTGGAAAGAGAAGTAGGTCATTGTTTTCTTCATCGCCACTGGATTTAGATTCTTCAGAGTCAGAAGAACTGCCATCTCCAGAAGAAAGTGGGTCAGCTACAAAGTCATCTTCTGATCCGGAATCCGAGTCTGGAAAAAAAATCAGGAAATTATTTATCTGCATTGGCGAACCAAGCTTTGTATTAATAACTGTGTAAAATTTAAAATGGAAACGTTGTAATTAGATAAATTTTTAGGAAACTAAAAATGTGCACAATTCTGTGACGCGATTTAGCTTGGGGATTTTTGTAAAGCTTTATAACTTGGAAATTTTTAGATAAATGCAATTTAATTTATAAAAATGACGTACGTACAAATTTAAAGTCAAATTATTTCAATCTGAGGCTTCGCAACGTTACATAAAATGGGGTTAATTTCACTTGTTTAAAAGTTACCAGATTGACAAAAATGTTGTCCACATTAAGGGAATTAGTTAATAGTGTGTTAACTAATTATACAAATTAGATGTAAATATTTCATTAATAGCTGGAGGGATTTTTGTAAACTTGAGAAGTTTACAAAGTTAATGCAATTACAAATTATTGTATTAATTCTATTTATGCAATAGTTGTAAAGTTCACAAAAAATGTGTCCAAACTTTACAACTATTGGATAACTATAATTAATACACGAATTTGTAACTGCATTAACTTTGCAAAGTTCTCAAGTTTACCGAAACCTCGAAGCTAATTATTTAAATATTTATGTATTTACTTAACATAATTTGTAAGGTCAGTTACATTAAATAAATCTCTTACATTGAATACAATTAAATAATTAATTATCATGTTTAATTAATCTCTTCTTACATTCCACTTCTAAAAGTTCTCTTTCATCCTTCACCCTTAACAAGTCTTTCTCTTCCCCCTCCTCCGGGTCACTTTCCACACCCATCAACAATTGCTTATAGTCCGGCCTATTAACTCGTCTTCCCGACTGGGTGCGGATCACGGTGGGGTCATCATCCTGATTAGTTTCCTTCTTGACATCCACACTCGCATCCGCCTCTGGCCCAATTTGCATGTCATCCTGTTCGGGAATGTTCTCGAGGAGGGACTTTATCGGCTTTTGCACACATCTCTTCTTCTTCGGGATGTACGATGACGTCGGACTGGTAGAGGCTCGTTTGGGCGTGATGCCTCCCTCCGTCTTGGACTTCCTGGGTTTTTCTGTACAATAATGATTGGTTGAATAAGCATTGGGTGTACTCATGACAGCATCGCAACTCAATTAGGAAATTTGCAAAGGTAACAAAATATGGGTCGTGAAATATGATTTTGCAAAGTTATCAACACCCTTGTCATATAATTTTGAATTTGTTTACATGGTTTGCAAAAAATTTCGAAATATAAATTTTGTGAATACAAGTCCTACAATTTTCTATCAAAAGTTTTGCGAAATCTAATTTAGCAAAAATTTTGTAAGTTATCTTGATTTGCGAAGGTTCTCCTGAGTACGCCCATTATAACCTAAATTATGGGTTTTAACAGAAAATGGCCCTACTTTTTGCACGTTTAGGCGGTGAACCTTTAAGATCCAAATCGTGCCAGCCTTGTGAAGGGAATATCATCACATCTGCTAAAAAGTCATCATTCTCCGCGTCCGACTCTGCTTCAGCCTTGACCAGGACTACATAGAAATTGGGTCATAATTTTATTTTAATATAAATCTCAAATTCAAATTAATCCACAACTTAACTAACTAACCTTCGTCACCAGGTAAGCATTCAAACTCTCTCTCTCTCCCTATGATGTCGGCCTTCTTTTTACTAATAACAACCGCAGTTCGGACACGATCGGATATTTCGAGTTCATTTAGTTTAGATATATCTATATCTGTAGGGTTCTTATCCTCTCCTTCTTTCCTGACCCAAGTGTCTTCTACTACGTCCAAAACCTATGTATCAACAAATTACCATTAAAAACGGATGATTAAAAACAATTAAAAACAATTATTAACTAACTCGTTTCCTATATCCGTCTAATTTTGATTGAAAAGCATCAATCTGTACGCGAAGTTCTCTCGCCTCGTCCACAATGATTGAGCACTCGTCACAAAAAGATATCCATGTCGATGGGGAGCCTTTGCTGTTGAATGAAATCAAAATTTCAAATTTATTTACATAAATTTCGCACATGTATTTGGCACATTTGCTTGCGAAACCTTTTCAACAAATCCGCCAGGACTAGGAGGCTTGCACCCTTGTTTCTGAAAATGTCCCCCCTTCGTGCCCCCAATTGGAGGAGAAATTCCTTTGGGAGCAAATCCGTGAGGAAAAAGACGACTGTTAAGTCCTCGTCAGGTGGAGGATCGCTACTTTTTCCCTTCACTTTCGCCGTGCAAATGACACATCCAGTCGTAGTAGTGGCTTCCTCCATTTCGGAAAACTAAAAAAATTTAAAATTATTATTTTTTTGATTACAAATTAAAATCAAAAGAAATCAAAAATATTGTTTACTTTGACGAGATGCTGGAAATCAGGTGAAGTTTGCGGGGTTTAGTGGACATGTGCAATGTGAAACTGGAAGTGATGATGCCATACGACCAGGGGCCGTGCAAGTGCGACATGGTCACGAAGATAAGGTATTTTGACTTATCTGCTAGTTTATGTGAGGGGATAACTGTAATTTTTGAGTGAGAGTACTGAATGTCAAGTTTTTGAAATTTATGCTCCCGTAACAATTATCGTTCCCATACTGGATTAAATTATTTGTGACGAATATTTCATGAAGAATTATGTATCGTAATTTTCAAAATTCGTAACTTTTTATTACACATCGAATAGACGAATTAATGTTAAAAATTTGTATCAAGAGTTAACAAATCATCACAAATTATTTAGTAAATTAGATAAAATTCATTGCATTTAAATATTCACATACATAAAGAATGACTCCAGTTTATTATTATTAAACTTATCATAATTTTGTACCCTTTCGTTATAAATGGCATTGATTGATCATTTGGTTTTCTAAATATTTAATAAGAACCCAACAATAAGCACGCTTTAATTCTCAGTTCATTTTAAAACTCATCCCTTGACCCTCACGTCTCATAAACTTTGACCTTCGTAGTAATCTGAGATCTGCAAATCGCACACACCTTCACGGTCCCGACGCATTTCGCACAATACGAATAATGTCCACATGGCAGCAACAAGTACTGTTTTTTCCGCTCGAGACAAATGACACATTCCTCCCCGACCCCGCCCGCCGCCCCGCCTTCTTCTTCTCCTCCTTCTTCCGGCGCCGTGGGAAGCTCACTCGTCGTTGTCGTCGTCACCTCATTTGCACCCTCACACTCCGAAATGTTCAACTTATTCGCAAACTCTGTCGAAGTTGACGCCATGGCTTCCTCTTCTTCAAAGAATTTCCCCTTCGTCACACCCCCCGGATGGGTGACTAGGTCGAGACAGGACGCACAGGGGCACCCACTTCCCCCCTGACCAATTCCACCACACCGTTCGCCACACTCGCCGCCACATCGACACTCCATCTTCCTCTTGCCGCAATAATATAGATCGCACCATTTCATCCCTACGACGCCGACGCCTTGTCCGACCCCTTTGCGACACAGGGCGCCATCCCGATTCACCCGAAGACCGACGAGGCCTATGCAGGAGTGACACGGACACCCGCTTAAGGGTCCACATTGACCGTCACAGGTCCCACAGCGACATTGCATCTTCCATTTTCCACAGTAGAATAGATTTTCTGGCGGCATCGTGGTGTCACCTCCATCGCCCAGGGCTCCCCCAGGTTTGGCCAGGTCACCGGACGAGTTAACCTTCCAGCCGAGTATGGCGACACAGTCGGAACAAGGACAGCCATCCGTGGGGCCGCAGAATTTGGTGGGGCAGCCGCCACATCGACATGGATTGAGGGGGAGGCCGCAATAGTAGAGGGAGGAGGCGGGTTGGCCAGTGTCACCGGTGGGGACAGGTCCAGTACCAAGTTTGGCTTTATGGCCGGATTTGTTGGTCGTTTTCTTGGGTAGTTTCGTGCTACTGGTGTGGGTCAACATTATTATTCCTGGGGGAGAAGACGGTTGGTGATTATCTGAGGAACAAAATATGTAATTCATTTTTCATCCGCAATTTTGGAAATTTTAAGAAGAGAAAGTATAATTATAATAGTAGTTCTTTAACCACTAATTAATGTCAAGTTGCAAAATTACGTTTAAGTTACAAGTTACAACTTGAACGCTAAAGTTATTGCTTTACCGGTTTTAAATATTAATGTGTAATAAGTTATTTAATACTAATGACAACTATGTACCGTTACTGGAATGGTACTTACGTTTATGATCCGTATTCCTTTTTAGATTTCAAATCTGGAATAAACAACAAATACAATTTAATTTACATAACTTAATAAATAATATGTAATAGTTACCTTTGAAATTAAGTCGTAATACGTAAGTTATATTTTTTACGAGAAAACTTACCAAAAATTGTACAAAATGAAATCGGAATGATTTGTTTGTTCACTAGGCTGGAGAAAGTATACAGTCTTTTACTTGCTAGTTTCCAGGGTTGGCCAAGATACTTTGTTTCAAAGATACAAGATACAAGATACAAAATATTTGAACGAAACCTTAAGATACAAGATACTAAATACAAATAATTAGAGTTACACAAGATACAAGATACAAGATAGATTTTATCTGCTGTGATCCCAGATACAAGATACAAGATATTTATTTGAAATAATTTTTTCAAGATACAAGATAAATTATTCGGAGCTTGCAAAAAACATGAAATAACGAAGCACAACTTGATTTTTTGTATTGTAGCCGAGTAACTTGTTAATAATGATAGTATAGACTCGTAACTTGCATTGTAATTTATAATGCAAGTCCTCACCCTCTGTTTACAATTTATAAACAAATATGAGGATTTCATCTGTGGTGACCCATACTGATTTTTTAAAATTATTCTATGGAGCTGAAATTATTCTTACCAGTATATTCAGTTGAAATTAGGAATAATTGCTCTAATGGTGGTACAAATTAGGAATATAATGCAAATTACAAAATTTGACCACGTGCGAGGGTTTATTTACTGTGGATAAATAAATATTACGACGTTATATAACAGAACCTTGCGTCCGAGGTTTTTAAATCTTCATAATTCCAAGTTTTAATACTACCAAATATGCAAGTTTCCCGGTTTTTCACTAAAAAAAGTATCTTGTATCTTGACTAGTATTTCAAATAAAATATGGTTGAAATAAATTCTCCAGATACAAGATACAAGATACAAAATACTTTTGCGAAACCTTCAGATACAAGATAAAAGATAAGATAAACTCCGTTACACAAGATACAAGATAAAAGATATATCTTGTATCTTGTATCTGATATCTTGTATCTTGTTAAATTATCTTGGCCAACCCTGCTAGTTTCCTTGTTTAATAAATATGTATACACTTAAAATTTTACTTTTAGTTTGGCTTTTGTCTGATAAATTTGTGTGATGAAGTCAGCTGAGGAGTTTATTTTACGTCAAACATCAAATCGTCACGTTGTTGGGCAGCAGCAGTAGTACGCATTAGTTCAATAGAGAGAAAGTGAGAAAGAAAGTGACTCACTCATCCTCAGCAACACGTGCACGTCTCTTTTTACCTATGACCAGAGGACGGATATGTATTTACACATTTGGCAACTTTTATGACAACCAACGGTCAAGCTTTGTGGGTGGGTCACCCTTCCTCAACTTTCATAAATCGCAAAAATTTGAACTTTTAAATATTTATAGATTTCCCGAAAAAACCAAGCATTATTTTCAAAGATTTCAATTTTGTGAAAATTATTATTTTTTTATAATTTTTTTATACATATCTTGGCATTTTTTCGTAAATATTGAATATGGTATATATTTATATTTCCGCCAGGATTTTTCGTAAATGCATAACCGACCTGTGCATTTATTACCCTACGCTGCAAATATACATCTAACGCTGTACAATATTGCCATTTGTATATGCGTTTAATTATCGTTAGTTACCATTAGTTGGATGAGTACAAGATGAGCAACTCTTCTAAATATATTATACACATGACGTCAAAGTCAAAGTATCAATAATGTTCTGTTTTAACGAAGGATTATTTCATGCATTACTAAATGCATTAGCCTGAACATGTACACGGAACCATGCAGTATTTTGCCGTGAAATTGACGCAATGTCATGTTCGTGAATAACTAGAAATATTAAAATACTGCAGTGGATACATAAATACCTAGGATAGCTTTTCTTTCACCGTGTTATGTATACATGCAAATGTATACAAATTTCATGTTTCAAGGTTATAATTTGTATCATACATACATATTTACATATGATGAACATAAGCATTTATAAAGTGCTTATACAGTGTTAATGGTCACATATAATTTTATGGATTAATCCATACTAAAACTAATTAGTTTTAAGCTAATCCTTATTTGCTCAAATGATTAATTTGAGCAATTACGACGGAAGCTTATGTATTTACATAAATTACGGACAAATTTATCAAAATTTCGTAACCGTTGTAACTTATTTTACGATATGGAGATTCTCCATTGGAGAATACTAAAGATATGAAGAAATAATGAATACCCTCTTTGTTTATGTATGTACCAATGTAAACGACTTATGTAGTTATGTATGTATGTACAGGGTGCATAAACTTTTTTGTTGTCCGTGGTTTCTCCTAAGGGGGTGATGCAAGCATGAATTTTTTTCAAAAAAATTAAAAGTTCGGGAATTGCATGCGATTTTGCCATGGAAATTCAACACAAAATCGCATGCAATTCCCGAACTTTTAATTTAAAAAAAAAATTCATCCTTGCATCACCCCCTTAGGAGAAACCACGGACAACAAAAAAGTTTATGCACCCTGATGTATGTAGTATGGTGTTTCAAAATGAATCACATCACAAATCTACATTCATATGTACAGAAGTACATCTGTATATATGTAGATATTTCCCATGAATTATGCTAGAACCAAAATAATAATGAATAATAAATAATCTCGACTTTCTAGTGTATAATTTCTTTGCGATAAAACTCGGTATTTATGACTTTTCCTGTTATTTTTATTATTAGTTTAACATGAACATTGCCACGATTAGGAGATCCATAAATTAATTACACAATTAATTAACTTCGATTGAACCGATTTCCCCACCCCCTTCGGTGTTCGTCCTTGTACTCGTCGAAATTCCGCTTTCTCTCCAGTTCCTCAGGATCATCACGTTCTTCCATCAAGTCTTTCATGCGACGCTCCAGTTCCGCATCCTCCTCAGGATTGCGGGCCGTTTGTGGCGTCGGAGGGGGCCCCCACTGCCCCTCTTGGCGTCGTTGTTCATACAATTCCTCCACCGTCATGATGGGCAGGGAGGGGTAGCCCATGCCATAAACGGTCTTTTGTGCCGCATCCTTCGTAATGATGAAGGGTTGCAGGGGTTTCGACGGAGGGGATGATGTCGACGACGAGACAAAATTGTCCGGATTTTCGTCATGACATTTTATCAAATCCAGCTCAGCTCGAATTGCTTCGAGTTGGTCTTCCGAGTCGAGAATGGCTCGTTTAATCAGGGCGAGATAAATTTCTTGGGAAAAACCGTCATCTTCCTGAAGTGGGGAGAAATACAATTTTATTAGAAATCGGATTTTTATACAAAAAAAAATCGAGGAAATTCATTCAGATGTTTGTAGCCCTAGTAAAATTTGGAATTGTTGCACAATTTTCAAAGATACAACATCTGAGCGAATTGCTTCGTAAAATAATTATTTAAAAAGATTAACGAGGCAATTCATGCATGCCTTGGTAACATTGTAAAAAATCCACAAATCTGTAAACTAATAAACTTTTACAAAAATTTGCAAGCAAAATTAGAGTACAAATTTTTGTAAACTTACTCAGGTCGCTCGGGCGTCCCTTCATTTTGTAAAGTTTGTAAAATTATTTAACATAACTTGGTGATTTTACTAGTTACCAAGGACTGCGTGAATGTAACTAACTGAAAAGTACGAATAATTCTCTAGAGCTTCTCCCAACTCCTTATTTTGCTTAAATTTCCGTATTTTTAGGGCTCGTCTTTCTTCCGGGGTCAATTTTTGGGTTGTTTTTTGGACATCATTTTCCTCATCCTGGTTGTCGTCATCACGTATTAAATGATCCGACGAGGTGATGATCTCATACTGGATGCACCGTTGAAGGAAATCTTTGAAATAAACGGAGCTAACTTGGCAAATATTTTTCCGGTCGTCACGCCCAACTTTAAATTGCCATAGGGAGGCGAGCATGTAGGGGAGGAGGAGGAATTTTAGTTTTCTGGGGTCAATTTCATTAAAGTTTTCGTTTCTGGAGAACATGTCGAGCGAGGAGACTTGAAGAGTAATGTGTTCCAATGTTTTTATACATGTGAGGATGAATTCCTGCAAAATGAGAGCAGCTAAAGTTAATAATTTTGAATTTAGTCAGTTAATGTATGTGCAGAATGATGCGACTTGCTTGAGAGGAAGGTGAATTGAGGTCGACGTGATCGACCAGTTTTTTGAAGTCGGCGTAAACCTCGTCAAACAGTTGGGACAATGTTTTAATGCCACTTTGTTCTTCTGTATTTGCCATATTTATCGTGATAAGTATATGTAAAATCTGTAATAATAAATAATTTATAATTATCAAAGTAAAATGAACTATTATGAACGCAGAAAATTTTACTTAAACAGCACCATTTTAAAATTTCATCCCAACTTGTGATAAGGTTGACACATTTAGATGTATCTACTTACCGTTAATACGTTTTAGTTAATTTGAGGAATTGAAATTAAGAACAACTTAGGAGGAGAGTACGCCAACCTGATAATGACAGATCTTGATGTCCTTTGGATATATGGTAGTACCCCCTCTGAAAGTAAAAAGTGTGAAGCGGTTTGATACCATGGCCCAATTTACGCCCGTCACACCCCTTTGAAGGCGCGCCCGATGCCAAACTAGCTGCACTAAAAAATTCGCCAAAAATCCAATTTTCTTCGGATTTTCATAATAGTTACATATTTATGATCCCAAATAGTTGCTTTGTCATATCATAATAGTTCAGATATCAATCTGAACTATTTTGGAATTTTGAATTTTTTTAAGCCATGCCCTTTTCAGGAAATATTCGAAAATATTGAAAATTTCTGAAAAGTTAATTTTGCAACTGAATATGATAAAGGGACTATCTGGGATCACAAATATATAATTATTATGAAAATCCGAACAAAATTGGATTTTTGGCGAATTTTTTAGTGCAGCTAGTTTGGCATCGGGCGTGCCTTCAAAGGGGTGTGACGGACGTAAATTTGGCCGTGGCATCAAACCGCTTCACACTTTTTACTTTCAGAGGGGGTACTACCATATATCCAAAGGACATCAAGATCTGTCATTATCAGGTTGGCGTACTCTCCTCCTTAGGAGGGGAGCTTGCGAGGTTGATAATAACAGATCCTGATGCCCTTTGGATATGTGGTAGGGTCCTATGAGTGTACTAAAACCCTGAAGTGGTTTGACTCCATAGCCACATTTGCGCCCGCCACACCCACTCAAAATGCCCAAAAAACGCTTTCACTCCAGGTTTCACTCATTCAAATCCACGCCAAAAATCCAATTTTACTCGGATTTTGAAATTTCTTTCACCATTACACTCCCAGATAGTTGCTTTCTTCAATCCAATGTCAAACTCAATTTTGATGATGATTATTTCGCAGGCATAATTTGCGTTGTGGATTACTACAACAATGCTCATTCAGAATTTTAAATTTTAAAAATACTAATAATTTCGAAAATATTGAGTTTGATATCGAATTGAAGAAAGCAACTATCTGGGAGTGTAATGGTGAAAGAAATTTCAAAATCCGAGCAAAATTGGATTTTTGGCGTGGATTTGAGTGAGTGAAAACCGGAGTGAAAGCGGTTTTTGAGCATTTTTGAGTGGGTGTGGCGGGCGCAAATGTGGCCATGGAGTCAAACCACTTCAGGGTTTTAGTACACTCATAGGACCTTACCACATATCCAAAGGGCATCAGGATCTGTTATTATCAACCTCGCAAGCTCCCCTCCTTAGTTGCATATAATAATATTTATAGAATTTTTTAAGTTTGAAGTTTATTTTGTTGTTTATTTTTGTCGATTTTTTGACTTCTTCTTCCCGGCATGCATTCCACTCTGCCCGAAAGATTCCTTTGTCAAGGTTTGCATTTCTGTAGAATCATGAAGACTAAATGACTCATTTCCGTTTTGCTATTTTTTGAAAATGTTAATAATTCTGGTAAAAAATGGGCAATACATTTATTTATATCGTAGCAAAATTTATACTAGAAATTGATTTTAAATTGGTATTGTACAAATTTGCATGCAAAATTGTCAAATAAGTCAAGAAAATACCTAAGTTATAACATAAAAATGTACATACACAAGCATTTGTACATATGTATTATAAAGAACGTCCGGGAATGAATGGGAATGGTCTGAAAATGTGGTCATAAAATCACAATTAGTTATCGGAATTTTAAACTTTTTGCATATGTATAATACCAAATACGTACCTACATAATTTAATTAATAGCTAAGGCCGCCACACCCCCGTTGGCGACTAGTTCGATTTTCTTGCGAAGATTTTTCATTAAATTTTTTCCCGAAGTTTTTGCCACTTCCGAGGTGATTTTCTTCCATCGTCCTTTGAATTTTCGAAAGGTGTCAGGCACATCTTGAAGCCGGGAGTATACTGACTTAGAACGTGCCCAGAATTTTTCGATTGGGCGGAGTTGGGGTACATTAGGTGGGTTGATATCTTTTGGTACGAAATCAATATTTTTCTTTCTGAGGTACTCGGTCACTTTCTTTGCATAGTGACAAGTGGCGAGGTCAGGCCAAAACAAAACTTTATCATTTTTGTGAAACCTATTAATAAATGCTTCCAATCCAGCCTTGACGCAATTTTTCAGATAAATATCTTGATTGATATTCCCTTCGAGAACTACCGGGTCTGATACATGTCCGTGACTGGAGAAGCATTGCCAAATGCAATATTTCTTTGGAAATTTGTCTTTTTTTCGTACTTTTTCTTCATAAGCGACTTCAGAGGGATCCGAGCTATGAAAAAAATGACGCCCTGGAAGATTTGAAGGGTCAACCGGAACATACGTTTCGTCATCCAGGATCACTACTTTTCCACGCATTTTCTTCAACAATTTTTGACATCAATCCTTGATCCGACTTTCTTGTACGGGCTTGTAATTTGGTGCAGGTTTTTTGGTCCTTGCTTTGATTCCTAGTTTATGGACCTTAATTTCCCCCACGTAGCTTTTGGAAATTTTGACTTTCCTGGCAGCTACAGCTACTGACGTTGATGGCTTGGTTTTGAAAATTTTTTCAATTCTATTTTTCACTCGAGTGGTCGCTAGCTTCGCCGGACGACCAGCTGGCTTCTTGAATTGCACATTTTCGGAATCCTTGAACTTTTTTATGTAGGAATACACATTTGAACTTGGAATTCCTTCCTGCTTAAAAAAGTTCCAGGTCACCTTGGAGTCTCGGTTGGCTGTCGTGTTGTAGAACTCCATCACTCGTTTTGCTAACAGCTCCCTTTCAAACAAGCTTCTTCTACCCTTATCCATTTTTGAAATTTAAGAGTGATATACCAAATTGACCCTAATGAAGTGGGCTTTCAGAAATTTAAATTATTATAGTTCGCGGGTTTATTGATTTGTCAATATACTCGCTAGAGCGCGCATTCCCATTCATTCCCGGACGTTCTTTACTTAAATACCTATTAAAATACTTGCATTTCGTCCTTTTCATATCCAAGTACATAGATATGTATGTACATATGGATGAACATGTTGATTATGGTTGTGATCTTAGCATCACCTTAACATTTGAGAACTGTAGTTCAATGGTTTGATTGATCCAGATCAATCTTGACATAAACGCATAATTATCATGTGCGAACATGTGTATGCAAATATGTACTTATTTATGTATCCAAAATTTGTATAATTACATATCTATTTAGTATGTGATTATCGGTTTGCAAAAAAATGCACAATTTATCTTATCTCTATAATTAATTGTATCGTAATTATCCAACTTAAACACAGTACTGTTCAAGTATTAGCACCTTGTAAGGTTTTACCTAAATGATACCTAAGTAGATAATAAATAATAAATTGGCTGTTGATTTTACACATTAGTTAACAAATTACCACCATACATGCAATGTTGAAATAGAGTATGTGTTAAAGTTCGGTCTACATATCGGCTCATCCATCCATGTCATGTGTAAATATATCAATGTAAAATTCTGCACTCGTTTGATTTTATCAGAATTGTTTAATCTTAAGGGAATATTTTAACAAAAGATTACACCTGATGTGATCCAACCTCAGGGTAGCTTACCTTGCCCTACACATTGGTGTGTGTCTTAAAAAGACATTGAAATTTAGGAATACTCGGGAACCTTAGTCGGGCCATCGCACATTGTCCAAAATGGCCAGATTTGAGGAAAAAAGTCCCCGAGCACTTTTCTCCTAATATTTTTGCATATTCTGAGCCCTAGGTGGCATAGGATGTGTTCATAAAAAATTCGACGAGCCACACCCACTTTGGGTGAGGTTCTTTCCTTGTGGGTTTATGGCCAATCGCCCAAACGAAATTTGTAGCCCAAGCGATTATACACTTTCAGTAAAAATTTCAACCAAATCGGTCCATAAACCAAAAAGTTATTAAGGGTAAAACTCTGGCGAAAGGCAAAAAAGGCCTACTTTGGGGGCGTGGTTCTCTGAAAGGGTAAGAAACTCCAGAAAGCATTGCAAATAGTGATCCCCAGGTAGATCTTCTCAATCCAAAAAGAACTGAGTTTCCATATCTGCCCCTTTCCAAGATATAAGGCCGGGAACATTGAAAAAAATCTTGGCGAAATTGTCCAAAACGGGCGAAATCAAACATGACGTAGAGCGATAAAATTTAATATCTAGCTTCAGCTGGTCCTAAAAAGTACGTCGCAGGTGAAATTGAGCCATGTCGTCATGGAACGATATCGACATGTCGAAATTTCGACATGACTGTATAGCGCTCAAATTCACAACGAATTTAATTTTTTCCAAAATTGGATGTCGACATGAAAAAAAAATTGTATGCGTTTGTGGAGAGGTAGGGGAGTATTTGTTTTGAATTTGAGCGCTATACAGTCATGTCGAAATTTCGACATGTCGATATCGTTCCATGACGACATGGCTCAATTTCACCTGCGACGTACTTTTTATGACCAGCTGAAGCTAGATATTAAATTTTATCGCTCTACGTCATGTTTGATTTCGCCCGTATTGGACAATTTCGCCAAGATTTTTTTCAATGTTCCCGGCCTTATATCTTGGAAAGGGGCAGATATGGAAACTCAGTTCTTTTTGGATTGAGAAGATCTACCTGGGGATCACTATTTGCAATGCTTTCTGGAGTTCTTTACTTGCCCCTCTCAGACAACCGCGCCCCCAAAGTAGGCCCTTTTTGCCTTTCGCCAAAGTTTTACCCTTAATAACTTTTTGGTTTATGGACCGATTTGGTTGAAATTTTTACTGAAAGTGTATAATCGCTTGGGCTACAAATTTCGTTTGGGCGATTGGCCATAAACCCACAAGGAAAGAACCTCACCCAAAGTGGGTGTGGCTCGTCGAATTTTTTATGAACACATCCTATGCCACCTAGGGCTCAGAATATGCAAAAATATTAGGAGAAAAGTGCTCGGGGACTTTTTTCCTCAAATCTGGCGATTTTGGACAATGTGCATCGAAGTCAATTTTATCACGATTCTTAAAAAGTCGGAGATATTTTGGTGACCATGTGGAAATTGAGTTACATATTTAGTCGGAATCGTTGTACAGATAATGCTTATCAACATATTTCCTAATATTCGAATTCCAAGTTTACATATGCGTTCATTTAAATTATAAAGATACAAATAAAATACACATCTGGGGACAAAACGCGTACTTAAATATTTGCATGCATTTGACTTTCTGAAATTAAACCAATTTTTCCTCGTCATCAGCTAGAAATTAACTACATATGCCTGCATATTTCTCACTTATCTCCATGTTCCACGCAATAGGTCAGAAAACTGTCACCCAATTTGTGCTTGATTAAAAAAAGCAAAGTGGAAAATAACTATGTAGGTTACCAATATTGGGAAGCTTCTTAAACTTATTGCAGACGTCGCCACACTTGTGAACAATAAGATCAAAGTAATAACAATAAAAGGAACTGAACCAGACTCAATGCAAAATCCAAGCAGTCGTCTTTCACAAGATGTTATATAAAACCACTTTTACCTTAAAAATAACCTTTACATCAGAATTTCAAAAATCATGTACCCAAAACAAACAAAAAATGCATCACTATTTCTTTACTTACGCAAAGTTACGCAACTAAATTTAAGGTACTTCTCCAAATATTTAATTAAGTACTTACTAACTCCTTAAATCCAATCAATCTTAACTAATCGTCACGCTTAAAAAGAGATTTAATAATAAAATTATACTCACAATTAAACAATCAGTTATCTCACAAACTTCCTCTGTGCACAACGTGTCATTCTTTTTTGCAATGGGTTTTTTTGCCAAGGAGGAAAAAACTCTGACCGAATATGTCTCCGATTTCGCCCTTTTTCTAATTTTGACCGGATTTTCGCTATATTCGCAAATTCTGACGGTCGTTTACACCATATTTTTTACCTACACGAAAAAAATGGTGGACGAGAAGTTGGCCGAGCTGGGGATCATTGTGGACGGCCCGAGCCCCACGGACATTCAGGTCATAAATGGAAGACGGTTTTACACCCGGGTCGCCATCGAGCGGAGCTACGGCTTGATGGAGGGTCGATTAGATGGAGATTGGGATATCGAGGACTTTCGGGGCTTTGTGAGTATCATTTTTTCGAGTCGGAGACATGCCGAGTTTGCACATCCGTTGGCCTGGATTTTCAAGGCGTTTAACCTTCAAACGAAAGCGAGAGCGTTTGAGGTGGGAAAATCGCATTATGATGATGGTGAGTGGATAAGAAATTTGTACGGGTTTTATTCGCTTGAAAAATTATCCGTCCGAAGTGAATCCGAGTTTTTCGGTTAAAAAATAGTCAAACCGAAACGAATGATTCTGACTCCGTTCGGATGGATACTTTATCCAAAGAAGGATACTGACTAAGAACTTTGGAGGGGGAAACGACGTTTCTGGAATGAAGTTAGGGCTGAATTTATATCTATGTATGTACATACATTCGTATTGCGTTGACTTGAGTATGCCCATTTTATGAAAATGTATGAAAAAAAGAAGACAAGATATTTTTCATGTTGGAAAAATTTTCCCAAATTTTCAAGTAATACATACTTATTTAGACATTTTTTACGCATTGTGCAAGTTAAATATTAGAAATTTGCTATCGTAATCACAAATTCTGGCACATTTTTTAACGCGAAAATAATTTAACAACCTACATAACTGCACATATGGAATATTGAAAATGAAACTTATTCAAATAATTATACTTTTAAAATCTATACATTTTTTCCCCTTCGAATTTTCAGCCAACCCCATCATCACCGCCATGATCGATTCTAACCTCCAATACACGTGCGGCTATTGGAAAACCGCTACAAATCTGGAGGACGCCCAAATCGCGAAAATGGACCTGATCGCCAAGAAACTCAACCTTTCTCCAGGAATGTCCGTGCTCGACATGGGCTGCGGCTATGGCACTTTGGGAATCTACCTCGCTAAAAACTACGGCGTTTCCATCGTCGGCTGCTCCGTTTCGCGGGAACAGATCAAATACGCGCAAAATTTAGCGAAAAAGGAAAACCTATCAAATTGCACCTTTCTGCTCACCGATTATCGCAACATGACCGGTTCCTTCGACCGAATCGTTTCCATCGGACTGTTTGAACATATCGGAGTCAAAAATTATGCAGATTTCTTCACCTTGTGTCAATCTCTGTTAAAAAATGATGGCATTTTTCTACTCCATACGATTGGAAACTTGCTAAATTCCCTAAACCCGAAAGATTTCTGGTTGCATAAGTACATCTTCCGGAATTCGTATTGTCCCCATTATCTCGAACTTTGTGGGGCCATCGAGGACAAGTGGGTGATCGAGGACTGGCAAAATTTGGGGTTTGACTATTCCAAAACGATTGACGCGTGGGAAGCAAAATTCGACCAGAGTTGGGGGCAGTTTGAGAAGAGGTATGGAAAAAGGTTTCACACCATGTGGAAATTGTATTTGCAGTCGAGCAGTGCACTGTTTGAGACGAGAAGTTTGCATTTGTGGCAGTTGGTTTTGAGCAAGGATGGGATTAAGGGTGGGTATCATGCTGCCCGGTAGGGGGAGGGGAAAAGTTGTCATTTAGGATGTGTTCAATTTTAGGTAAAAATGAGTAGCATATTTTTTAGAGTGGTTTCCAAGTGGTGGTTTAGGTTTTGAGTTTGAAGGAACGTACATAAATGATCGAATTGAATGTTTAGCTGGTCTGGATCATTTACTTTACCTGTTTTCATATGCTCACTAAAAAATACAACATTGATTTATGTAAATATGTTAATATTTATTTATGTATGTACATTTATCTTGTTAATAAATGAAAATCTTGAGTAGGATTCTTGCGTGAAAATCAAAATAAATAATGAGTGAAAAATAAATGAAAATCTTGCGTGTATGGATTACCTATGCATGAATACTTAGGATCCTTAGATAGACGCATATTAGGCATACATATTGGTACCCGTTTCCCATGGTCAATGCCAAAGTCCAATCTGAGTTTATTTCCTGGTGGCTTCCATAAAATTTCATGGAATACAATTCAAAGCTATTTTAGTATACTATTTTCTGGGAAACGAAATTTACTTGGGGGGAGCGCAGATGTGAAATGGTGTGGATTTGGGTGGGGTGGAATTATAAATGCCGGTAGGCACGCCGTCCTCTGTGTACTTGCATAGAGCATAGTCCCAACTATCCAAGCGATGCGAGGGAGTCATGCTTTGAGAAATTTAATGTGTCTAATCCTTTCACATGGAATAGCACATCCTTACAAGATCGCTCATACATATATGATCCTTTCATACCCTTTCAAAAATATTTTACCCCAGTGCCAGTATGTATGTATATACATTCTTCATGCATGTATGAATGCATATAAATGTTGATCTAGTTGTGGTACATACATATTTATCCAGTGTAAAAACCTACCTCCACTCATCCACACAACAAAATCGGTTGGCCTGCCAGGAAATAAAATTTGTTGAACGAATATCCCGAGATTTGCCGAAACTTTACTACCAAGGTAATTATAAAAAATATTTATGAATCGTGGTTAAAGTTTTCGTTAAGGCTACCACCTACATACATATTCCTACAAAATTGGATAAGGCTCATTTGGAGCGATTCAGCGACGATATGTGTAAAGTTTTTCATTATTTTAACATATTAGGATTCGGTCGGAAAGTAAAGAAACACTTGAAAAAGTATATTTATTTGTCTGAAAGAAAAATTGTCACTGAGTTGGAACGCGGTAGTTTTGTAGTCCATGCGATTGACTATCCAAATCAGACAACCGGAAGTCGATATCTCGATTAGTTCAAAAATGAGAACAAAAAATTCAGAGGAACTCGCAAAAAATTTTTGTCACTACTACGAAAAAGTGTGCGAGCGCGTCCGGATAATGGTTAATAGCCACTTCGAAAAAGAAAAAATTCATAATGGAGCAATTTGCAGAGTTTTAGATATGTATGAGGGGAGGAGGAATGCTGAATTCAAAAAATTAAAAAATGGTCCTGCTCGTGTAGCGACCCCCAAAGTGATACGTAGAGTTCAGAAGGAAAACAAAAATAACCTTGGGATATCAGATAGTAATTTGGGCTACAAATTGAAAATATCAAAATTAAGTTTACATGACATTAAACCTACGAAGTTGGGGGTCAAATCCAATAGGGCGACACCTGCACCAAAGTACAACCAAGGTCAGCAAAAATGAGCAAAGCCCAACTCTCGGCAGATTGTTGAAAAACGAGTCAAGCAAAACATGCCCGTGAATCTGGTCATGAATGATGAGACCAATTGCTCGAATGATCCAGATGAAGTCCCTGCGAGGAAGTACTACTCATGTACTAATAAGAAAACGTTTAAAGATTCCTTCAAATACACGCCGAAGTCAAAATTCCCCACAAAGCACATAATCGGGCAAGCATTGGACTCATTGGGGGACGTCTCAAAGCCGTTCGTGACCACAGCCACCATGACCTCGGAGAGATATTTGAACGATTGTGTAAAGAAGATCTTGATACCCTTTATCAATAATCGTAATGTACTTTTCTGACCGGGCACAGCAACGTGTCATTCTTCAAAAGTTGTTCTGGACTACCTGCAGTCGAAAAAAATCGATTTTGTTGCAAAAAAGGAATATGCTCCCTACGTCCCTCGGGCAAGACCAATTGAAAGATTTTGGGCATTATGCAAGAGAGAATATAGTTGTCGAACAAAACCACCCAAAAACTTGGTAAGATTCCGTCACATTTGGACACAAACCTCAAAAGAGGTAGCGAGAAAGAGTGGCAAAGCACTTTTGGGGACCGCGAGGCAAATAATTCGCCAGATAAGAAGGATGGGGGTCTATGGACCATATGAAGCAAAAAATTGAACGATAAGGACCTTGTTCTTAACCCTAAAAAGTGTCATTGGAATTAATTAAGTTTTCCGGATTTTACAGGCATTTTTCAAATGTTTCTTTACTTTCCGACCGAACCATATGTATCTAAAACAATCACCTATTTTCTAAAGATATGGATTTTCCCACCAACCCTCACCACCATTCAACCCCCCACTTGGGCGTATCCTTACCTGAGGTTTGCACTTCACAATTAATTACCTTCTCAAATTCATTCTAATCTAATTCACCAAATTATTACTATATGTATACAGATTCTCCGTAAGGTCATGACCTTCCTTCCGACCCCCGATCTGCTCACCTCCACCAAGGTCAACACCGCATGGTAAGGCGAAGCTAGAAATCATCTGCGATCTCGAATCACAGTTTTCATCACAGAGCCAATCTCAGAGTTGTTATACTTTATATATCATCCTTGCACCAGGTTTGAAAAGTATTTGCATACAACCCGCGTCCGATCCAACTATCACGAACGAGTCGTAGTGTACTGGAGTAGCAAATTGACCCGCCTCTTCCCACAACTTGAAGACTTAGCTGTCCAAGCGAAGGGAAAAGTGAGACATCTAGATCTATGCTTTTCCCTAAATTTGGGACCTGATTTGTATCACATTTTCAAAATTATCACAACATTTGGCAAGTCTTTGAAATCCTTGACATTAGTCTTGAGTGACAATGTAAACAAAATATCAAACAAAGATGGCAACTTACCCGAATTCCTTGCCTTGCTCTCCCGGGAAAATTTAATTCTACCTTCCATCACCAAGCTTGAGGTCGATACATACAATGTTGAAGATTATGAGAAATTTGTTTCCATTATTACCGCAATTTCACCCATATTCCCGAACGTGACTAACATCCACTTCACCATGATTGGGTGGAAACAACTAGAATTCTTGTTTGTCACGAAACCCCGCCAATTTCCCGCCTTGACCTCGTTTTCCTTTCAGAATGAGCCCGACGTGGACGAAATCCCGCTAATTCCCCCGCCTGAAATGTTTTTCGTAAATATCGTCAAGCTCGAATTCTCCGTCGAAGGATACCCCCCGCTCTGTCGGGTAGGTCCAAAGCTCCTCCAAATTTTAGCTCCCGTCCTGCAACACGTTCATATCACGGAGATAAGTAGCCCTCAAATTGTCCAGGTTCCAATAATGCCAAAACTCCGGGTTTTCAAGAGAAGTCGCCCCCCTGATAAGTGTAGCGGGAGCAGAATCGCATTACAATTCAAAACTGAAGATTCCTTAACAGGAGTAAAACTCAACTACAAGAAACAATTTCCCGTCTTGGCAAAAATTTCGATTAAGTGTGTAACCCAAGGTTATAAACGAGAAGACGACGAGGAGGACTTTTTCGAGGGGACGGTCCGGTTTTTGTATGATACTTTCATCCCGGGAAATATTTCGGTGTGCGAAACGTTATGCGAATTGGATGTCCCACTTCCGCCAGGGGATGAATTTAAGTTCCGGGGTATGAAATCTGGGAGGGATCGATGTTCCGGCGATATTCGGAATCCCGTCTGTAATTGTTACGAGTGGGTATGCTCGACTACATTTTTGGACCATTTGGCAGCCACGTTTCCAAATTTGCAATATGCATTTTTAGCCGAGAGTAAGAAGAAGGTTAGGTGTGACTTGGTGAAGAAGTGGGTTCAGATGGGGGTGGATTTGGGCTTGTTAGACAAATCGTATAGAGTTAGTGAGGATAAAGAGAGATAAACGGTGTAAAAATAATGGTAAAATATCCCGAGATGAAGAGGGTAAAAATTTCAAGCAGTTCGAACGAAATTCTTAAAATTACGTGGGGAGATTTCAGTGAAAATTCTTTGAGTGACATACATACATACAAATAAATAAATAAAAATTGCTACTTGTGTACCAAGATGTAATACATGTCTGCCCACACCTTGGTTCAATTTTGTTTAAGTTGCATTAGCTTAGCGTTACTTAGACAAAGCACACTCTGAACAATAATATTACCCTTTTGAAAAGTAAATAAATGCACCTTCAGTTCTACATATGTTTTGTAAACTAAATAAATACATTAGACCCAGAGGGAACGTTCATAAATAAAATAAGTAAGGCAAAATTGAGAATTTTTTACCTGTCCGTTCCCCCTCGTAACGGGTTACACCCTCGCTTTAGCATGTGGCGCAAGTTGACCTGTATGTATTTGTATTGCAATAAAACGACCTCTCCCTCCTGCTGTTACGTATTTTACGAACGTTCCCATACATGCATATGCACGCCCTGCATTTTGGTTATTTCGTCGAATTCTACTATACTTTTGGTATATAGATACCGCACATATATTTAAATACCTGCATGCATGCATTTGTACATATTGTAAATAACATTAACATATAGTATGTTAATTTGTGTACCACTTGACCACATAACTTACTTAAATATATCGCTCCTTTTAAATCAGGCACGATACACAAATATACAAATATATTTACATACGCATGGGAATTTGGGAATTCAACAGGTCCATACCTACCTTCATACATCCCTATGTACATATAATATTTTCGTTTAATGTACAATTGCGCAGGCACGTCACACTAAGGATGAGCGTATGTACATATATATATGCATGTCTATGTACATATTTACATACATACACATAATCTAGTGGAAATCATGACCTGAGAAATTTAATGTGTCTAAAAATCCTTTCAAACCCTTTCACAAATATTTTACCCGAGAATACAAAAAAGTGTACATATGTACATACATACATTCATTCATGTATGTAAATACATATGTATGCCTAGGATAAATGTTGATCTACTTGTTGTACATATTTAGTGTAAAAACCTACCTCCATCCATCGACATAAAAATCGGTTGCCCTGCTAGGAAATAAATTTTCGTTTCAAAACTAACCAGAAATTTGAAGAAAAGTTGCTACCAAGGTATTTCCATATAGAGACATTTGTATCCTGGTTAAAGCTTCCATTGGAGTCATCACCAACATACAAATTCCTACAAAATTGGATAAGGCTCCATTGGAACTCTCAGCAAAATTATTTCAATTTATTTATCAATTTCCATGCACAAATATGTATACGCGGTTGACATAAATACGTAAAATAATAATATTCATATTTTCTAAAGGTATGGATTTGTCCACCAGCACAACCCTTCACCACAATTCAACCCCCCACTTGGCCGTTTCCCTATCTGAGGTTTGCCTTTCACAATTAATTACCCACTTAAATTTACGCTAATTCACCAAATTATTTATGTATCACTCATTATTTCTTCGTATCTTAAAATAAGTTGCCATGGTTACGAGACTGTAGGCATGTTTAGATAAGCATCGTAAGATTTCGTCATTACAAATCAAGTTACTTAGCTCACTATTCATAGTGTGAATTTCATACGAAGCTTCACCCCTTGTTTTTTCTTATATACTATTTAAAAAGATATCAAGGACACGAAGAAATAATGAATATTTACCCTCACTATTTATTTACAGATTCTACGCAAGGTCATGACCTTTCTTCCCACGCCTGACCTCTTCACCTCCACCAGGGTCAACTCCACATGGGAAAACGAAGCTAGAAGTCATCTCCTCTCTCGAATCACAGTTTTCATCTCGGATCAAGCTAAAAATTTGCTATTCGGTCGTCCGAGCACCACGTTTCAAAAGTACCAGCAAACAACCCAGGTCCGATCCAAGTATCACGAACGGGTCGAATTGGACTGGCTCAAAGATAAAGATTTCACCCTGATTCTCCCCCAATTTGAAAACTTTGCTGTAGAAAATAAGGGAAAAGTGAGACATTTACAGCTCTACTTTCTTCCAAAATGGGGAATTAATTCGTACAAAATTTTCAAAATTTTCCCCATTTTTGGAAAATCTTTGACATCTTTGACCTTAACGTTCCACTATGAAAACTTACTCGAAGTCTTTGCCTCGCTCTCGCGGGAAAATTTAATCCTACCTTCGGTCACCAAGCTAAACTTCAATTCGGCAAGTTTTCTAGATCATGATACTTTTGCTACCATTATTTCTGCAATTTCGCCAATATTCCCGAACCTGACTCACCTCCACTTTCTGATGATGAGATGGAAACAACTAGAATTCATATTTGCCAAGAAACCCCACCATTTTTTTCCGAAATTGACCTCCTTTTCCTTTCTTTATGAACCCAACGAAGACGAACTCTCGCTAATTCCCCCGCCAGAAATGTTTATCTTAAATATCGCGAAGTTCCATTTCGCCGTCGCAAATTACCCCACGCGTCGTCAAATAGGTCCAAACCTACTCCGGATTTTAGCCCCCGTCCTGCAACACTTTCACATCACGGAAGTAGGTGACTCTGTTATCGTGCATATTCCGATGATGCCAAAACTCCGGGTTTTCAAGATAAGTCGACGCCCCTTTAAGTGCGGCTGGAGCAAGATGAGACTACACTTCGAAACGGAAGATCGCATCAGAGGAGTTAAGATCAATTATGAGAAACAATTTCCTCTCTTGGCAAGAATTTCGATGAAGTGTGTACCATTTTTTAAACGAGGGGACGATGAAGAAAACTTTTTTGAGGCGACGGTCCGGTTTTTGTATGATACTTTCAGCCCGGGAAATATCGCGGTGTGCGAAACGTTACGCGAATTAAATGTCCCGCTCCCGCCGGGGGACGAATTTAAGTTTCGGGGTATGAGATCTGGGAGGGATCGATGTTCCGGCGATGTACGGAATCCTGTCTGTAATTGTTACGAGTGGGAAAGCTCGACGACATTTTTGGACCACGTGGCAGCCACGTTTCCTAATTTGCAGTATGCATTTTTAGCCAAAAGTAAAGAGAAAGTTAGGTGTGACGCGGTGAGAAAGTGGGTCCAGATGGGGGTGGATTTGGGCTTATTGGATAAATCGTATCGAATTTGTGAGGGTGGTGACGATAAGGGGATGTAGAATAATAGTGTGGGTAAAATGTGCCGATATTAAGAGGGTTCAAATTTGGAACAGTTTAAACTGTCTAAAAAGTTTGTGGGAAGATTTTTGACAAACTTTTACTCCGTTTACTTATTTCGCCTAAAAATCAATAAGTGTGACACATCTTTCAATGAGTATGTATAAATAAATAATAATTGCTGGATTAAATAAATCATGCAATAATAATTAATTAAATAAATAATGTACATATGTACGTATAATCAAGACTTATGTACTTATGTGATAGGGACACTTATGTACGGCGCTGGTCGTTTAGCTTTTTCGAAATAAATCTATGTAAAATGAATTCATGGAAAGAACAATAAATATGTAGTATCAACACTTAGGATTAATGAATACATATTTAAACATCTACCCGTACATATCTATATTCTCACGTCATACATACATGTTCAATTTTGTGTAAATTACACTAACACTGCTGACAAAGCGCACTCTTAAAAATAAATTGTAAATCACGTATTTATTTTATGAACATTCCCATCGTAAACTTTACGCTTTATCAAACTTACGTTACTCTGGATTTAGTATACTTTATTTAATATAGAATACCGACTGCGTCATATTATTATCATTTTTAAGAGTGTGTACAACTATTTATCATTTTTTTAGTGTTATACCATCCGAAATTACTAATTTGTCCACCTCATTTACCAAAGAATCCCACGGATTCTTCAAAAGTTGTGGCATTCGACGCATGAAAGCTTTTTCGACGCCGACATGGGGACCTGACTCAAAATAATCCTGCTTAATTCCAAATTCATTCGATATGTTGACAAAGGTGTGAATTAATGCGGGCAGTGTTTCGGATGCCGGTTCGGATGTAGTGGGAACTTCTAATTTCGAAACAGGTTTCTTAAACAGAACAGATTTTTTGCAGCACTCCCTTTGTTCTCCGGTTTGTTGTTCCATGTGTGTCCTGTTTTCGTTAAGCTGTTCATTCCGAAGGTTATTGACACGTTGTTCACAAGTTTTCATCTGAAGTCGGTGCAAATGTTGGTGCATTTTATCAACTTGGTCATCGCTCAGGTTGAGGGGCAGACCTTGATGCAGGTGACTCACTTCCGTTATTGCGCTAAGTTGTGATAGCAACTGCGTAAAGGAACATTTTTTTATTTGTTATGGTTCGTTCAGAAAAGCTAGAAAAACTGCGAAACGACAATAATAAAATTGCTTTCTGTGAAAATTTCCAAATTTTTGATATGCACGCATGTTTTCTGGCTCATAATTTGGATACTGAATTTTTAGCATTTTACAGAGACAGATTTAAGATTATGTAAATGCGTAATATGGAAGAAAATATTTTCAAATAAAAAATTTGAAACGGATTAATAAATTTTGAAATTTGTTGCTGAAATTTGCCTTATCGTTTCGGAAACTTACCCTGGGAAACAGCATCTTTCCCTTGTCCCTTCCCTGCGTTGCATTTAAATATTTCTCCAATAATGCGGTGTAAAGTTCCTGTGCCGAATTGATTGCTGGTCTGTCATCAAAATCGGTACAATTTTCGTTTCCACCAGAGTCTGAGAACAATGCTATTGGGATGAGAAGCATGACACTTTCATCGTCGGGGGCAATGCTTCGAATTCTTTTGTACAAGTTGAAATACAGTTCCATCACGTGCTTTGGAATTACGGATATGAATTCGTCTTCCTGCAAGAATTAAAATATTTATTTGATAAACTTGTGTAAAAATCCAGTGGAGTCACATACCTACTGGGCCCAGGCTAAGTGTTAGTAGCTAATAACTTTAAAACCGCTGGAGATAATGAAAATCTGATAACTGCGTTAGATTCCTCGTGCGATTTTGCATAAATACCATAAGTCAGTTTTTAACTGTTTGCAAAGCATATCGACAGAGAAAATCTAGAAAGGACACGGGTGACGGTAATTTTTCACCAAAAAAATGGGAAGATAAATAGCGAATTTGAAAAATGTGATAGGAGTCAAACGTGCACTTGAATTTAGCCCAACTGACTATAAAAACCTTTGTTGGGACCGGATCGACTAAGAACAGTCGAAGAAAGATTTTTTGATAACCTCTAAGGACCACGCCCATCGTAAAGGCGCTGAAGCATAGAAACCAAGGAAATCAGCGAAATTCCAACGGAAAATAGCCTCAGAGCTGACCTTGTTGACGCAGATTATCCAATAGGTGCTCAAACTGAAGCTTAGGCTTAGGGCTTTAAAATGTAGTACTTTCCACCTCTGGATAATATCCAGAAAGAAAGCCCTACTAAAGAAATGAAGGGCTCTCCTCAAGCGGTACGCGCCAAAAAGGTGAAGAGGATTTTTTTTACAGATGAGGAAATTTTCACATCGGGAAAATATTTTAACAAACGAGTTGACCTGATCTAAGCAAAATCGGTCAAATATATCCTCTGATATAGACAAAAGGTCAAAAAGTCACATTAACTAGGTTTTGTGATGGGTTTGGCAGGTGGGAGCTAATTTGGGTAATTCCTGCACATTTTGTTGAAAATGGGGAGAAGGTGAAGGAATAAAATTTCTCAAAATATATTTTTAAGTCCGTAGTACATCCCTTAAGTGAGATCCTATTCAATGAATTCGATAGGACCTTGCAGCAGGACTCAGTACCAGTGCATAGGGCAAAAAATGATGTCAGCGTGGCTAAAAAATCAAATTCCGAACTTTATCTCCGCTTGGGAATTGTCATCCTCCTTGTTGGATTTGAATCTCTGGACTATGAAAAATGGTCAAAGTTATGGGCAAATGTGTGCTCTAACCCTCGTAGAAGCCTGAAAGCTGTAAAAAATTCTTTGACCACGAAATGGAACAATTAGGCTACGGATTCTGAGCGTGCTCCAATCGAGGGCTGTTGGCCGCGTCTTCAGCTCTGCATTAATGTTAGGGGTGGAAATTTCGAAAACCAAAAATTGTTTTCCACTTAGAAATTAACTGGGTTTCCATTAAAATTTACTAGAAATTTGTAACACATAAACTGTTGAAACTACAGCGTTTCAATCTACTAACACTTTACTTGGGCCACCTAGTATATACATACTCCGTGCTGATATCGATTTTGTAATAACTTTGGTTTGTTTCTGAGTGGTGAATTTTATGTATATTTCCTCAACATTAATAAACGGTATGTTCGTTATCACCGTGTCGACAGAGTCACATATATACTCCGATCAGTAATGATTTAATACCAGTTGTCTAATCGTAAGAATGTATGTACATACTTGCTTAATTCTCGCTTAAATACCGGCGACTTGAATAAGAGTAAAAGTAGTTTGCAGATAAATTGCTTTGTACGAATTTAAACAAGGTTGTCAACAATGTACATAATTAGAAGAGTTCAGTCTTTTTGGTAGAAAAAGTCACTTCCAAAAATTTATATTTTACGGTGGAAATAATTTCTAGCACGAGTGCAACAAATTCAAGAAATATGCCCCACTAAGCAGACGATTTCTTTCCGATTCGTGGCGTCAATTTCTCATATTTTTTGCAAGAAGTGCGAAAAGGTGCATGAAATCTAACATATATTTACCTGTACAACGAAGAAAAATGAAAACCAAGCTTACCGTGAGGACGGGTAATTTCTCAGGGAATTCGTCCGTGTACGAACCGAACTTGCGGTTCTCGATATCATACGTTATCACTTCTCTCAAAAGGAACATTTCCATGACCGATCGCCTCAACAAATTTGCTTGATCGTGCAAGCTAAGCTTTGCAAATTCGGGAAGCATCCTTGCAAAACATACGAACCTGAATATACAAAAAATACTGGTACTAATATTATAATAAGCAAACTATACTAAATTCAGTGCAACGTAATCTTGATCAGGATTTTAATCTGGATTGAGTAAAGGGAACGTCCATATATTACGTCATCAAAAAAGGTGGGTGGGTGGTTTTGGGTCGCCTACTTGTGTTAAACTAAATATGAGGAGTAGGATAGAGTAGGTAGCTGGTTTAATAATTGGCGTTTTTTGATGGCGTAATATATGGACGTTCCCACATTTTACTTAACTCAGAATTAAGAGTGCATTTACTTCGCAAAAGGTAACATTATTTTTAAGAGTGTATTTCTCTTTACCTTCTAATCGCCGTAGACAATAAGCCAATATCAATCAAAAAGATTTTAGTATAGCTCAAGACTTCATTTTCTTCTCGCGTTAGAAACGTGTAGGGAATTAATTCGCACGCCGTTTGATAGAATTTTGATAAATTTCCAATTTTTTCAACATCCTCATCGCTTAATACTGATAATTCAATCTTGAAAATGTTTGTCGGGTTTCTTTGCTGTTTAAGCTCTTGTGCTTTTTGATACTCCTTCCACACCCAAACCGGCGACATTCCAATGCTTACGCATTTAAAGAATCGACACGTTTTACACTTTTTTCTCGTAACTTTGTTAATTGTGCAATTTTTTGCAAATTTGCAATTTTTCTTAAGATGTCGGAATGACGTAGGATTCTCGACCTTGTTGATGACAAAATAATGAAAAAACGACCGGCAAGAATTGCAAGAAATGCCTCCGTAATTTTGAGCTTTTGCTTTCTCCCCACAGACGCCACATGGCTGAAAGGAAATACAAATAAAAATCTGTTCAGAAATTAATTGAGCAAATTTGTACCATATTTTTTCGAGGAATTCGTCCCCCGAATTTTTTAGATTTTTTGGACACCGGTTTCTTAGTTTTGGAATCATTGCGAGATTTTCGTTTAATTTTGTATTTAACTTTAACCATTGTGTAAAAACAATTGAATTTAGAAATCGATAATTGTGCATATGTGTTGGACGTGCCAATTGACCTGATACACTGACGCAATGTAGCGAAATAAGTATGACAAATTTGTCTGCAAATCTACGTCAAAATGTAGACTGGCAGCTGGGGTTGAGTTGAGACCTTGGATAGTGAATGAGCGTACGTATGTACAAACATATAACAACGATTATCACTTAACTGATATCTCGTACAAAAAATTACGTATGTAACAGATCATATTTATGTATGTACAAATACACGCAATACAGGAGAGAAGAAGTGTCTAACTTTATTTGGTTTGTATAGTTAAGCAGCTTTTGCGTTAAATAGATTGCATGTGTACACAGAGTAAACCTCAATTGATATGAAAGCTTTATACTAAAGTACATACATACATACATAGTAATAAAAACCTTTACTTCAAAACTCGGTACGTACATTGATATTTATGTTCACTCTGAATAACTTGGAGATAAATCGGTACTGCGGATGTAATATGTTGCCCTATTTTTCGGTCATGATTACGGAGACGTTTTGTCACCAAAGGGAAATAAGTCGAAAACTTATGTAACAAACAGGTGTGGCTCGGTTATAAAAAATGCAACGCTGTCATGTAACGAAAATTTAAAAAATGTTCAATTTAAAATACCTACATACATATGTACATATGTACATGTGTATGTACTTACGTCAAATCTCTTTGATGCACGAGTTTTTGACTAAATAAGTGGTAAATTTTTAATACCGCATCGGTGTACCTCATTACTATATGGTTATACCCGTTACTACCGTGCCGGCGAAGTTATTTGTGCACTCCGGCCGGTAATGATTCATTACCATTTTGCTAAGAGTGTACCACCGAGGTTGATGATTTGTTTCCAAATTATAAATATATTTCTGAAATATGTACATACATATGTATATGTCCTAGACGGATTGCTGTTGAAATGTGAGATGATGTCTCACACATATCTTTGAGTTTTACCTGAGTGCAAGTTAATACAAAGAATGGGTATTATGGTAGGTTTATTTATGAAAAAATGGAGTTCAGTGTGTGTGATTGATTAAAGTCTCAATGAGACGAAGTAAAACATTTGCGTACATAAAATAACGATTTATGTACTTTAAAATACTTTGTTGCAATCAAGTGTGGAAAACATAATCGAATGCATTTTATGTATGCGTTTTATTAAAATACACACATTTTACACATTTTAAACTTTATGTTATTAAATTATTTCCTCCAACATACGAGTTCCATGTACTGAAAACATAAATAAAGTTCAAAGATTTAGCTATTCATGCAGTTATAAAATTTAATTACTTAATCAACTTTATATGTTTCTTACGCAATACATACGTACGTATATACATTTTTTGTGATTTTACTATACTCACAAACTTAATTTCTTAAAATTACTTAGTATACATATACGGAAACTTATACTTAATTAGCTTCTTTCCCAATTTAAAATGAAATAATTCTATAAGAAAAACGCCCACACAAAAGGCACACATCTCACTAAAAATAATTTTGACCGATAAAATGTTTGAATCCAATCCTAACGCCGTTGCTTCACCTTCATTGCTCAAAGCATTTATATGATTTCCATTCTCTGTTTCGTCAAAATGCTGAAATAGCTTGACAGGTTTAAATCTCGTATATAATCCTAACCAATAATTATAAATCCCCGAAGACAAAATACGACTTTGCCGCTCTACTAAACCCTCCGCCCGCCTCGAATCACCCCCAAGCAACCATATCCAACCATTCATACAAAATGACAATGGTTTCTTCCCTTTCGTAAAACTTAACCCGACTTCCCGCGCACCTAGTCTATTTGCATACGGGAGAATTTCATCAATCCGCTCTGCCTTATCCATGTATGCCTTCCCTTTACACGAAGGGGCGGTCATATTCCCCAGAAAGTAGGCGGGAAATTTGTACGCAAGCGGAACCAAGTTGACATATCCCTCCTCGTTAGACAAAGTAAGCGCATTCTTGGCTAACTCCAAAATTTTGGGAACTTTAGAATTGATCAGATTTCGAAATATTTCCAACGCCTGCGGAAACGGATACCCTTTTGCAGGATTTTCAATCAAAAAGTATTGAGCTTGCGGTATTGGACTGTAAAACGTGAAGTTGACCAGATCCCAAAATGTCGTCAATGGAGACGTCGGCCTTATCGGGGTTATCATTTCCGTCGTAAAGTTCGCTTTCCATCCCGTGTTTAAAATCATCCCGGCCCAAATCCAGACACAGATTAGGAATATTTGCCGTGTTGAGAGGGTTCCAGGGGTTAAAATAGGTTTTTCTACAGTTACCCCGATAAGATCTAGCAAATTTTGGAGCACTCGACAAGCATTGAATGGCGAAGATATTCCCGCACAAATTGCTAAGAGACTCGCAATCATGAGAATCCAGCTCCACGTGTCAAACGGTGAGTGGTAAAAGTCATACTTGATCTTCGTCTGGACGGAGTCGCAGGTCAAGAAGTTATACTCAAGTGAATCGAACCACACCACGAAGATGTTTCCAGATTCGACATACTTATTCAAGGCGGAAAGTCGAGGGGTAGAAAAGGTGAATCGGTCCTTCCAAAGAGGCGAAGAGTTGAAGTCACCCCGTTTAACGATGTCTTCTAACAGGATGAAATCTAAGAGTTGCATCGAGCTAAACGTTTTCAAGGTGGTTGTCGCTCGCGAGAAATGAGTCAAATCGAAAATTTTTTTATTGGAGACGTTCCTCAAGTAGACATCTACAAGAGGGCCGGATGCAACAGGTGTCTGAGACTTGGTCCCTAGAAGTGTCATTGAATGTTTCGTGAAGGCGTCTAAGTCGGCCGAATGGACAAAGTTGCAATATGACCGCTTTTCTTGGTCGATAAGTTCGTACAAAATTTCAGAAAGGTAGGTACTCCGATTGGTTGGAATGTCCAGGATAATCTGATTCCTTAAAGGGGACTTGGTACTGAAATACATTAGTTGATTCGTGGTCTCACCGATTTCCTCCTCTTGTAAGTCATCCATCACGAGGAATACTTGGATACTAGCGTCAATAACGTATGTCGTCAGAATGGTTGCAAACCAAGGAAGTTTAATCGATGGAATGACAAGTATCAGAAATTTCATCAGTGGTGAAACACTTCGTCTCGATGTTCCAAATTCGCCCAGCTGTAATATGGTTTCTGCTTTTGTTTGTCCAAAAATATTAGTAGGATCGGGTATATATTCTATAATGCAACATCCTGACTGATACCGTGTTCCGCCATATCTTTGGTACTTGGGAAGTTTTGGTGGCTTGGAAAAGTTTAACGGTTCAATCAGTATGGGAAGTGAGAAGTGCAATTTACTGAAAAATAAGTTGCTTTCGAAATCCACAGGATTTTCATGGTTTAGGTGAAAGGTTGCATAACAGTTGTGGACAGAGTTAAAAAATTGGGAAAATGAAAACACCCTTCCCTCCACAAAACACAAGCAAATGTATAAAATAAAATTCATTATGAAGAAGTACATTTTAAGTTGAATTCTTTGAAAAATATTAATGAAAACTATGTCCATTCGCCATTCGAAATGTGACTGGCTTTATTTATACCAAGGTCTTCTTTCTACGACGCATTATTACTGACAAGTATGGAAATCTGATCAAATAAAGAAATAAGTACTTTAAAAATAAGTATTTACATGCATAAATAAATATGTACAAGTGTTGTTCATTCACATCTATTGATCGATTCGGTTGATCCGATGTGAACCAGCTTCTGCAGCAACAGAAGAAGAAATATCAACAAGTGCTATTCAATATAATACATTTGTGATCATAAACTTAACAATTGTCAAAATCTGTTTGACCACGAGGAAAAACTACGAATAAATGAAAACATAATACTTGAACGCTATTGTTATTTCTACTTTAACAAATGTGCAAATTTAAGTTAATGAATATGCAAATACATAGGTTTGTCGTTCTTTTACACAAACAATTCAACAAGTGAAAAATATTTACTTCACAAAGAATATCCCTTGAATCTTCCCACGTCCCACGTGAACTTCACCCACATCAATAACCGATTTGTCAATTCGGTAGGCAATCTAATTTGGCGATATGAGTCAATATTTTAACATAAATATAGATATCCGACCATCCATCCCTTTCGCTATGCAGGTAATATTCTTTTGTATATCTGGAATCTTCTTCGAATCTTCTTCTATATCTGGATAAATCAATAGAATCAGTTTGCAGGTACTTAACTGCAAACTGAACTGGACACCTTGGGCGCCAAGACCGTGGGCGCTGGAGAGATTGGGTGTTTGAGCGCTGGATACCTTGGGCGCTGCGGACCAACGTTGGGCGTTTGGGCGCTGGAGACCCTGGGCGTGGGCGCTGGAGACAAAAAACTCCGTTGAAATTGAGATATTCTGCGTACGAAGCGCGCGCATTTCATTACTAAATATGTCGTGTCAACAAAATATTCAGGACCTTTACATATTTCCTCCAAAAATATTCCGGAAGACAAGGATAAGAGCGTTACGATTAATTCGACTCACAGAACATAATTTGTTGTCTCGCCGTTTTCGAAGGGTTAGAGCACTGTCGGACGGGTTTCACTGCGTCATCGGTAATAAAGAGAGTCTTGTGAAAGTCGAATTAGGACATCTGAGAATTTGTTCAGCTAAAAAAGGGGCTAAAACTAAAGAGATGATAGGATTACCGTTAAATAGTCATATAACTCCCTTCAATCGCTCAGTATGCCTGCAAATTTTGGATTCTGATGAGAAAACGGTGAACACAACTAGGACCTTCAACTTTTCCCAGGGACACATTGCAACCATGTTCTACAACGCTTTGTGTAAGGACAGGAGGTAATCTAGCAATTAAATCTTCCTAAGTTCACATCAAATTATAATTAACTAATACGAAGTGTTATTATGTATATATTAGTGCTGATTCAGACAGCGACGATGAGTCCGATACCAGCACCACATCCAGCTATAACCCCGATGATTATGCGTAAGTTCTGCGTAATTAAATACTGGATCAATTTCTAAACCTCTTGTCTTGGCCCTTATAGGATTCGAGGCTTGGTAACCCCATCACCGTTTTCAGACGGAGAGCATAGCGATGAAGGAGGAGCGGGTCACTACGACCAGAAAACTAAAGATGACGCCGTGAGAATAAATATCAATCGCTTTTGTTTTGTATGAATTTTATTGTCATCTTGTAATTTGTAACCCCTTAGGTGCCTCTGGGAAAAAACCCGAGAAGAGACTAAACGCATATGACATGTGTCCAAAAGCAAATTCCGGTTAATCTAATCTTCTTTCCAGTTAATGTGGCTAAATATTTTTAGTATACTTCTAGAGTTGATGTTCGAAATACAGTAGATGAACTATAAAAGCAAAAACCATTATTATTGTTGTTATTATAGTATTTATCATTATCACCGTTATCAAAGTAAAAACCATAATAACAAGCCCTGCATAACTTTATTGCAAGTACAACATTTTGCATCTTTTCGTTTCCCGTGCTGCATAAAAAATTTGATATTTCCAGCGATTTTATTACGTGGATGGATATTTCTTAAAATATTTAATTAGTATCATGGTCTTTGAATTGGTTAGTACCAATAAAGCTGTCCGCAATATGTTTACATAATTTTTTGCGGAGCTCCTGTACATTTAATTGGCGTATTTGTGAATGTGAAGATTGCGTTTCCTACACACATACATAGGTAAGAATTAAGTTTGCGTTTTATAAATTATTTTTTAACCATCATTTTAAACATTCATTGTCTTGAACAGTTTGCGTTATTTATTCCCTTTCTTAAATCCTTTAATACTTTCCAAAGTCTTATTCACGTACAAAGGCGAATAGTTCGAACAAACCCCAGGAGTATCGAAAGCTTGGATTAATCCATTAACCATTCATGGTCTCATTGCATAATTTGATTCACCATTGTGGTGGTTTGCAAAGAATTCATACCTACTGTATTCTACAAACGTTCATTGTTCTATACCTAGAAGGTATAGATACATTATCGTTGTATAATTTAATATCTAAAAATAAATTAAATGGCATGTTGCTCCAGGTCATTTCCGCATTCGTACCGGTCCATGGATTCATAGATAATTATTATACAATTTGCATGTTTGTAAACAGTTTGAATGTATACTTAAGTATCTGCTAATTCACTTTCGTTAGACTTTTTTTGCGTCAACCCAGCAATTATACTAAACCATCCAAATAGCATACATATATCCACAAATTACATAATTATGCCTAGCCGTGCCCCAGCATGTTTTATTATCAGATCCACACGCTACGTCTCAATTCTTTTCTTGTGAATTATTTAAAATTTGCAACTGACCCATTCTAGTAATTTCTGCCTTCAAAAAAATCTTACTTATGTGGCATGCAATTTCAATATTCAGTATGCTTGAAAGTATGAATTGTTTAAGCACGGAAATATTCAATTATGACAATTTGCGTGCGTTATATACCGGTTATTACTTATGTACATATGAGTAGGAAGTATTTAATGTATTTACGCTGAAATACGTGCACAGTTGTTTACGTAATTATGCTATTTATATAACACATGTAATTATTCTCCAAAGTGGATATTTGCTTACAAAAAAGAACATTTCTCCCGTAAGTTGAATATTATTTGTGAAAGTGAGAGTCTGACTTTCGATAACAAAAACGAGAAAAAATGGGTTTCTTCAAGCGCCACATTCTATTTCGCTTGAAAAATGTGCTACTGACAAAGGCGTATCGAATGAATTTGTTAACGCTTGAAGTGCTCTGTGCGTTTTGCATCGTGCCCTTCAAAATTTCCTGGGAGGAAGAAAAGGTCGTCGAAGTGCGGGGAACGTTGAGACGAAATGTGACCAAATTACTGTATCTGTTTCATTTCGTAAAAACGGTCCACTATCTGGTTGGGCTTGGACTGAGGATGGCGGGGCTGCAGGTGGGGCCTTCGGGAGAGTATGTCATGACGGATAAGCTGCTGGATTACGGATGGTTGGGACCAATCATGTGCACGATTCTTTTTCGGTTTGAGTTGACGAGGAAGTCGAAAGAGACGGTGGCCATGATGAACGATGCGCACACGTTGGAACGAGAGGCAGAAAAAGAAGGTACAAATTTCAACAAAAATTTACAATTTGAAAATTTTGAAGCAGCAACTAATAATTTTTTATGTTACATAAGTGAATTGATTGTCACTCCAACCATTTTAAGATTAAATGAATTTTAAATAATTTTCTAAAGCTGTTCAAATTCAGGTGCTATGGGGGTAAGATGCTAGGATGATAATATGGCTTCGATTTTTCATCTGATTAACCTGACATCCTGTAGCGCATTAATAAAGTATGCAGATTGATAATTTTAATGCAGTCCGAAATTTGTTTGAGCATTTCAAAAATCTTGTCTTGACTGATTTTGTTACAAAAAGGTTCAATTCTTACCCCCATTTTTTCAGGTTTGTATACGGTCGACACGAAGGATTTTTCGGCAAGGCGTGGCATATTTGTAATTACATTTTCGAAAATCATGCCGACAGGGCAATGAAAAATACAAGGTTGTTATTTTTAAAAAATACCCAACGTTTTATTAACAGACCAAAGATTAGGCCAAGCAAGACTTTCGGATATTATGTAGATACATATGTACATATGGTCACACAATTTCATACTCCTGTGTGTATTGTATCAAGATGGACCAATTTGACTATATATGTTGTATGTATAGGTATCTGGTAATTTACTTCCTTACACTTACATATGTACATGTATGTGAGTCAACCTAGTAATTATCTATGCATGTGTATCCATGAAAATGGCACACATCCACAATTTTTTAAATTATACCTGAGCCCTCCGGATCATGTTTTTTTCTGATGATTGACAAGTGGCCGCTATATGCGTGCCAATTAAACATTTTCTTAATTAAACATTGATAAATTGCATGAGCTGCATAGCCAATATATATAGTTCCGGAAGTGCAGTAATTTTACACAGATTGTCACACAGATTGATTCTTTTGCCAACCCAGCAATTATGTTGAACCTTTTACGGATGAGCATTTGCATTTCACAGTCCGAAATTAAAAACTGACTTCGTCCATGAAATGAATATCATTGGGAAATAATCTAGATATGTAAGTTACCATAACCATGTATACATATGTTATGTACATCGCAAGACTAAAACCATGCATGTCATCCTTACGAAAATTAGCTTTGCAGCTCAAAAAGCATTTATGTTTTGAGAATTATTTTTACAAGAAAAGACCTTGACCATGGCATAGGGGCCGTCCATAAATTACCTAACGCAAAAATCGCGATTTTCCAGACTCCCCTTTAGCATGGGTAAGATATATTTGGATATCATTGTATCACAAATCATTGTAGCCTAGACTCCCCCTTCCCCCTCTTGTGTTACGTAATTTAGGGTCGGCCCCTTATTTATGTACATGGCAGGAAAAAGTTTCGAATTGGCCTCAGAATTTTGTTCGTTAAATATTTATGTCAGCTGGACATTCACTTTCACCACAAGTAACCTTTCCAAAGAATCATTAAATGTATATCTAAACTTTTGATCTGCTTCAAACGCAGAGTTACATAAGCAAAAAATTCAGCTAATTAATTCATTGCCTAAGCACTGCAACCTGTTCTACAATATGTGTTACCTACGTATGTACCAATAATGAATAGCTGGGTGAGAAATTCGTCAAAACTTCGCGTGTCTGGATATCAATTAAAAATAAACATAGTTACTCCATGGTGGAATATTTATCTGTAGCAAGAAAGTCTTCCTTGTACATACGGAAAGTGAAAGTTAACGTCGAATATCATTTGTGAAAGTAGAGGCCTGACTTTCTCTCCAATTTTAGCAAAGAAAAAGGGAGAAAGTGGACTACTTTATGCTTCACGATATGCTTCGCATGAAAGACGCGTTACTGACAGAAGTGTACACTCTTAGAAATCAGTACTAAAATAATACTAAGCGATATTCATATATGACCCTACCAGAATGGTATAGAAGTTTCTACCGTATAGTAATAGCCAGATATTAAAGTTTTACAATATCGGTAGTAAATTTTTACAGACCGGTATAACTTTTATACCAAGCGGTAGCAACGTTGATTCTGAGAAATCAATAAATGCACAAGTATACCAGATTTCTAACAGTGTATAGAATGAATTTATTAACGAACGATTGAAGTGCTCTGCGCATTTTGCATCATCGCTACTTTCAAAATTTTCTGGGAGGAGGAGATGGTCGTCTATATTTTACATACATAAGTACCCTATAAATAAATGTCCTCGCATCACATTTTTTGCCTTCAGAATGAAGACGCTACTTAAACTTTAATACTGCGGATTAAAACATTTCTATTTCATATGTACAGGGTGGTTTAAATGTCACGCTACAATGGGAAATTTTTTCTAATCGGCAAAATTCGTGAATTTCCATTAGTTACCGAAATTTTATCTCTGAATTTGAATATTTTAAGAATTTTGGCATCAGTGTTCTACCAGTTTTTATAATAACTAATAAAAATCCCAGTCCCAAATCTTGTAGGAGATTTAGGGACTTTTCCCATTGAATAATTTCCCATTGTAGTGTGATATTTAAACCACCCTGAACAAACATACATCCTGCAGAAGATTGTGTTCCCTCTCTTCTACACCAACCAACCCTCCAGATTTTCAGATATGAAACAAAATTGAAAAGGGTGGACTTGCAAACTGAAAAGGGTGACTTTGAAAACTATTTTCTTTTGATTTGCAAAGTAAAAATAATTGCGTAGGCTTAAAACTCCACAGTTGATGTAGGTCAGTCAAGTCACCAATTATTTGAAGACGAGAATACTTAGTACTTATCTATGCATGCATAAATAAGCTACGAAATATTTCCCATTGTGTTTTACCTCGTCTTTAATGGTGACCATGGCACCATTAATTATTTACGTAGCCTTAAAGAAACATGAATGAGAAAATTTATTACCAAAGAGTAAACAAGTTATGCAATAAGATGAATACAATTTATTGGCAAATTTCCAAAGGTGTAAGTCAAAGAAAAATTTAAGGCCGGAATAATAACTATATACACATCATTCACTCACACCAAGTTGACGTCATTAAGGAAAGTGAAACACAAATTTGTGAACGAAACAACGTCCCTGCTATGCATTCCTGTCACAGTATGTATAAATGTCATCATTTTTTGCTTGAAAAAATGAAGACGCTACTCAACCTTTGATAATACACAACGTTTCCATTTATTACGTATGTACATATTTATGATCGTACTTCCTACATATTTGCAAACATATTTACTGCAGCCCCGGCTTCATTTACCCTCCCACTCAGATTTCCAGATATGAAACAAAATTGAAAAGGGAGGACTTTCGTGACACTTTGACCGAGCTATTTATACATGCTGCCCACCTACGAACTCTTACTGCGCATTGGGTCAAAATGTGTCACACCACACCGAAGGTCGAAATTGGTGCATCGTTACTTTAAATTTCGCCACTTACTTGGTTTACAACCCTTGTTGAAGAATCATAAAAATCTTAACGAAACACTTAATTCTCTCTGCACGCAGGGTTATGTAAGGCGCCCACGAATCCATTTATTTCCAATTAACGCCCAAAGTACATACAAAGTCGAAGCAATTATCAGGAAATTACGCGTTTTTTTCGTATAACAGATCACTACGACCACTACCACCTCCACCACTTTAAATATTCACGAGCAAGTTGAAGAGTGAAAAAGAAATGATGAAAGCTTGCGTGTCCCGTTTCAATAGGGAGCTTTATCCATTAGCAATAAACATAATTACTCCAGGGTGGAACGAATCTAGATTAAAAATCTGAAATTTTCTGGACTAGAAAAAGGGCGACTTGTTACCGGGACGGATTTAGTCGAGGGAAAAGGAAAGCACCTAATTTTTTATCAGGTTTAATAGGAAGCGAGTTTCATTGAGAAAATGGCTTTCTTTAAGCGGCAGGTCATGTTTCGCTTGAGAAACGTGTTACTGACAAAAGCGTATCGAATGAATTTGTTAACGCTCGAAGTGCTCTGCGCGTTTTGCATCGTTCCATTTAAAATTTCCTGGAAAGAAGAGAAGGTCATAGGAGTGCGGGGCAGATTGAGACGAACAGTGACCAAATTATTGTACCTGTTTCATTTTGGAAAAACGGTCCACTACCTGGTCGGGCTTTTATTGAGGATGGCAGGACTGCAGGTGGGGCCTTCGGGGGAATACGTTATGACGGATAAACTGCTGGATTACGGATGGTTGGGCCCCATCATGTGCACGATCCTTTTTCGGTTTGAGTTGACGAGGAAGTCGAAAGAGACGGTGGAAATGATGAACGAGGCGCACAATTTGGAAAAAGAGGCGGCAAAGGAGGGTAGGGATTTGAAAAAACATATAATTTGAAAATTTTGAAATGGATTCTGAAATTAAGCGAATTGATTGTTGTTTGTGAAATTAATTGTCAACCATTTTTAGGTGCTATGCACGATAATTGAATTTATTTAAAGGTGACGACTTAAGGTTTTATAAGACTATGCATCTCCAGCACACTTATCAAATGTCTTTAAATGCAAATTTCTACAAAATAGGGTTTGAAAAAAATTAATTCGTTTTTGTGGAAATTTATTTTAAGCAATGGAAAATAAATAAACTATTTTTTAGAGCGCATACATATGTAGCTTTGTAACTAATAACAAAACTTTACATACATAGTCTAAGGTACATTTATATATGTAGCTGTAAGTAACGAAAAACGCTATAAAATTGACGTCGTTTAAGAAATTTGCATGTAAAGATAGTGCACAGGCGTTATGAAAAATCGACGCCCCGTTCTACAGCACGTTAATATACATTTTATGGATTTATAATTTTATCTAATGTGGATAGAAATGTGTTTGAACTGTAAGAAATTTTCGATTTGTTTCATTACAACCAATTTAATATTTGTCTTTACTTCCATCTTATTTCAGGTTTGGATACGGTCTACACTCAAGGTTTTTTCGGAAAGGCGTGGCAAGTTCACACCTTAATGATTTATCTAGCCCTCTTTTCGGCTCCCATGACGGTCGGGATATTTTCAACGTTAAATCCGTGCGAACCCTGCTTCATTTCGTGGCAGTTCCTCGCCTGCAATTCGACCACTTGGGCACCATCTACGCCAGAGGAAAAAATCATCTTGCTGATCTCTGGCTTTATCGAAACCATGTTTTGGTATCAGGTCATGGGTGTTGGAGTCTTGGCGAATTTGGCGACCATGTTTTATCTGACACTCTCCCTGAAAACGTTCATGCTGAGGGCGGCAAAGTAAGTTCAGAACTAAAATCTTAAGCACTTTCGGGATAAGCTAGAGCAAAACCCGGTCGGATAATTATGACTCTAACTGTACAGAATATTACAATATCTTTGATTACAAAAAAATGCAATTTCATTTCAGAACAAAAATCGCCTCATTCGGCGAAGTGAAGCTTCACTACTACCGTCGCTACCAAGTGTACAGCACTCTGATGAACTACTGTATGTCCCATGTCGTCACCCCCGCCATGATTTGGGCCTGGACGACCATTCTCATCATCAGCTGGTACACCTTGCTCCGCTACTTTGGCCGGGTGTCCTTCGCCCTTTACACGATTCATGCTCAATTCGCCATCAACGGGATGGTCTGTCTTTTGACGGAATTCAAAATTGCCGGCGATTCGTACGACGCTTCACTGAACTTGTTGTCCGCTTGGCGCTACTCGGTGGGAAAGAGCGCCAATATTAAATTGTCGAAGCGATGGTTGAAAAGCTGCGCCCCGCTGAAAGTGCGGGTCGGTGCGACAAACTATTTCGAACGAAGTACGCCCATGATCATAGGAAGTTTCTGTGTGGAACAGGTCATAAATCTGATTCTGGCAGAGAAAAAACATTTATAAGTTGGGGAAAAATTTTCTGAAAAATGGCAACTATTTTATAGAAACTGTTAGATCAGAAAATGTGCTTAAAAATTTATTTAATCTGTCGATGGATCTTTAGCCTTGCAGCAAAATAAATAATAGCTTCTTTTCTAATCGTACGTACTTGAGTATCAAGAATGATTTTTCTTAGGTGAAGCTATGGTGATCTAATGATTAAAAAAACACCTAAGTATGCATTTACTACAACGTTCAAAAGTGACAAAACCACATTACTTTACCATTTCTTAACCGATGTTTGTGAAATAAGTGCCGAGAGTTAATTATGATGGTCTACTTTTGGATTCCAACTCTGGTCGGTTGTGAGCCTACCCATTCCTAAGATATTCTCAAAAAACACCCTCCAAAAATTGACATTGCTTTATACGAAAAAATTGAGGACCTAAATCAAAAATGTACTGTGAAAAAAAGTTTCTAAATATTTTTAGCTTTCAATTAACTTTGAGATAATCAAAATCGGATAAGAAATGGCCACGATACTCATAAATGCAAGTACCACTGCTCACGTGGTGGTATTGCATATTGCTATGGTTCGTTGATATTGCAAGTATTTTAATCGCAATTCCCTTCGCTTCACCTAAGCCGCCCGTTTTAGGGATCTATCTTGTATGACCCATTTATCCACTGATTTTGTTCAATCGAACGCTAAAATTTTCCGCAACTGGCAAACGATGCAGATCGAGACAATATTATTGAAATCCGGAAAGGACACTGCCGGTCACCTTCCTTTATATGACATACACCTACAATTAAGTTTAGCCTGTTAATAGGTGTTAAGAGGCTGGAAAATTGTCACATACAATTGAATTGTGAATCAACCACTTGAGCTTCAACGGTTTGAAACCGGCCTTCGGACCACATTGCCCTCCAAAATTTCATAATAATTTATGAAGTCCTCGTACTCCATATTATGAACAAAGCATGGATGCTTTTATTTCCATGGTTTTTATAATTTGTTGTGAATAACTCACCCGTCTCAATTCACCTCTCTCATTAAAAAATTATTCTGGCGCAAGGAGAGAACATAACGAGCACCTTCCAAATTTTCACTGCCGAACGAGCCACAAATTTTTCACATATTTATTAGTTACCCAATTAATAATAAAACCTTCATTGCTGCCGTTACCATTATTAAATTAACTTATCTAAATAATAATAATAATAAACATGTCTTCACACGACGTGGAAAATGCAAAGGTAAACGACACATAAGGCCATCTCTTTCTCCTAAATATAATTAATTACTAATTATTAATTAAACAAATGTATTTTAGGAGACCGTTCTCTCTTGGATCGAAACTGCTGGGACGACTCAGAAGCTTGCTTTTTTCAAACAGGTGGGAAAATTTATGACTTTATCGGAAATTAAGATGGCCCAAAACATCCTTGGTCACGCCAAAAGGGCAGAGAAAAAACTAGCTGCAAACGTTTACGAGCCTAAAAATCCCTTTCTACCTACAAAAAGTCATATCCTGCAAAATATCCTATCATCAAGGCCTACATTTTCGAGAGATGGATCATCATCATCACAGCTAAACAAGACTTTTGACAGGTATACGCAATCATATTAGAATAATTAGTTAACGATTTACTTAATTTACAAATACATTCGTTAAGTAGTAAATGCTTGGCGAAATCTGATATTCCGTGTTCAAGTCGGTCTAATTCCACTGGTGGCAGTGGAAGTGGAGGGACATTAAGTATTAAAGGGTAAGAGAAAGTGGTCCATTAAATTTAGTGTAAAAAATCTTGAATATTAAACGGTTAAACTAATTACCTAATTTTTCCAGGTCTCCCCATCCCTCTCAAGATAACAGGGTCAGATGCCCGGTGAAAACGTGTCGCGAAATGTTCGACTCGTATAACGCTTTTAGCCAACATATTCAAACCGTGCACACTACTTGGGAGAGGAAATGCCTCATTTGTGGGGTGAAATTTGAAGAGGTGGACAAGATTTGTTATCATCTGATAAATATGCATGGCTCATCAGCAGCAGCGGAGGGAGACATCGATGGACGAATGGTTGCCACCGAGAGTCGTGAAGATGACGAAATAGATGGCGAAACTGGAATTAAAATCAAACAGGAAGTCAACGACGAAATGGACGATATGAAAGTTGAGCATGACGAGGAGTGGGGTTTCATCAGTGGGGTATTTCGGGGGTAATTTCTGAAATGCTTCCCCTCTAGGATTAAACGACGGTGTTAGAAATATCTAATTTTGTACTGATATTAATGAGTCCCCCCATTAAAATTTTTGACTTTCTTTCATTACGTTACCTGTGACTTACTCTGTTAATTTAAATACATATTCTATGACAATTTATAATCGTTTATGTATTTTTCATATATTTTTCATGTATTTTTTATATTCTCGGTCAAATACATAATTGTTCAGCCAATAATCTTCCCAAAATGTTCTATATTATCAATTATTGAAAAATGTAGGAAATCTTTTCATTCCAAACTCAGACTGAAAGCAAATTTGGATATTTATACATATAAATATGTAGTTATTAAATATTAACTGGTATGAAGTACATACTTGTGTGAACATTTTGACATAGGTACATATTACATATTTCCATTAGTTGTTGGCTAAGGTGTTTATTTAAACGTACATATATGTATATGGTTATATTTACGTGTAAGTATGGAAATCCGTACATATACTTCTCAAACGTTTTATTTCAATAAAGGGCGCAAAATGTATTTTATTCAATCAATTATTTACCATTTCTTTAAGAATTGTGTACAAATATTTGAAAATGTTTTAATCCGTCCTCCAAAATTTTGAAAATGCTTTATCCATTCAGTTTACTTGGTTGACCAGGAGCTGTGCCATTTAGTCCATTTCACCGGGCTCCGAGTATGACATCGATAAGCCCCATTCGGATAATGCGTGCAGCGGGTCACATTTCCATCCGCGTCGATGGACGACGTCTCGCTTTGCCTGCGAACTCTTGGTGCGGCGTCTGAAATAAATTTTACAAAAAATTCATTTTAATGCAATTGCTGTTAACGTTAGGGGTGGTCCATAAATTATGTCACGCTGAAGATGGGGGGGAGGGGTCCCAAGAATCCGTGACAAAGTGTGACATACGGGGAGGGGGGGTTCGGCCGATCCGTGACATCACGTTTTGCAGGCCTAACTTAAATTCTCCGACTATGACCAAACTACAGTTTCGCAATTATTTCGAAATATATGTCCAAGTCCAACCGAATATCAAACCTTCGATCCAAAGCATCCAAAAGTTCAACCAAGTTTCTAAATTTTGTTCAAATCTTCAAATAATTTGCACAATATACAATTATTTGAAAATTTAAAAAATTCATGATGCCATAAAGTCTGCACAATTTAAAAAATCGTCATAATTTTGCAAAAAAATTCATTCAACAATTAAAAAAACATTACTAAATCTCCAAAAATTTGCACAATTAAAAAAAATCGTCCGAATGAACCGTATTTTTGATAGTTTCAAAAATGGGTACTAATTGAAGACAACTGCACGATTCAAAAATGTTAACATTTAAAAAATGTATCGCAGTAGAAAACTTAAAAATTTGGCGGATTTTTTTCAACTTATTTGAAACTTTTAAAAACTAAAAATACTAAAAAATGAACAGTAATTTTGGAAAAGGTTGTTATCCACAAATCTACCACGCTATGACTTTTCAATTCATCAAGGGTGTAATATGAGTATAAATAAAGCTAACAATTGTTCCTATCTGTAAAATTACACGGGTTTCACTCACTATGCGATGACGCCAGCGGTCTCGCTCCGATTTTGATGAAACGTCGATAATTATGTAGCCTTAGGTAAATAATTGAACACGTGTTTCGGGATTTTTCATAATGCTCAGTTTAAACAAAGTTATGATGGAATAAGTGGCCGAAAATTCGCATTTTTCTCGTGAAGTTTTTCTTTTTTCTTTTTTGAGGGAGAAAAATGCGAATTTTCGGCCACTTATTCCATCATAACTTTGTTTAAACTGAGCATTATGAAAAATCCCGAAACACGTGTTCAATTATTTACCTAAGGCTACATAATTATCGACGTTTCATCAAAATCGGAGCGAGACCGCTGGCGTCATCGCATAGTCAGTTATCCCGAAATATTAGGTTTAAACCGCAATTTGTACTACATCTTCTATGATAAAGGCATGGTTTCATAATTATCGGCCAAATAAAGTTAATTTGTGCAAAATCCTGGTGACAGAGTACATAAGATTCCCTTGTGAGTTTTGATATTACGCCATATTTACTACTCGCTCCTCTTTTATAGAACACATGTATGTATCATTCTTGCAATTGGAAAAATTCAGATTTTCTGGCGTGACGTGACAAGAGGGGGGGAGGGGTCACGTCGAGCGTGACAAAGGCGTGACAACAGGAGTGGGGGGGTCCTAAAAAAGGGCTTTTTTGCGTGACATAATTTATGGATCACCCCTTAAATCAAACTTTCTCACCATTTACGCTGAAGTTGACCAACAATACCAACGCGAAGAGAAGAAATGCTAACGAAAATCTCATGATTAAACAGGTTCAATTTTACAAGTTGTTTGTTTATTACGAAAAAAATTCTTAACACTGAATCAAAAAACGTTAAATCGTGAGATTTTATAGAAAATTTGATTTTTTCCTCATCTTGTGGTTATGTGTACCCTAAGTAGTACATATGTAAATATTTAGTGGTGTGGTAATTAGCTAGTAATTAAATACATGCGAAAGCATTTTTTCCTCTTTGGTTACAACCAAATCCGGGATAAGTAAGCAGTTACAATTGAAAAGTTTCTGAGAAATTTAACCATACGCTGAACTTAATCAGCGTATTTGGTATCATGTTTCATTCATGTTCTCATTTCGGAACCACAAGCAACGAGTATGTAAACCAGTAAACCACGATTAAAGTAATAAGTACCACTAACAACTAATAAGTACGTGAAGAAGTGCTACAAATTAGATATATCCCATAATAAATGTTCTTGACATTAACTTAACGCCATATGCACAAATTATTTAAGCATATTGTCATAAAAAATTGTATACACTTATTCCTTGGAGCATTAATTTTATTCGCAGAGTATGCATTATCATCATCATATCGAAAATCAATATCGTCGTATTAATTCGAAAACGACGTAAGTGCAGTCGTGTGTTAATTCGAAAACGACGTAAGTGCAGTCGTGTGTTAATCCGAAAAAGACGTAAGTGCAGTCGTGTGTTAATCCGAAAAAGACGTAAGTGCAGTCGTGTGTTAATTTGAAAAAGACGTAAGTACACAATAAAATCTTGTAAAAGGACGTAAGTGCAATTATAACTTTAACAACTGGTCAGTTTTTGTTCAAAATTACTTCGTAAGTTTAAATACATATTTATATATTGGAATGTGCTAAATATTTATGCATTAAAGTTTGTAACTCTTTGGAGTTTGTCGAAAATTAAATTATATATATTTTGAATGTATATATATAACTATTGGTTGTGAAATTTCAAAATCTCGGTTTGCGGAATCATACGTATGACCCTACGGGGAGGATCCCGTCATATTTTGGGGCCAATCGGATCACACCCCCTCACTCCCATGGCGTGTGGTCAGAGCAAAATGAGGCTTTTACAAAAATTGAATCCATGGATGAAATAGAGTTAAAGTAAGTGTTCCCGAGTTGTGACACACACCCTCGAGCCTAGGGGGTGTGGTCAGGGCAAAATGAGATTTTTACAAATATTGAATCGAACACGTAGGAGATATAAAACCATAAGATTGATTTATTAATTAGGATTGATAAAACAGTAAAACATGTAAGATGCATTATTCTTCAGAGTGGCAAGATAGAATGAGGAAATCTCAATTATTTTGTTATTTTTACATAATTCAGATTCGGCAATCTTTGTTTTCTTTGTTGTATCGCATTCTCAGTATTTTTGCGCTACTTGTGTACCGTGCGTTGCCGCAGTTTATTTATTAATGGAATTATTGATGAAGATGAAAGATTTACTTCAATAAATATAATATACATATTTAAATTTAAATTTTAAACTTAATTAAATATAATTAGTTTTGAAAAAACTGACCTGTTGTTAAAATTATAATTGCACTTACGTCCTTTTACAAGATTTTATTGTGTACTTACGTCTTTTTCGGATTAACACACGACTGCACTTACGTCTTTTTCGGATTAACACACGACTGCACTTACGTCGTTTTCGAATTAACACACGACTGCACTTACGTCGTTTTCGAATTAATACGACGATATGTTATTATATATGTGTATTTATGTATGCATAAACACATTTGCATAGTTTTTTTACATCCTACATAGATAAGGTTTGTGTCAATAAAAATTAAACCGTAACTCTACTGTGCCTTGCTTGATTAATATGTTAAGAACTTTACAATGCAATCAAATTTCCAACAGATTTATCCAAACCTTCCACTTTAAAATGTATTCAATTTTCAATTCAAAATTAGTAACAATATCATTTATTATGCCCCGGAACTAAATACACACGTCAAACAATCGAATGCAATTTATCGTGCAACGACGCATACAAAGTTTTCGTCGTAGCCAAAATCTTCCCGTAATAAACTTTTCCACAAGATTTAGCAACACTGACGGCCTGTTTTAAAGCAGGCATATCAATCTCCACAATTTTGACGAGTTCAACCCAATCTGTAACGGGAAGTAGACAAACTCCGCCTGGAGTTGATATAACATAACAATTTGGATGCGAATTGTACGCAAATTCCTTAATTTGGCTGCAATTCATGGAAATATTTGTATCTTTATTAGCGATTGGTTCAAGGACCTTTTGTAGGCATGACATTGTATTCCACATCCACGTTTGTCCCTTTGGAGAAAATTTGGACGAATTTTGGCTAAATTTGGTGCAATATTTCGTCCCAAATCCGGTCGCGTAGCCATTTTCCCCGCATGGAATAGCGTTCTCAAGACAACGCGAGTAGAATGAACAATCCCGATCGGATGATAGGCATCGACTGGAATTCAAATTCGAAGTTTGTGTCGAAATGTAGGTTCCAATCGCTGTGAGAGCAAGGGAAGATGCAACAAATGCCGTTCTTCCTGAAATTAATAAACACGAATTAGAAATATTGTACATACAAAATATGTACTACAATGTTAGAAATCCAGTATTAAAATAATACCAAGCGGTATTCATGTACCTAAATGACTCTACCAAAATGGTATTGGAAAGATCTATGTACCATGATAAGAGTAATTTGGTATTAAAGTTTTACCATTTTGGTATTAAGACATTTTTAAGGTCTTGTATAATTTTAATACCAAGCGGTATGAACTTTAATATCTAGAAATTAATGCCTGCTTGATTTATAAAAGTACACTTTTAAAGCTTACTATCAGATATGGCATTGTTTGACGAATGGTCATCTATGGTACTAAGGTAAGTCGTTACTAATTCATGATTTCTATTGATTTCTCCAAGCTCGGATCGTATGGGGTTCGTGATGTCGTCAATTGCATTATGACCGCTAGTTAAAAAAATAAATTTAAGCAACTACATACATAAATACTTACTTATTTATAGTTAATGGCAGACTATACTAAAAATGCAAATATTGGACTTAAAGTTACACAAAAAAATTTAATTCAAAATTACAGATATATTTATCTTTTACCTTCTTGTAGAATAATAGTTATGCTTGATGTTCATAATTGAGATCAAAATCAATTCAAATAGAGAGAAATCCATTATTAAATGTATAATGTGTATAGCTTCAGTAATTTCTCGTTTTAAATTTTTTTTTAAATTATCGCTGAACGAAATTTGTATGGATTATGTGTAAATATGCTCGTGTAGGAGGAAATGATGCACACGTATCAGAGTCAAAGACTTAAATGGTTCAACTTTTAAAACGATTTTTCTCTCCATAAATCACTTAATCTCGTTTAAATAAAATAAGGTTATTAAATTCATACAATTATTTTAAGAGTAACTCATTTGTCATTAAGTGCTTAAGAAGTGGTAATTTAAGTAGGACAGGATAATAACCCCATGGAAAAGATTCCTTTAAATTTCGTGAGATAAATGAAATGAATGCAAAATATGATGACGGGTAAAATTAATTATTAATGGTGAATGAACAATTGGACGATTTCTGTGTATGCATTTGCTTTACGCATGAAAGAAAAGAATGCCGTGTAATACATATGCAGTAGACAGGCTGGTCAATAAAAGCTGGACATAACAATTCTGGAGTTGTCGTTTGTGTGTGTTGGTACTTATGTATGTACATATTAGCTTACATATTCATTAGTGAATGGCGTTAGCAATATGATGACGTAGCAAAGTGGGTTACATATAATTTTTATTAATTTTGCATGCCGATGTCAAATCACAGATTAAGAATAACATCGTCAAATATGTACTCATTGCAAATCATGACAAATAAAACGCATTAGAAAATTTATATTTACATACGTACAAATGAAACATATATCTTCCATGGCTCGTTCTGTGCTTGCATGCATTGAATGCTTTAGTCCAGAAATTTGGAGTTTGCCAACTAGGGAAACTTTTCAGGCATTATGGAAATTATTGAATTAGTATTAAGCATAATAGTAAATGAAAATTAACTGATAAACTTGCTAAATCTATGCTATTAAGCCTTCCTTAACAAGAGGTACATGCATCCTCAATATCCGAAGTGTGTACTGTTCCCGCAGTCACAATTACCATTATTATATGTACTACTGTGAAACTGAATCAGCACTAATAAATTGGTCGTAATGGTTGCTACTATCTGTAAAACAAAATATCATAAATACGGAATCTTCAAATTAAAAATCGTGTCTGATTTTGGTGACCAAATTCCTTATATACATACCGGAATGACAATGCCTAAATCCAATACCATGAATTTCGTCTTGACCCGAATCCCCCTCAATTTTAATTCCCCTCCTCCATTCAACCCCTCGCGCCGAACCGAAGCATCTAAATCGTTCACAATCTCGTCGCTCTTCGCCCTCAACTCGGACCCTCTTTTCGCCACCATGACGACCAAGTAAAAGTAGACCATCACGGTGAGGAAATTTTGAACGACTTGCATCAACATGGGCTCCTTCTTTCCGAGCAGAGATGCGATAAAGTAGCCCGAAAAAATTATGCGTAACACGCTGTGTCCGATGTCCATCGTTATCCAGCAACCGAACAGTTTGCTGAAATCCTTGACTTGCACTTCGACCTGGGAGTAGAGATCGATTAAGCTTGTCGAACTGGTTTCAAGCAACGTTTCCTCGTTATCCGTGTCGAAATATGGGTGCTATGTAAATCATTTTGGGTTGGAGTACGGTTACATTGACTTAATTGCAAGATTTCTGGTCAAAATATTTCGACGAATTCTTGGCGTGATCGTTCGACCGTTTAATTTTATCAGTGATCCGTTTCTTGCGAGCTTGCTACATTTCTCTTGGCGCCTTGAATTGATTGCATGTCAAAATATCTGTAACTGGTTACTTTCACCCGAAACCATTATTTTAGGTATACAAAAAATTTCAAACGCTTTCAAAAAATGGTTTGGATCTGTAATAGATACTACAAAACTAAAAAAAATACGTCTTTAAATTTTGCATACCTAAAAATAGCGTGTATGTATTTTATCTAGCAATTTAATTATTCGCACATCGTCATGATTTTAAATCATGTGTAATTGTACGCAAATAAATGATTTGCATTCTTATACACAGATACAACACTTTTTGTCCCGAAACTTTTTGACTTCGTTTTTCCAATTTTTTTCAAGTAACCGTATTCCCACCAAAATAGGCTTATTTCCCGCATCCTTTCCTCTCCCTCGATTTCTTCTCGCTTCAATTTGAATCCGTTTCAAAATTTCCAAATACCAGATCAACACGTACACTTGGAGGAACGAAAAGGTCGAGTGGTAATACCCCACGACGACGGGGGTCACCATGAGAAACGCAAACTCGTAATCGTTCCCAACTTTGGTATGCATGAAATAGTACATTTCCAAACTCCAGTATCCAATTATTCCGAAAAATAGGCAAAATTCAATCATAAATCGCTTATAGTATCGATTCCCTCCAGAAACTTGAAAAGTAAGATTGAAAAAGTTTTTCCAAAATCGGCCCAATTTTCTGTGCTGGACTAACATGTCCAACTTGATAAATGAAGAAAAATACAAATGCGTGAAACATTTGAAGATCAGGACGAAATAAAATGTTCCCCGACTTTTCAAAATAACCAAAATTTCTGACGGTGGGCAGTACGCGTATCGGTACAAGAAGGTTATAACTACAGAGAATGAAAGCAAGGAGTAACACAAACCGGGAAAGAACTTCAGACAAATTGAAAACAGTTTCGAAATCTTGCCACGTTTTTGGGGATAGGTTTCCAATTTTGAAAATGAAATGGGAACATATCCCAGGAATTGGAGAATGGACAAGAAAAATGTGGCGTGAGCCATGCCGATTGAAAGTAGAATGAGACAGGGAAATGAAGGAAATTACACTAATAACAATTTTGATGGATTATGTAGAATCGATTAGAAATTAATTAGATTAGGGTAGACATAAAAAAACATGCACAAACATAAACATGGACAGAACATGTATATGTATTTATGTACTTATGACAATTTATGTATATTTCGATAGTCCTAAGCGGTTCTTTAACTTGAAGTGTTATAAATTATAAGTTATAATATCCCAAATCAAGTGGACAAGTACAAAATTGTTAGTCAATATACGTTCCCTAAATAGTATGGAGGCAAATATATTTATGTGCAAATATGCGTATGCACTTAATTAGGTATAAACGCTATTTTAAATAATTAGAGAAGTGGTGCTTTCTTGCCGTTATTTCTTGCACGTTGGTACTTGAACCCGAAACACTGGATAAACAGTTACATACATACGTCAATAGCTTGATTTTATCTCCTGATATCTAATTGGATAACATTTACTTGTTCAACCCACCCGTCGTAAATAAATACTCTAACTATGTAATTAAATGTGTCCAACTCGTAGAGAAAATAACTCTGAACGACATTTAATTTATGAAAGGACAATTTTACGAGGTACATAAGTACTACATATGTTTCTTCTTGTTATCAGTTAACGAATCAAAGATAAGAATAAATAAAAATATAGCGTTTACTTGTAACAAGTTACTGCGATTTTAAACGGAAGAGATTTCATTATAATTGCAATGCGGTTCGTTTTGCATGAAAATAGGTACTTCTTATTTCATGGAGTAACAATATGCATACTTTGTTTCATAATTTTGAGACTTCTCTTTTGGCACGAATTTGACTCAATCTGCTCTTCTGACAACTTTGAACTTAACTTTTTGTAAATAAAAACAAAAAAAAGAAAAATATTCCAAATTCTCGTCTGATTTCAAATAATTCAAAACTTCAAAATTAACTAAAGAAGTGCTAATTTTCTGCTACATATTGCTCAACAATCCAAGTGGTACTAGATAGATTGCATTTGGTTTAGATAAACGCATGTTAAATTGCGTAAATTCGTACATTAAAAGCTTTTCAATTTATCTAATTAAATAAACTAACTATTCATTTAAAATAATCAATTAATTGTATATATTCTACATTTTCAGGTCATGTCGAGCCAACTGTGCCTCCTGTGTTCACAAGTCTTCGCCAACGACGACGACACTATTGCCATAAAATCCGTCAAAAAAATCAAAATCGAAACCCTCTTCAAACTATTTCACCCTAATTACGAACCTTCTCATCAACCACAATTTGATAATGAAGAGATGTGCGACTTTTGCCAAGATTGTTATCCTCTCTTTAACACAATAGAAGAAATTAAGGGTCAAATTATATTACTGGAGGAGGAAATGGGAACTAAAGTTGAAAAAATTCGGGCCATTATGTTTGACACTTCATCTCAGTTAAAGAATAAGAGAGGAGAGAAATTTTCACAAATTCGTAACATAATCCTCCGCGTGACAGGTGAGACATTTTTTAACTTCAATTAATTAACTAGCGACTGTTTCTTTAAATATTCGCTATTAATTGCTCCAATCAGGAGAAGAAGCAGAAGAAGAGACAGAACAACAAGATGGCACAAATTTTATTATACCGGACAATGTGCAAGTCAAAATGGAACGTGACGAAGTAGATAATGTCGATCCTCTCGATGACCAATTCTTTGCTGGTGACGACTATAATCCCTTCTCTCAGCAAAATGTCGTAAAAACGGAAGACAAGAATTTTAATGAAGACGACGACGCCGACTACCCACACCCCGGGCTACGTTCCCCCCGTGATGCATAAATGTCCCCACTGCGATAGAGAATTTGAACATTGGACCCTTCTGAAGATTCATATTCATAGGGAGAGCGGCCCTTCTCTTGTGACCAGTGCGGAAAAGCGTTCGAAGTTGTGGGCGTGCTAAACCAGCACTTGAAACGAGTCCATGGCGTCGTTTTGGAGAAGAGCAAAGTTAAAGTGCCAAGGATCAGGAGGAAGAAGCTGAAACCGCAAGAAGACGGAGGAAATAATGCTCATGTTTAAATAAAATTGATATTTTTTGACAAAATTATTTAGTTAATACGAATCAAATTAGATAATAGAAAAAGTATTTAGTAGAATATTTGGAAAGGTGACTAAAATGAATATTACTTTTCCATATAAACTTTATGAATCAGAAACATGCCACTCATGTTTAAATTAATGATTTTTTACAAAGTTAATTAATAGAAATCAAATTAGATGATAGAAAAATTATTTAGTAGAAAATTTGGGAAGGTTATGTGACTGAAATAAATATTAACTTTTCCATATGAAACTGTTAGAAACATGCCAAGCGCAGGTTTTGTATTAAACACAATTAAATTGTTTAAAGTCCAATAGTGCTGAAAGCATTCATCAACGAAGCCTTAACGTATTAGCAGATGCATTATTACATAATATAAAAATTAGTAAATAATTTATGTATTACATAAAATAACATTAGTTATAACATACTTACATAACACTTACTTATTACTGTATTTATATGTAAGTGCATAAAAATGAAATACTTATTTATAGTTTGCGAAATAAACACGTACGCACTTATTTAATGCCCACACTTTTAAATGTGTATATTATCTGTAAGACATACATACATGCTTGCACAAATCCCAGAAATTTCTTTTCGAAAATTTGGAAATTAATTTTTCCATGGCCTGCAAAAGTATTTGCAGTGAGTAGGCCTATTATATCGCATAGGGAACTTCTAAATATGCGATATATGTACATATCTACATATTTGCTTGTGCATTTATTTATGCAGAGTGAGACAGGATTTATACGCCTAATAAATGAACAAGTGTTCACTGAAGGGTGGAAGAAACCATCGGTCTCACCACACTGACTAAAATCAGATAACCATTCCAGCTCGAGGGTACAGATTAATCGTTTCCTCTGCAAATTAAAATCAACCACTAAAAGCAAAGTTCAACAAATTTACTTTTCCAGCAAACAAGTTAAGTCATTAAGTAAGTACATACTTGTTAAATCCATGCCTATTTACTTATGTATATGAAATTTATCAATACAAGAACTAACGCCAACTTTGAAATGCGAACATGCGAACTGGAACTAATGAATACCCCCAATATTTCTACCTATTAAACCTTATAGAAAAATTACGAAGTGACACTCTTACACTTTGATGGCGTCGTTTGCTAAAAAAATTTAAAAATTTAAAAATTTAAAAAATCCTCGAAAATTGGTATGTTCTCATATTTTTATCCACCCTTTTTTAAACAGTAATTAAAGTTTATGTTAGCTCAATCATAATTTCTGCAGCTTTATAATCTGTATTATAAAATGCCCACGTGCTAAATAAAGTAGCTGAAGCTACTTAATAAATTTGCACACACAATTTTTTGACGTCAGTTTTTATTCAGTATACTTTTAACTACTTACTAATTAATTATTAATTACACAATATCCAACTTTCTCCACTTTCTCCCCTCAAACAAGAACAAAAAACAAAAATTCAATATCAATCTGAACATCGCATCCAAATCCATGCACAAGGTTAACCCGTCATAATAATTTAATCTTAGGCAACCAACCTTTTCACATGATTAAATATAAATCAGAATTAAACAAGCACATGGCAAACATATTTCTATTCGAACACGTTATGGCGTGACAGTTGTGAGAAAGTGAAAGTTGACACGGCTACATTTTGTAGAAAATACATACCTACATAAATTTAATTTGTCACATTTTCGTAATTCAGATGAAATCTTTATGTAAAACTGAGCAAGAATAAATAATATTTTGGAAAATTTAAAAATTTCTTGAAACGGAGAAAACATAATTTTCAGAAATTTTTATAAAACACTTAAGAGAGAAGGTATGGGTTGCTGTGCTTAATCTTGTACCGGTCGAAGACACCGGAGTCCTTGGCGAATCTCAAATCACCTCGGAGAACGTCCCAAGAGGGCGTTATGCAACTCGGGTATTGTTCGGGGATAAGTTTTTCCAACTTTTTCGAATAGAAGATCCTCTTATTTCCATTTCGCCACGATGTGTAGAACGGCATTTCTTGCTCTTTCAGGTGCAGCAGTTCGGAATCTTTGGATGTCGCGAATCTCACGAGTTGCAACATTTCGTCGTTCGAGTCCATGGATTTGAACTTGTCCAAAAATTGGTACGAGTCCATGACTTTGACGGCGACGCCAAATTCACGGGCGAGCGTCTCAAATTCGCGTTCATCGCCTGCGAGAAATTTTTAAAAATATTTAAATTAGTGGAAATTTATTTTTGAGAAATTTTTAAATAAGATAAATTTTTAAATAAGTTTGTAAACCTTGTAAAATTTCTAACGACCAGTTTAAACAGATAAATATATCACAAACTTCACACATGTACCGTACATGATGTACGTATCTCTCAATTTTCGCACATATTCGCAAAAATAATTTTGTCAAAATTTTACAAAGTTTGCGAAAACTCGAGTGAATGTTAAATTAATAAATTTGCAAACTTAATTCTTCTCATATATCCCAGTCTTTTTTATAATTTAAAGTTTAGAAAGTATGAAAGTCTCGAGAGCGTTAATAAATTTGCAAACTGCATTCCTCCCAGCTTCCTTTTAATTTTGCAAAAAAGAGAACATGAAATTTCGGAAATTTTGAGCTTTACGAAAACCCACGTAAACCAAAAAAACCCTTCCCACTCACCTAAATGCGGGTTCAACAAGTTATACATCTCATATCTCGTTCCCGCATGGAAGAAGAGATCCACACACAACTTCGCACATTGATCCACTGCCATCAAACTGAGCGGGATTGACTGCGCATGCATCGATCCGATATACATGTACGCCAAACATCTCATCATGAGGAACGAGTCCAGCTGAATATTTCCCCCGGTTACGGAATCCCCGCCAATTTGAGGCAACCTGAACACCTTGCAGGGCACCCCTCGCTCCACCGCTTGCTCCACTAACCGATCGCAAATCAATTTCGAAATCGAGTACGCCGAATTCGGGAACATCAAGACTTCATCTTCACTCGGCCAGCTTTCCCAGAATCCACCCTCGTCATCCACCATCGTCTCTGCCGCAAAAGTACTAGCATGGAACACATATTTCAACTTGCCCCCATCCACCGCGAATTGGAGAACATTTCTCATCCCGAACACGTTCACGACTCGGGAACTCTTGGGATCCTGCGTTTCTCGGTAGACTTCATCGAACGCGACTTTAACGGCGAGATTGAACACGACGTCCACCTCGGCCGTCAATTTTTCATAGTCGGGAGCGCTCATGCCGAATCGAAGCTCTTTAATGTCCCCAGGAACGCAGGTGATTCGCTCCATCGGGATCGAAGAGAGAAGACCCTTCTTCTCAAAGACCTTTTGGAAACGTTCCGTCGGGGAGATGAGCGGGTTGGGTTGCATCACGCAAATGATCCTCTTGATGTGGGGACGTTTCACAAGTTCCCGCATGACGTAAGGACCTAACGTTCCGGTTGAACCGATAACCAGCACGGTGGAGGCGGTCTGCAAAGATCCCGCCGTCTTGGCGAGGGCGTCGTCCACCTGGATGTTCTCTGGAAGGCGGGCATCCTTCTTGACGAGGGCGACTAATTCGTCATCCGTCGGGGCGGGAAGTTCTTCAATGCCGGAGATCAACTCGACCAAACGATCGCTCAATTGGGCGACAGTTTTACAGTCTTTGACAGCGTTGATGGATATCTTGACCCTTTTTCCGACGGAGGCTTGTAGTCCGTTCTTCATCTCGACCATCATCAACGAGTCCATTCCGATATCTTTTTGAAAATTAATAATTATATTTAATTAATTAATAAATAATTATTAATAATTAATAATATATATTAATATGTATATATCGAATACCTTGGAAGTTCACGTTGTCATCGATCTCTTCATTCTTATCCATGTGGAGGGTGATTCGGATAAGCCGCTTCAAGAATTTACGAAGGACATCGTACTTCTCGTCACGATCCGTACAGGCGTCATACTCCCGCCAAAATTCGTCCCCATCCAGCTCCCCGCTCACATGACCGGCGCCATCTTGTTCGACATCGGCTAACAAACCCTTCGTCGAAATGAGGGCTTGCTTCATCGCGCCGAGATCCGACTCGTGCGCGGCAAGTTGAGTTTTGTGCGATTTGATCGCATACTCCAGCGCGGCAATTCCTTGATGCGTCGTCATCGGTTTGTTCATGGCAATCACGACGTTCGAAGCCATTCCGACTTGTCCCCATTGTCCCCAATTGATCGCCACGCCGGGAAGACCGATCGAGTATCGGTAGTGCACCAAGGCGTCGAGGTACTGATTCGCCGCTACGTAATTACTCTGTCCGTACGCCCCAATCGTGGCAGTGATGGAGGAAAAGAGGACAAAGTGTTCGAGACAGAAGGGTAGTTCGAGACTGAGCTTGTGCAAATTCCAGGCACCTTTCACCTTACTTTGGAACACGGTCTCGAACCTGGACCAGGTCTGGTTTTCGTACGTGGCATCATCCAAAACTCCGGCGGCGTGGAAAATTCCTCGAAGCGGGGGGAGTTTGTCCTTCGCGTCGAACTCGGTGGTGAAAAGTTCCCGCATTTTGTCCTCATCGCCCACATCGAGGAGACGAACTTCCACCCGGACACCGGACATGCGGAGGGATTCGATCTTTTCGAGAGCGTCCGGTTTCGGCGAGCTTCGACCGAGCAGAAGAATCGTTGTGGCGCCCATGGTACCCATCCATTTCGCGACTTCTAACCCGATCCCGCCCAATCCTCCGGTGATAAGATAGGTAGAACGATCGTTAAAGATGGGGAAATATGGGTCTGTCCCGACACCAGCGGGAGACTTGAATTCGGGCATGATCAAGGCAATTTTTCCAATGTGTTTCACCTTCTCCATGTATTCTAAGGCTTCTCTAATTTCAGACGCGTCAAACGACACGACCGGCGCAGGGGTGGGACGTTCCTCCGGTTTAGCGAGGATTTGGGCATGGATATATTTCGAAATCGTGTTAACCTTCTCGTCCGTGAGGGCAGAAACGTCGACAACTTCGTAGAAAACGTCGGGCCGGATCTTATTGATTTCCTCCTTTGTCCAAATATTCATTTTACTCATTTCTATGAATCTTGCTCCCTTCTCGCAAAGGTTGAGCGTAGCTTCCTTGAAGCCGGGAGAGGTCAACGAGTTCAACACAATGGTGACCCCTCGACCGCCCAACGCCTTCCGGATGTCGTGTTGATAATCCGTCGTTCTAGAATTGTAGACATGTTTAAGCCCCAGATTCCTTAGATAGTTCCTCTTCCTCTCATTTCCCGCCGTCACGACGACCTCGCACCCTAAGCTTTTCGCAATTTGAATCCCCACCAATCCCACGCCTCCGGATGCGGTATGAATCAGCACAATATCTCCCGGACCACCCTTGGCCACATCGACGAGACACGTTCCCACGGTCAAAATCCCCATGGGATACGTCGCCGCTTCCGCGTAAGTCATATCATCCGGAATACTGCAGGTCAAACTCTGCGGGGAAATGAGATGCGACGGCATGGAAACACCTGATCTGCGCACCGCCACGACACGATCGCCCACCTTGCTCGTACATCCGGGTCCGACCGCCGTCACGATACCGGCAATGTCTACCCCGACGTAGTTGTATTTGTCGAACACTTCAGGGATAGGTTTCGTGACCATGAGGACGTCCAGGAAGTTGAGGCAGTACGCTTTCACCTCCATTTCGAGCTCGCCATACCCGTAAGATTCTTGATCGCAGGGGATGTATTTCAAATCCGAGATTAAATGAGAGTCCGGCAGGGCCAATTTGTACCTGGGGCAAGATGGGATTGGTAGCGGGGCGGTTTTGATCTTATACGGTTTCAGGCGGGGCGTGCATCTCGTCCCCTTCCTGTAAGCGACCATGACCTCGTCATCGATCGTAAAGAGTTCCGCGGCTGCTTCAATGGCGCACTGTTGCGGCGTCGTGGTTGGGATCGGGTCCATATCGACGACCTTGCAGATAAGGTCTTGATTCTCGTTGGCGAGCACTTGGGCCATCCCGATGAGGGGGGAGGTGTGTGGGAGGTGTTGGAAATAGTCGCCCGATCCGATACTCATATTACCCCGGGTGAGGGTGAGTACCCGCAGGGGGAGTTGGGAGCGGGCCAGGTGTTTCCCAATGTAGAGGAAGGGTTCGCAAGACGACTGCGAGGTGGCGTTGGGGTCGTCAATGCCCCACGCGTAAATTACTCCGTGAAGGTTGATCGTCTCGTCAGACATGGCGGTGCGGAGGATTACCCTGATTTTCTCTTCCATGTCCCCCTCGACTTCCGGCCGGGTGACGGATATTACCCGGAAGTTGATTTGGGTTAGGTTCTTGGCGAGATGGGTGGCCAGTTGGGAGGTCGGGTCGCCAAAGAGGATCCAAGTATCGATCTTGCCGTCGTCATTGGGGACGATTTGCGTTTTGGAGACGACCTTGTCCGACCCAAGTTTAGCTAAGAGGATGGTGTTTCCTTCGTTGTTTTGTCGTAGAGGGAAGAGGTCTTTGAATCCGGCCGTCTTCAAAAGTTGGCTCCATCCTTCGAGCGACAAGTAGCAGTTTTTCGGACGTAGCGCAAAGTCTTCGTGCTTCCAGGAATCCTCAATCCCGCCGAGAACCATGCTAACAATCTTGGAAGGGGACGTTCGCCCCTTGTTGGAAGAGATTAGTTCCGTCATGACGAAATATCCTTCGGGTCGGAGCAACTTCTTCAAATTTCCTATCGCTCGCTCCACCTTTTTCGAACCCGCCATGACCCAGGAGGCGATCACGATGTCGTAATGGGCGGGAAGATAACCTTGCTGTAAGGGATCCTGGTCGACATCTAGGATCGAGAATTTCACCGCGACCCCCGTATCGTCAAAGGTTTTCTCCCCATCCGCCAAAACGGCGGGGTGTCTTGAGGTAAAAGTATAGTCAAAGTGAGACACCCCACTGTCCACCATGGATTTGATGAGGTGGCCCATTCCCGCGGCGGATCGCCCGCCGACCTGTAGCACCCTGACGACCGATTTCGTTCCCAGGGTGGACAACTTATTGAGCAGGGAAGCCTCCACGATTTCACCCCCTTTCGAAACTCCCGCTAGAGCGGATTCCTTCATGAAATGTGTGGTTTTCTCCGTCACTAGGGGCATATCTCCTTTCCCCGTTAACAACTGGACGAGCCCTTCCCCTAACGACGTTACCGTGTCGAGATCCACCTTTCCCCCTGCCCAAGTCCCGCATGCCTTCTTCATGGCGTCAATCTGTTTCGTAATCGCCGCCACGGAGGGAAACTCTTGTCTAATCTTGTACCCTTTCCCGCCCACTCCGAGCCAGCCATCTTCCACCATTTCTTGTAAGAACTGCTCGAAAAGCTTCATCTGTTCGGGAACGATGCCCAATTTTTCTCCAATTTCCGGATAAGCAAACTCCTTCTCTCTATCCAGCCCGAGGTCCTTCATCCCCTTCAACAAGTATAACCCAACCAGCTGATTCAGCCCGTTAAAGAACTCGTTTGTCTCCTGGTCTTCCTGCCCCTTTGAATTTGCCTCCTTCACAATCTCATCAATCTTAAGTTCTCCCAGCTCCCCGGCGGGGATACGTCTCTCTTCCACGCCTAGTTTCTCCTTCCAAATCGTCTCAGCCATGGAAGGATACGGATTCTTTTGAGAGTCAATCAACGACAAAATGTTGGACAACGTGGTATCCATGAATTCCGTCCCGACCATGGAAACCATCAGTTTTCCCTCGGAATCTAGCAGGTAGGCGGCATTTCCGGTCGCCGTGTTCTTCTGGTAAACGTACCCGGTCAAGGCGGAGTGTCCCCACCAGGTGAAATTGTCGATTTGGACGGGAACCACGAGACGTTTTCGGACTTGGTCGTCGTTGAGGAGGCCAAGCGCGATAATTTGGGATTGCAACATGGGGTCCGTGCACCACGGGTGGATCAGGAACCGTTCGGCGTCCTCCTCGGTTTCGTGGGATTTGAAGGGGAAAATCCACTCCCCTTCACAGTCGGGGTTTCGGTAGCCGGAGTTCACGGTGCGGCAGGATGGGCCAAAGTTGAAGCCGAAGTCTTCGAGTTCTTTGTAGTTGAAGATGCGGGATTCGTGGAGGAAGTAGCAGCGTTTCTTGATGCCTTCGAGGTCCAGCTGGTCGGCGGGCGGGGGTGGGGGAGGGGACGTGTTGAAGGTGGCGTGCGCGTTGCGGATCCATTTGTACGTGCCGTCGTCGAGGAAGACTTTGGTGTAGATGGTGGAGAGGGTTTCGCCCTCGGGGGTTTTGGAGACGATGACCTAAGGGGGAAAGAGAGACGTTGTTACATTTTGGGGATGAAATCTATTTTTCAAAATTTATTTTATAAATGTACAAAACGCATAATTTGTAAATTTATTTTATAAATCTACAAAATGCATAATTTGTAAATTTATTTTATAAACGCATAATGCAGGAAATTCACGCGGATTTTTGCAAACTGTGTGAATTTCCAAAGTTATTGACAAAACATTTTATCTGGAAATTTTATCTCATTTCATTTTACATTTGGTGAAAAAACTGACATTTCACAGTTTGCTTGTTTGAGAAAAGACTCAAGAGAAAGTTTGTAAAGTGTGCAAATTTTTAAAATGATTGATAAAAAATTTACTCCGAAAAATTTACCTCATTCCATTTTATATTTAGTGAAAAATTGCATGTAAATTTGTATTACACAGTTTACCTATTTTGCATAAGGCTTACGCGTATGTTCGCAAGTGTGAAAATTATGGTAAAAAAACTAGTTTATAAACTTTTATAAAGCAAAAGAGAGGCATGTTTAATTTGCGATGGCTTGACTACTATTACTTATGTTATTTGCATGCTATGCAAACTTTGCAAACTTTACAAGTTTTACACAGTTTACAAAATCGGAGTAGCAGTCTCACTGTGAAAATTCACTCGTAGTTTGGCGAATTTTACAAGAATATTTTACCAATCAAGATAAATGCTTGTGGGAAACCTGACACTCAAAATATATTCTTATACATGAGCATATTTTACACCGCAATATTTGCAAAGTTTACGAATTTCTCCACGTGAATTTCCCTTATTTAACAAAAAATACATATTTCCAAATCATAATTCGCCCTTCACCCACCTGGAATTCCGTCGGGACCATCTCGCTCAAACAGACGGGCGTCACAATGCTGAAATTCCTGACGCACATGGGCATCGTTGGCTTCACATAGTTCCCCTCGGAACAATGCGTGGCTGCATATCCGGCCGTGATGCACATATCAACATACCCCACACAGGGGAAAATGATCTTATCCCCGAGACTATGATCCTTCAAGAAGGGCAACCTCTGCACATTCACCGTACTCTTGAAGATCGCCAACTCCGACGGGTTCGGGATGAAGGACCCCAACAACGGGTGGAACGGGGTGGACCCCTCGTCCTTGATGCCCATCCAGTACGGCGTCTCCTCAAAATGATACCCGGGTAAGTTCTCGGCCCACTCGCCACTCGAGTAGCGGTGAAAGTTCTCCCAATTTATGGGTCTCCCCATCGCATGCAGTTTCCCCAAGGAACCCAACATGGTATCCCAGTCCTCCGCCTTGCGCCGCAAGGACCCCAGCGTTACGACCCCATCGGTAATATCGTCGACATTGTTGATCACCAACGTTGATAAGACGGGATGTGGCCCAACCTCCAAAAAGACGGACTGATTCTCCCTCACCGCGGTATGCGACGCTTCCAGGAATCGAACCCGTTCCCTGGTATGTTTCACCCAGTAGGCGGCATCCACTTTGGTGATCACGCCACCCTCCACGCCCGAAATGTAGGTGGGGGCTCCCTTCTTAACCTCGTGATAGGTCAGGGTTGCCGCCACTTTTTCATACGCGGCAATCATGGGGTCCATAAGGCGGGAGTGGAAGGCATGGGACGCGTCGAGCACGTGGGTTCTGATTTCATTATTGTCGCAGTACAGTTTAAACTCTGCGATGATATCGGTCGGTCCGGCGAGCACGGTTTGCGTCGGGGAGTTCACGGCGGCAATGTCGAGCCATTTCTTTTCATTCTTGAAGGCCTTGTCCATCGCGTCAAGCGTGGTGTTGAGCTCGGCGCCCACGACGAGCATGCCGGCGCGGGGGAGCGCGTCAATCAGTTTGGATCGGGTGACGACCAGGGTGAGCGCGTCGGTGGGGGAGATCATCCCGGCGGCCACGGCGGCGGCGAATTCTCCGAGGGAGTGGCCCACCACGGCGTCGGGGTGGACGCCCCAGCTCTGCCAGAGTCGGAGGAGGCATAGCTCGACGCAGAAGATGGAGGTTTGCGAGTAAAGGGTGGATTTTAACTGGTCGTTGGGTTGGTCGGACCAAAGAGCGGATTTTAGGGAGAAACCGTGCTCGTTTTTCAAGATGGCGTCGCACCAGTCGAAGTTCGTTTTGAAGACGATGTTTTCTTCGTAAAGGGATTTTGCCATGCCGGGGTATTGCGAGCCTTGCCCGGTAAAGAGGAAGCAGACTTGCGGCGGGGTGTTTGGAACGGGAGTGGCTTTAAGCTCGGCGAGATAAGGCATCACCTGCGGGCCGGAGGAGGCGACCACGGTGGCGCGCAAGTTCATATGGGGGCGCCCAGTGTGCATGGAGAACTCGACGTCCTTCAACGCCTTGCTGTTCGCCCCATGGAACTCCGGGTTCTTCAAAAGGTTCATATAATTGCCGACTTGGACGCGGAAAGCGTCTTCCGTTTTTGCCGAAAAGGTGAGTAAGTGCGTTCCCCGGGTATCGCGGAAGGGTAGTTTTGCCGCGGGAACTTCATCCGGAGTTGGAGGCTCTTGCACAATCACGTGCGCCTGCGCGCCCGTAATGCCGAACGAGTTGATCCCCGCAATCCTTGGTTTTCCTGCCTTCCTTCTCTTCCAGGGAATCGCATCGATCGGGATCTGGGCCGGAATGGCGGCCAGATTTACTTCGGGGTTGAGCTTGTTTAAGTGAAGATGTTTCGGGATGAGCTCGTTCTTCATGGCGAGGACGGATTTTTGAATCCCCGCGATCCCGCAGACCGATTCGGTGTGTCCGATATTTGTCTTGACGGAGCCGATCGTTAAGGGTTTGTCGCGCCCGTGCTCGCGGTGGTACGCCTTCGCGACGGCGGCAACTTCAATCGGATCGCCCACCGGGGTCCCGGTGCCGTGCGTCTCCACGAATTCGATGTCATTCGGGTCGACGCCACTTCGTTCGAGGGCGAGCTCCATGGCGCGCGCTTCGACGTCAACGGTCGGGGTCCCGATACTTTTTGAGGTGCCTTCTTGCACGACAGCGCAGCCACGGATCAGACCCCAGATGCGGTCGCCATGCGCTACGGCGTCGCCGTATCGCTTCAGAACGAGGACACCGATTCCCTCGGCACGTCCGAAGCCGTCGGCAGAGGCATCGAAGGTCTTGCATCGGCCGTCAGGCGCGAGGACGCCCTCCATCACGCTGGGAGAAAAGGGGTGGAGCAGTAAATTTGCGCCGATGGCGATGGCCAAGTTGCAAGCGTCGCTGCGGAGCGCGTCGCACGCCATGTCGACTCCCACGACGGAGGTGGAGCAGCCCGACTCGGTGGAGAAACAGGGTCCGATGAGTTCGAAGAAGTGGGAGATTCGGGCAGTCAGAGGACCCAGAGCGTTGCCGAGGTAGCCTCGGAGAAAGTCGGTGTCCGCGATGCCGAGCATTTGTAACATTTCTTTGTAATCGTTACGCCACCAACTGTAAGAAAAATTAAGGATTAGTTTCATATTTTCAGGCATTAAGGATATTCACGAAGACAAAAAAAATAAGTTTGCAATTAAAAAAAAGAAAAATTAGTTTAAAAATGATTTGCAAACTTGAAAATTTCCAAAATTGGTTTCCAAAATTCCAGTTTATTATTTTCATACGTTAAGGGTATTCATGACGAGTTGGTTAAAAATAAAATTCGCAACTGCGCAATTTTTTTAAACAAAATTGGTTTGAAAAATTGTTTATAAATTTGAGAATTTCTAAAACTGACATTTGTCCAGTGTATTATTTTCGCACATTAGGAGTATTCACGACGAGTTGATATTATTTATTAAAAAACTTGGACATCTCCAAAAGTAGCACGTATCCAACTTGCAAAAAGTTTTTCAATTTTTTTTGCACACTCGCAATGAATACCCCTAATATTTAATATGGTAACTCATAAATATTCTATCCTTACCCGCCAAACACGCCGGTCATCGTGTTCCTAAGCGTGTTGGGATCAATGCCCGAATTCTCCAGGGCTTCCCACACGACGCGAAGGGAGAGGCGTTGCTGGGGGTCGAGGTAATGCATGTCCGCCGCGTTGGTGTTGAAGAACTTGGCGTCGAAGGTGTCGATCGGACAGGAGAGGAAGCCGGCTTCCGTGTTTTTCATGTTGTCCATTCGAATGAAAGCTTTGTCCTTGGTCCAACGCCCTTCCGGGACTTTGCGGATCCCTTCCAAGCCTTGTTCGAGAAGGTTCCAAAATTCCGCGATGGTGTTGGCGCACGGGTATCGACATGCCATGCCGACAATGGCGATCGAGTTGTTGAGCTCCCAGGATGACGGGATGGTCAGGCTTTGGTTGTTGACCTTCTGAAAGTGATTAAAATTAATTTTCTTTAGTTTTCATTAATAATTTAATTTCATAATTTCATGAAAAATTTATTAATTTCAGCAATAAGTACAAAACAAAATAATTGCTGATTACAGCTTTAAGAATTTTATTATACACAAAATATGCATCTAATATTTTTTGTGTAAGTTTTTGCCACAATCTTTTTATCGAAATGCTTTATATTTCTAAAATATTTAAATTTTGCAAAAATGAGACAAATAACGCATTTCTTGGTAACATTGCAAAATCTGTAAATTACGCAAACTTACAATCTTTTACAAAATTTTAGACATATTTCTAAGGAAAATTAACTTACAATTTTTTGAAAACTTCAATTTAAAAAGTAAAAATTTACCATGTTCCCAGAGTGAAGTTCGGGACAGAGGCCTCGGACCACACGGGCAATTTCAGCCTCGAGGGGGCCACGTTTCTCCAGAGTGGCGATGTCCTCGTGGGGGTGGCCGTTGGTAAAGCACACCATTTTCAAATCCCATCCACCCAAAGGAGTTGGAGTTTTGCTGAATTAATTAATTTAACATATTGTTTATACATAAATCTCATATTCCCCATCATTTCATCATTTCTTCAGAATTATTGATTGAGAGATTTCGTGTCAGAGTGTGACATGATACATGTTTTTATGATTATAAATAACATGAGATTAAACTTGGGAATAAGCTAGTTTAGTGAGAAAAATTCTCCATGAAAAAGATCCATATTGGCGAAAAAAAAGTTGTTTGAATTTACAAGCCATAATTTTTAGACGCAAATTTTAGCTATATAAATTTGTTAAATTTTGTTTGTGATTTTGCGAAAGCTAAATACGATATTTATGCATTTGTCTCAAATTCCCCAAATAAACTTTCTCATCATGCAAACGTCGTTGCAAAATTACTTTTTCCACGAAGAAACTAATGAATCGCAAATTATTTTGAGATAGTTATCATGAACAAATTAACACGTGTTGATGGATAATAAACCTTTTTATGGGAAAAGCACATGTCCTCAAAAAACCATGTACATTTACACAAAGCGTGGTCACGGAATGCTTTCTCATGGTTGGTGTGTCTCCTAATAAAGACGGACAAGCTACTTAAGTTAGCAAGTGTGAAATTGTTATTCTTTCTGTCAAGTTTTTTGTCACACTTTTTGCTCATGAATTCAATTTTCACACCAAACTGGGTATGAAATTGCGCATCACACGATGCAAGAAATTACGTGTTGATAAAAATTAATGTAAACGAAATTACGAAGCAATTAAAAAAATTATCGGTGTAAGAAATTTATTTAAGTCGAATGTCTCACTTGGCCCCTGATGAATATTTTGATCTCATTTTTAACCAATAAGTCCTAATTTAAGCTAATTCCATGTCGCAGGTCAATTTAAAGGTTAAATTAAAACTAAAGGTAACAATTTAATTTTACTTACGCCTTGACATTGACCTCCAAGCAGAAATCTAGTTCCTTAACTTCCACATGGTTGGGATTTTTGATGGAAAATTTTCCAGCTAGAATAACACACGAGGCAGATTGTGAGAAAACAAGACTGGAGGAGAAACATGATATTAAGTAATAATTACACATTATTGCATAACATGCACTTTTCAGGGGATTTTGTAAACAGCTTTCTTGCATGCAAAGCCTCGTGCAAATAAAGAAATATGTACATGAGGAACTTGGTTTACACGATGTTATCTAAATTTATGCATCCATGTACCTCAAACTGAAACGTTGTATAATATAGATATAAAAAATTATGAATGTTTTGTTCTTATCTACCATAATTTTCATAATTTTAACTTCAATACAAATTTGAAAAATCTTTGAGAAACATTTTATCTCCATTCAATTGTAACCATAAATTGTAAATTTAAGCCACATTCCAATATTGGCTTTAAACAATTTTAATTTAAATTGTAGAAAATAATTCGATCCTTGCAAATTTATGAACAAACTTAATTTTAGCCTAATTTTTATAAAAGTATAAAGTAAAGTAAAGTAAAAGTTTTTTTCTCTCTCAAAATTCAAATCTAGCAATATTTTGCAAAATTATGCCAAAATCATAATTAAAAGTTTCGCCTACAATTTTTATAAATGTATCTGAACTATATTCTAAACTCTTCTCTCTATCTCTTAGAATTAAAATCTGGCCAAACATATTTTGCAAAATTGTCTAAAAATCATAATTGAAAGTTTAAATTTTTCACTCACGATTTTCCCCTTGCACCACCAACTCGGTGACCAGTTGCTTCTCCGTTTGGCCAAAGGATCTCGACTTGACCACAATAGCGGCGTGGGGCGATGACCCCTTAATATTCTCATCTCGCCCCACCCATTGCGTCCCATTCTTGAGAAACAGCTCGTCACAGTTCTTCAGGGCGAGACAGTTGACATCGAGGAAAACCGATTTGTGGAGCTCCTTCATTTTTTCGGCGCGAAGTTTGGCGACGGATCGGAATTGGAGGCCGGGGTGGTCGTCCGGGTCGACCCAGTAGCATTGGAGGACCTCGTCCTGCAACTTGCGCCCCAAGGCGAGCGACACCTTGTCGCTGATGATGACGCAGAGTGGTCGCGTCGTGAGGGACCGCTTAAGCGAGCGCGCGAGTAAGAAACATTTCCATGCTTCCTCATCGTTCCCCGCGTAGGTCACCCAGCGTTGTTGGAGACAGCCTGGAAATTAGAAACGGGGGTAGATTGAGAATAAAATCGAACTTGTTATGTGTGCATTGGAACTGTGTAAACTTTGTAATTTTGCAAAAATAAATGTTTTATTTCAATGTGGGTTTGTTTAGACAATTCACATGGACCGTGTAAACTCAAGGTACACACAAAGAGTAAACTTTGCAATTTAAAGCAGTATTCTATGTGCACAGTTATGTTTAGATAATTTGTGTACATTTGTAAAGTCGTAAATTTAAAAAGGTTGCGAAAGATAAAAATTAGCTAATTTAAATTTACACTGGTGAAAGGGATCCCTTAACTTTGCCACACTTTGCAATATAATTTTATACAAATGCAAATGAATTGGTTAACTTTTTACTGCCACTTTTTGTAAACTGTGTAAATTCTAGTCCCTAATTAATAAAACGCACTTTGCCTGTGTTACTTTTGTTAAATGAAATTAATTTTTCCATTTGCATAATTTGTGTATTCCTTAGCATTTTGTCTAACATGCCCCCAACTTTACGAAGTTTACACAGTTACAAAGCCAAGCGTGAATTGTCCCAAACAGTAAAATTCCGTCTAGCCAATATTATTATCCATAATTAAACGATTATAATTTAGGTTTCAAATTACTTGACATTTTTTTCACTCGATTCTAAACTCCAAACTCTAGTTCTTCAAAATTTCATAAAATTTCTGTCTAAATATTCTTCCCAACAAGTATATTTATTTAGTTGTGTGTTCTGTACAGTTATAACCGAAACCCGGACTTTTCTCACGACTGAATGATGAATGCTGAATGTGTAACTTTGACCTTGTCCTGGATTTATATCATTTAATTTATCAAGAGATCTACTTTTTTGCACGCGCCAAATTCCTTGGAGGAAAATTTGCATTCAACAATTAATACGGAAATTAGGGCAAGTTCACTCTCGGAAAATCCAAACCACTAATTATGTTACCAAGATAATTACAAAGATTACTCGGTATAACAAAACAAATTTTCCGAACAATACGTAACGTCACTGCCTGCATACATAGTTTCCATGGAAACCGGTTTATATTCGTACCGATTGCTTCTATTTAAAACAAGATAACTGCATGTTAATGTACCTGACATTTTCTCCTCAGAATTGCGAATTTGTATTTTATTTTAAGACAAGATGTGTTCCAAATTAAGCACCAAAAATCCCTCTTAGCACCCAAAACCAACCAGTCACCTCGGTATTTGTCGAACTACTAAATTTTGCATGGATTCTCAATTAAAATTTCTCAGCCCTCAACTTAAAAAAATCCGTATCATTTTTGAATTCCCAAATCTCAATCGGTGTGACCGGATGGATACGTACGTACTTGCAAAAAAAATACGACACGCAATAATCTCCAAATAATGTACTCCAAAGTAAAGTAAAGCAAATGTCCCTAATTAATTAAATTATTATCCTGCCTACGTAAATACATACATATTTAATAATTTCGCGTGTGTTATGTTTCATAAAAATTAATTCCAGCCTACACTAAAAATTACGTCACTGCCTGCATGCACACGAAATTCCCGTGAGAATGGCTTCTTAATTTGGTAAAAATCCTGAAATTAAATCCCCTAAAATGCCATCTCTGCATCATTTCTTGTTTTTTAAAAAATGCATAAAAACTCATAAAATGCTCTCCCCTTTTTAGAATGCATGAAAAAAAAATCATAAAAATTTTCATTCTCTCACCAGACATTTTCGCTTCTCACTATTTCCTTCTTCTTTCCAAAATTGCACAAAATGATTGCACACACACTCGAAGAGAGCTCGAATTATGGAGAATCTAAATTTTGACGGATTTTGATGGACGGATGATGGCTGCAGTTAGTTAAAGTTGGATAACGCAGAAGAAGCGGTTGGTTGCTAACTAATTCAATTTCGGAAGATTACCCCATATTTATAAACTCGCCTGCCAAGTGAACCCAATCTTTCGTACACCGTGATTTACATCCGTTCCTTTATTGCAGCAGAGATATTTTTAATTTTCGAGCAACTTCTCCATCATCAAAATAAGTAAAATAGCGATCCATGAAAGCTAACTTGGCCCCCACCTGCCAAATCCAAATCCTTAGATACATATGTAAATAGCATAGGTTTCCGCCGAAAAGGAGCAACTATTGTCATGGAAGGATAACTTTTCACTTATCGCCCGTTTTCATCATGGCATTTTACTTACCTAATACGAACGAAGAAAGAAAGAGCGATGGGATTAATTAGTTTATCAGGTTCGCTTATTTGGGGAGGGTGCTGCTTTTTACTGCTCGTGCTATGTATGTATGCTCTTACTTAATTAGCATTTGGCTGGTTTGGTCTGCATGCTGGTCAACAGGTGGGCAGGCACAGGTAGGTATGCATATTTCGGGTTTGAGGCTGGCATCCGGTTTACTGGAGTGTAGCCAAAAACTTGCCACAAACAAGACCCGAGATACTTATCGATGATGATAAGTATTGAATTTGAGGGAAAAACAACTCATACATATTCTGTTTTATTATGCATGCCCTGCTAATCGTATTAATTACTAGGTATGTTTGTAAGTAAGTAGTAAAAGTGTGTTTAGGAGACTATGTATTTGCGTGGTTTACGAAGTTTAAGGAGTTTAAAGATTCCAGGAGAGAGGGTTCAATAAGCTGGGAAGGTGAGCGAGTGAAAAAAAGGAAGATCACAGACCTCGATTTCCTCTCTCTGTCTCTCTCCATTTTTGGGGATTTTGTTGTACAATAAAATAATTTTAAAAAAGCTTGCTTAGGTGAGGGGCTGCTAAAAGTGAAAAACAAGGCCTCTGGCATATCTTTTAAATATCTCGTACCTTTATCATTGTAACAGGAGTTGGTGGCTTTGCATCACCGCGAGGCCAAACATTTTTACCGTTTACCATACCACGACGTTTATTACTTACATTTTCTGCTAAGAAATTCAATTATTGCTAATTAAAATTGTGTCTATATGTATAAACGCTTAAACAAACTTATTGCTTTGAAAGGGTTATAAAATTGAGTGGAGTTTGTAAAATTATTATGCAGAGGACCAATATGATCAATAATGTTTATTTAGCTCATAATTAAATTCGATAGTAATTCAAGTAGCTAAAAAAATTTGATGGATGTGCACAATTTTCAATAGGTGTTATGCAAAAAATTAAGATGCCGACGCACGAATAACAACGCGAGGGTATTTCCTAATTTTATTTACATATTAAAACAACTAGTTTTCAGTAAAACGGTTTCAACTAAAACGTGATAAATGCTAATTTTGACGTGAACCCAGATTAGGTTCTTGTGAATTTTTTAGAATATATTCTTTATTGCTAGAGGCTTGGCGTAAAATGTTTGGCCTCGCGGTGATGCAAAGCCACCAACTCCTGTTACAATGATAAAGGTACGAGATATTTAAAAGATATGCCAGAGGCCTTGTTTTTCACTTTTAGCAGCCCCTCACCTAAGCAAGCTTTTTTAAAATTATTTTATTTCATGAATTTTAGGTGATGCACATTTTCAGACAATTAATTGCACCTCAAAATTGTTAAACTTTTTGAAATGAAGACCGAATGTCTTGAATCTTTTTCATTACAAAATTAGTTGAAAATATGTACAGGGGGTCGCAAAATTAATTTAAAAACGGATTAAGGATCAAATAATCCAAATTTTTTAATTAATTTAGCAGATAATAATTTTCAGATATTAGGTTTTACGAGGATTAGTTATTTCACGAGAACAATCTGGATTAGGGAGGAAGATTATTTAATCTGGATTAGATTATAAATTACAAAATGAACTTATAAACATTTAAATCCAAAATATATGCATATAGGATTTTCAAATTTAAAATTTGTAAATTTGACACAGTACTTAAATATAAAATTATTGAAATTTGAATTTGCAAAAGAATTTGTAATTAATATAGATTAATAATCGTGCCAACACTGATCAGGAAGAAAGTTTTTGTGCGATTGGCCAAAAATGGAAATTACAATTGACCAATTAATTTGGCAAATTAAAATTGCCTAACACAACTACTTGTATTTGGAAAATTGTTATATTGATAGCTAGTAGCAACCAACTAGGAATATTGTAATTCTTGGTTAGCAACATGAATGGTTTCAGATGCTTCCATCAAAACTTTTTCAGTTTTGGACCGATCTTAGTCGGATTTGTTTTAAATGACGCACAACCGATTTCTGCATGATAAAATCAGGTTTTATGCATATAGTCCTGTGGCACAAGTATCTCAAATTTTGATTTTAAGGTTTCAAGTCCAAATTTGAGAGCGAAGAATAAAACTTTTCTATCGGGCATATTGAAAAACCACATCTCCTAATTCTCCTCTGCACGATTGCTCTTTACACCATTTGCGTAGGATTAACCGTTTAGGCTCTAGCCTCGCTGACAGTTTCAAAGGGTGTATACGAAAGCATACTTAGGCTTCGCCGTAACCATGGTGACGCTTTTTTGCGGGCACCCATTGTTACTTTTGCCTCACCTACGAAAAATTAATTTTAATGGAGGGTATGATTGTATAAATGCGCATTTCAACATCAATATCGTCCCTAATTAAATCATTCACCTCGTGGCGGTGTTGAGTAGTTTTAAGTGAAAGAAAGAGATGCATGTAAAAGATGGTGGACGGGCTTTTCCTAAGGCTTGTGTACACTGTTAGAAATATGGAATAGTCACGCAGGCACTGATTTCTCGGTATTAGGCTTGCTACTGCTTAGGATTAAAATTGTACTGAGCCGTAAAAACTTGCTACCGATATGGACAAATTTTAATACCGAGTTACTACAAGACGGAATTGCTTACGTATCAATACCATTTAATACTATATTTCTAATAGGGTGGTACTTTCCTTGATGTAACAAAGATTCACACAGGTTTACTACTTTAAAAAATGGCTCTAGTCTGTGCTCTGAAATCACTATGTACATACATACGTACATACACATGTGCATTATGGATGCAATATGAAAGTGCAATTAAGTATATAAGTTGCAAAAGCAGGTTTTGAAAAAGTACCACTTGTTCTCCTATTTGAATATATCAGCCCGAAGGATTGTCAAGAATATTGTTTCGTTAGTCCTTACTCAGAAAGTGTTAATTTCAAAGTGGCTATTGCAAAATTCATCGACATGAATATTTATACGAACTGAGAGGATGTATAAAAAAGATTACTATCGACACTCGTTCTTTTTTCAGCTCGCCTTACCCGGCGGCCTCACATTTATACATGTACTCAGGATGAATAAAACACTTTTAAATCCTTCTACCTAGGTACATACATACGTATATATGTATATATACTGATATTCTTTTATTGAGTACGTAGATTTAGTTTGGATTTAGTGAAAATTCAACAGTTACAGCGTTAAAAATCTACAAAAAGAGTCACATGCACGACTTTATATTCCGTCCTGGTATTTATTAAGTACTAAGGCAATAGTTTGTTTTTTAGTGACAAGTACTGAATTACCACCATATCACCATACCGTAACGCCCGGTTCACGACGCCCGGAAGAGTCACACGCATATTTATTCCGGTCAGTGATGATTTAACATGTGTGCATGTATTTACCAGTTGGCTAACGACTAACTTGGTATCTCCTTTAACACAACAACATACAAATATACATATGTACATAATATAGAAATTATATAGTATAGTACATAAAAAATTGGAAATAGTTTGGATAATTCTAGATATGTTGTCCAAATTTTTTCCAATTTCCAAACTAAGCAAAATTTAGCATTATTTTCCTGTCAAATGCTTTCCTACATGCTTACGACTGTATTATTACATACAAAGCATAAAACACTCAATGAATTGATACCCGATGCATGTACATATGTAGGCATGTAGATATACATATAAATACGTATGTACATATGCACATACATACATTTGTATGTAGCAAGTAACACACATGAAACAAAGTTGTTTGGACATGCACATTAAGATTTCACACAGTACACGTTTACAACTTCATGCCCAGTAGTCGTCGAATCATATTAAGGGACCGTGCATACAAGTTGTCTGACAGATTTGAGGGGATTATTTCCGGTCAAGCCATCCATATTAATTTAGCATATGTAATATTATCACCGGATGGTAATACAAGTTAAAATCATAATTCTATCGTCCTTAACGCACTTACCCCCCCAGTAATAAATCCTTTCTCGAAACACGTTTCATTCAATTTTACTAACAAGCCTCCCTCCTCACTCCCTCCGTCAGTCACGGATATCCAGGCACGAATAAAATTTGCTAATAAAATCCCTCAAATTAAAAATATACAAACGAACGCTTTCTCAACTTATTTAAAAACTAGAAAAAATTCTTTAAAACTTGCATCATCCATTCCATTTCATACTGATCGGCAAGTCTGATACGCACAGTTCATGGACATTCATTCCGAAGTTTATCTTGAGCAGAAAATACGCATCCCTCGTCCCGTCCACCAGACCAGAATGGCTTAACCTCTGCAAATACTTATCAGCCCATCAATTCTGACAGAATCAAGAAAAATACGGGTATAGCTAGATGGATATGTACATGTGGAGATGTTGCAGGTGTAAGTGATAATTATATAATGATCCACCTGAGTATGAACTACTACGCCGCGGATTTTGTGGCTTAATCCAGACGCGGGGTATTAATTAGATATGAACTACACAGTAAAAAAATAAGAGAGGAAGTTAAGGTCGTTGATGGGCAGATGGATGGATGCTGAAAATAAGGATTTATTTCATTATCTAAATTGCATTCGTGAACCCGGACAAGATACATATGGATATAATTTATTTGAAGGAAGAAGAAACAATTTGTACATTTATATTTAGTTTTTCAAGAAAAAATTAAACAATTTGGCAAAAAATTTGAGTTCATTGCAGAAATTGTCTTTAATAATTGAAAATCTGGTCATACATACACATATTTTCCCCACATTCTTTACTTTTTCCGTATGTACATACATACCTATATGTATCGGTGTAAAAGGTATTTTTGTGAATAAGTTAGCTTAATTTCAATTAGTTGAAAAATGTTGGATTAAACACCTTGTCACATAAAACCAGTCATCTCCGATATACTAAAGTTTATGCCCCCACAATATTTACCGACATGAATACATACCGTAAATTTTACGATGATGCGATGACACTTATTTATTTACGATAATAATGCAAAATGCAATTTAAACTCCAATGAATAAATCACTCGGAATCTTTATTTATTCATGGCCAAATGCTAAACTCATGCACAAGGCGAAAACATTCATGAACAAAGACGAGTTTTTAGCTGGCTTTTAGTTGAAGCATTCTTTCGGACCATGCTTAAAATAGGTGATCTAATTTTGGACAGGCTTGACCCTTAGGTGCCACATGTCCTATGCTATAATTAGAATAGCGTCCCTGGATCATATACCATCTATTTACACAGGGCCTCAAGGGCGTTGAATTCCACAATTGGTCCAGTCTTAGAGGAAATTATTACTGGTTTCCAAGGGGTCTCAATAAGAATATTCGATATTTCAAAAGTTCAAATATCCTACTATAATTTCATATTCGTTGCCAGTTAAATTTAAAGGCATTAATTTACAACACTGTAAAGCGTCCGGTAGAGTCACATATGTACGCCGTACTGGTATTGATTTGGTAATAATTTCTTATCGGATTGGTTATAGTTTAATTCTGAGTGGGAGCGATTTCATTACCACAACATTACTACGCCGTAACAATCGATATTACCGATGCCGGTAGAGTCATATATGTACTCCGTCCGATAATAATTCGTAATGATTCAATACCAATTGCCTAAGAGTGAACAAATTAATTCTATACACCTCACCACGCGAATATTTCATCAAGAAATTTCAAATGTTGGTAAGGTCTAACATAATATTTGTTATTCCATGTATGTATATACCTACATTAATTTCAATCTGAAATTTTTAAATAATTTTAAAAATACGGCATAACATTTTCCTTCTTAAGCTGTATTTGAACAAACATTAAATAAGTGACTAAATTTTCTATAGTTATTTAGTTTATCCTTCAGTTTCCGATACATAAAGAGCGACACACTCACAAAACATGGAACCAATGGATATTGAGCCATCAAGCTCTACAAGTAAGTTATTGATAATTTCATCATTATAATAAAAACCCCTCAATAAACAAATTTCCTTTTCTAAAAAGAAACTCGACGGAAACCTGCAATCGTCCGAAAACAAAATGATGACAACCGATAGACTCGTTTAGGCAACTTGGGAATTAACTACTACGACTCGGATGTAATTGGTAATGGTGCGACTGCAATCGTGTACCGAGGATTTTTCGATGTCCCCGAGAAAAAGGCAGCCATCAAACGGGTGTTTGTCCAGTATTACGACGTGTTTGAAAACGAGCTTAAGATCTGGAGCAGTGTCGATGACAATGTTAACATAATCCGTTGTTTCAAATATCTCAAGTGGGAAGAACCAACAGGTATTAATTTATATTTTGCGATGGAATTGGCAAACACGTCCCTGCAAAATTTTGTAGAACAAAACCCACAAGATTACGTCTCGATAAAAAACTATCTTCGCGATGCGTGCAAAGGACTTAAGTGGTTGCATGGGAAAAGAGTCATTCACCGAGATATTAAGCCTGCAAATATTATGATTTTTGACAACGGAATAGCCAAATTGGGGGACTTTGGGATAAGCAAGAAAATTTCGTCAATCACTGAAGGGACAAATTCTATGGGGAGGGGGACTGGCGATTACTTGGCACCGGAAGTAATAGAGGCGATAGACACAAAACAAGCATTTGTAAATACCACCAGCCTTGATATTTTTTCAATGGGACTCACAATTCATAACAGTTTGGCGCAGGGAAATCATATTTTCGGTTCTGTATTTAGAAGGCTTTTAAACATTACAAGTGGTCGGATGGACTGGTCAAATCTTGTGGGGGGAGATATGGGGGTGAGAGCGAAAAGTTTAGTTAGTGCCATGATAAAATACGAGGGGAAGGACAGACCAAATATCGAGGCGGTGCTAAACCACCCCTTTTTCTGGAATTACAAAAAAGACTTGAGGTTCGTAATGTCCTTGGCAAAATCATTCTCCGATAAGAATATTCCTGAAATTAAACAAATTAATAGCAAATACAGCGACGAAATGTCGAAAACAATGATGGATGGAGACTGGCGGCAGTACATTGAAGATGCTTCATTAGAACTTTTTACGGCAAATCATAAGAGAAAGTACAAAACTTCACGAATAATGGAGCTTGTTGCATTAATTAGAGATAAAAATGAACATTATTTAGAATTAAATACTCTTCTTTTGATGGATGACTTTTTTGGAGAAAATGGAGAATTTTCGGATGAAAAATATATTAAATTCTTTACCAGCAAAGTTCCACACCTGATTATATTTCTTTATTGTACAATGCAAAGTATAAAGGTAAAAGGACGTTTCAAATATGACTATTATACTGACGATAGAAAAAATTTTACCATGTTGACTTGAAAATATATTTTATACATGCATGTGATTTTTGTTATTTATAAATTAGCTAAAATTTTTAATAAATTAGTTTAGAAATACAAAAATCTTCATGAAAAAATTAACACGAAAATATCTTTGTAATAAACTTATTTTTTATTATATTGTGTGCGAAATATGAAGAAGTCTGTTACATACGTTTTACATACGCACTAGACAGCATTAACATATAAAATACTGTTCTAAAAATGTGAAACATGTATTTCTTCAAACTACAAAATTTCCAGAATTTCCAAAATTTGGCTGTAAAAAATGCACGAAATTTCAAATTTTCCATCGTCATGAGTTTGAAAACGTTGCAACATACCTACATACATACACAGAGATGTCATTATATGTCCAAATCACCCAAGTAAAATAACAACTGGGGAAAATTTTATTACTTTGTAATATCATGATGAATTTTAGCAAGCAACATTTATTTATTCCTCAAAAATATCTTTATACGACGGTAGTCATCTATCTGTAGAATCGGCACAAATTCCTATTTTTTGCATCCGGACTACATACAAACTAATAATAATGTATTTAATGTCTTCTTACAGTTCACTCATGATTATATCTACTTCCCCAATCGTTATTGGTACATCGCGACATAAAGTCCCCATTTTAATCTGGCTCATAAAAATATAAAATTTCATATTATATCATTTCAATTTATCAACAAGTAATTAATCTACCGTACCATTAAGTTGTACTGCAAACTAATAATTTTGCACGGACCACCCAATCCCGTGGGTAACACATCTTTCGGAATTTTCAGGACATCTTTTCCGACCCAAACTTCTTCCCTGCCTGGAAAAAAATTTGGTCCAATGACACTAACAATTTCACTTGTGTCCGTTTTCATCTTTCCCTTCGCATGAAATTCCATCACTTGAACCAACTTGATTTCAGACTCAATCTTCTTCTTTGAGTGGTTCTCCAAATTTGCAGAAAATCCGATAAATTCACCAGGAGCGAATAAACTTTTCTCTAGTTTGAAAGTGAACCCAATGTTTCCTGACCCACGGAAAAGACCGAGTTTCTTGGTATCCCCGATTTGCACAGGATTATTTAAGCTGGACAAAATTTCACGGGTCAAATTTAGTTTCCCAGTCACAATAAAGGCAAGTTCTGCAGGGGCAATGTCTTCATTGAGTGACAGGTCTGAGGTCGGAATTGCTTCGATGGTGTAAAATACGCGTCCCTTGGGGCGTCTAAAAGAGGTAGGAAGTCCCAGTGGAAGTTGGTAAGTGAAGGGGAATTGCAATCCTGAATGCTCCGATGGTTTGTCATTTTCTTAAAAAATGAGTGTATTCATTACGAGTTCGCATAGTTAGCAAAATTAGCAAATAAAAAAGTTGAAAAATTTGCGAAAAATTGGCTTAAAAATTAATTTGCGAACTTGTGCATCTCCTAGGCAAATATTTAGTTCGAATTATTCTCCCGAAATAATATACCCATGCGATCCGCGAAGTGAATAAAATGGAAATCCAAATTTTTGCACAAAAAAATGTGGTATGCAATTTCAAACGTAAATTGATGAAAATCTGTACATATGCATGTGTGCATGTGTTGGGCATACTCACGTCGCATTTCGCATAAGCAGTTTAGAAATAATTTTAGGATGTCAATTTGCTTGATAAATTTTGCAATAAATATACAGCTTTTTAGCAAAAAGCTGGCAAATTTTGTAAAGTGTTGGAAGTTATATTTACCGTAAAAACTCAAATAGTAGCCGGGGGCTACTATTTATAAAATCGGTGGCTAGGACCCGGCTACTATTTGAGCAAGGCTACTATTTGGGCAAGGTCACTATTTCTAAAATTATGGAGAGAGACACGGCTACTATTTGAATACGGCTATGATTTTCATTTCCTGAATCAAGCTCAAACTAAATTTAAGAACAATGCAAATTTTGCCTTTAGAGTAGTAGTTCATTGGAATATTATTCTGCTCGACCTGCTCTTCAATGATTCCTTCGATGAGCTAAATTCGTATTTTGTCATCGACTTATCGCTTCGATAGCGTGCAACTGCGATTATATTGAATTACAATTTAATTATCTTAATGAACTGTCAAGAAGTGTATTAGTAGTAAGGAAATAGAGATGCGTCTGTTCGAATAAGGCTACTATTTGGACAGGGCTACTATTTGAGCAGGGCTACTATTTGGGCAAGGCTACTATTTGAGCAGGGCTACTATTTGGGCAAGGCTACTATTTGGGCAAGGCTACTATTTGAGCACGGCTACTATTAGAGCAACGGCTACTATTTGAGTTTTTACGGTATGTATAAAAATGTATACAAGCTCAGTTTGCCAGATTTTCCTTTCCGACGTTATCCTGAACATGGCCATCATATTTTCAGACATTCATTTGCATTTAGTGTCGAAAATAAAATATGATAATGCCGAACCGCTTGGGAGTAGAGTTATCTCCTCTGTAAAATAAAGTTCTTCGTCAGTCGCATAATTCGTGAGGTAGTGCACTTTCTCGCCCATACGTTGAACGCGAACCACTGGCCAATTCACGGCTGCCTTTCCCTCAAACTTTATCCGAATACCTGCACAAAAAAGACGTAGAGGAGAAAAGATCTAAATATGTACATCCATATGTACACACTAAGGAATCCTAAGAAATCTGGTATACATAAAGGGTCGCATTTAATGGCGACCCTAAATGACTGAATGGGATACCCTAAGAACTAAACCATACGGTGGACTGAATGGCCTACCCTAACAGGTCGAAAAAAATAGCTAATAACTGAATCTCGACCCTAAAGTTCTGATAGTTAAAAATCGTTGATTTACATCATTTTTTAGGTAATTAGATCTCGATTAGTAATTGTTAAGACCATTTCTCAGAATTGATTCTTAAATTAATAAAAAATTCAACAGCAAAGGCTCGCTTGCATTTCTTTGGGCTCCCTGGTCCACGTTTTAACCCAAGAGGTACATTTTTGCAAGTATCAGAGATATTAAAATCTCTGTAGATGTATGCTAGTGTGGTTAAATGCTCACAAACATGTTGGTTTTTAAATATTTTACAATTACATAGAGAAATCAACTAATTTCATTCTTGTCCTTTTGTCTGTGCGTACGGATTACATACACTCCAAATAAAAATAAGTAAAATTTACTCAAGTCTAATTAAACCCAATGGAGGGCTATAACCCAGCTTCTCATTTAATTTGGCACCTCCCTGAGATAATTTCCAGTTAACTTTCGAAACACATGTACATATTGATCATAATCGATCATTGTTATTGATTATATAATAATTACACTCTAAACAAAAATTGGTAAAATTTACTCAGGGTTGTCTAAAAAGTTGATGACACAACCAAAAGGTAAAATTTATCCAATCATTGTGTAAAATTTGTTCAAAGTTATGTGCATATGTAAAATGTCCAACGGGTGGGTAAATTTTGCACAAAGTTGGTTATTTTTAACTTTTGGTAGTGTCATCCTCTTTTTTACTCAACTTTGAGTAAATTGTATTTATTTTTAAATAAAATATATTGGGAAATTAGGGTAAAGTTTAAGATAAATAGGGATGGTTATTGACAAGTTAGGGAAGGAAATTCAGTCCACCGTAGGGTTTAGTTCTTAGGGTATCCCATTCAGTCACTTAGGGTCACCATTAATATTTGCCCATACATAAATAGTCATGGGGTTATGTATGTATGTACAATATGTATGAATGAAATATGCGTTTGAATATCCACACTGTCTATTGTGTCTATATTCAAACGTATATTTCAGTTTTCGAATTTTTGCCTCGGTGGCGATTTTAGCCCTCAAACTTGTTTTTGGCGAAAAATTCCTGTGGGCGTCAAACAAATCGTACACGGTCCAACCAAAGCTCATTATTCTTCAAAACGCATGCCGCATCCAGTAAAAAATATTGCAAAGTTCAAAAAAAATATCCACGAAGTTTTTTTTCGACGCCTCAAATTTTTTTAGAAAAATAATCCTGACCTTGGACCTATCTGCGACATTAAAAATCAGCGACGAGGAAATTGTCGGCAGTTAGGTTTGACATTACGGCATCATGTCGAGATAAAAAATTTGTCATCGTAGCTATACTTTTGTTACATACTGTATAAATAACTGCACACAAAACACTTTGTAACAAAATTATTACCACGCGTATGCACATATTAACATAACCAATATGAAGCTCTACCTCGTTGGGAAATATTTGGAACAATAATTTCCAGGAAATTCAAAGTTATTACTTACAATTAGATATTTACTACCATATGTTACTTAATTTCTAAATTTGAGTTTTGCGAACAAATTTTGCTATTTACAGTGCCAAATTTTTACCAGCGTGGTAAAGCATTACCTACATACATGCATGCATACATGTCAATAATGCCTACACGTGGTGACAATTTTCTTACAAACTTATTTTGAGTACGATGCATAGCTTCTTATATTAATTAATTGTACCCAACGATAATTTATGTACTTATTTATTTACATACTTGTTGGATCTTTTGTTACATTACTGGTCACTACGACTACACCAGATACGCTTTCTCCAGCGGTATAAGTTGCGTATTGCTTATCCAAAATGATTTTCAGCATGTTTAAAATTATTAAAATTTATATTTTCAAGGATGTCAAGGGTTTATGTATTTAATCTGTAGTGATAACAAACGCAAGTTCCGAAATCCTGGTGTATTTGGGACGTAATTAATATGTAGTTCAGCCTAAATTCGCTTACAACTGGTTCATTTCACATTACAACAAATTTAAATGGGATATGTAAATATGTGTGACAAAGCTTTACATATACAGTGGTGATAAGGTGCCTTAATTACGAATGTTAAACTTGACCGCATTGTAGACCGCATCCCTTCTATGAACATACACACATATGTACAAACACTATAAATAAAGTTGTGCAAAATTTACTCAAAGTTGAGTACATAAAAGAGAGGATGACACTTCAATTCAGTAAAATTTATCCGACCAATTTTATCCGACCGTTGGACCAATTTTACCCAGTTGATGTGTCACCTCCTTTTTTTACTATTCAAGCGGAGTAAATTTTATGCAACTTTATTTAGAGTGCACATACATATATTGGGCGTACTCACTTCAACATAAATAATGTTTGGCATCACAAATTAATTTAGCTTAAGTGCATTAAAAACATGTTCGTTTGCTGCTCAAATTTAGGAACATACATACATATGTAAGTATAGTTTTTTACCCATTCATTGTACGAGTTGGCGTCGTTAGCAAATAGCAAAATTCTCAAGTTCTCAAAAAAATATTCGCGAACTTGAGCATGTCCAAGTCTAGTATTTAGTTTGCAATCTGTTTCCAAAATTTTGTTGCGATGCGATCACACGGATTAACTTAATATGCCCAAAGCCAAATTTGTAGACAAGGAAATCTGCCACGAAACTCCAAACGTGAATGGATATGTACGTATTTACATATCTACAAACACATGTATATGCATATTGGGCGTACTCACACGCCTGCGTCTCATTTTGCGTAGATAGGTTTCGAAATAATTTTAGGAATGGTGGCAAACTTCGTATAACTTTTGAAGTTATATTAATCTATACATATGCAACCTCAATTTTCTAGATTTCTCTTCCCGAAGTTATCGTGAGTATGTCCATCATGTAACTAGGCACATATTTGAATTTACTGAATATAAAGTATAGTAATGCCGAACCGCTTTGGAGTACAGTTATCTCCTCTACGAAATAAATTTCTTCGTCAGTCACACAAGTCGTGTAGTAGTGCGATGTCTGACCCGTTCGTTGAACCACTGGCCAATTCACGGCAGCCCTTCCCTCAAATTTTATCCGAATACCTGCATAAAAAAGATGTATAAGGACGATTAAAGAGCTAAATTCTTATACATAAATATGTATGTACATATAAACATATATACACACATGCATAAATTGCTACACTAGAAATAGTTGCTGGTATAATAGATGGTAAACATACATCTAGGCATATGTATGTACGTATGTAGCGAAGAAGGGGGTCTACCTTATTGGGAAATATTTTGGACTGCATTATGGCAACACTGAGGGTATTCATTTGTTATTTCTTCGTATCGTTAGTATCGTAAATAAAATAGTTTACGCAGGTAAAACAAGGGGTCAGGTTTAGTAAAAATCGTAAGCGTAGTAACGTGATCTTCGATGACATAATCTTACAAGATCTTGCAAACTCACGTAAGCGTCATATATAAGTTATTTTATGATACGAAGAATACTAAGGATACGAATAAACAATGAATACCCTCAATAATTTCCAGGAGTTTCTTTCTTATTTATTACGCATTACATTACCTCATTTTTCTTAGATGAGGCTATAGTTACTGTAGGAAAAAAATAATCTAAGTAAGCAGTTACTACAGTTTTGAAAAGCTTAATTTTTTCAGATCCAGGTGAATTTCCATCCGATTTTAATGAAATTAGTGTCCAGAGTTAATTATGGCAAATTAGAATTGAACTGCCGAACGGGAGGCTAAAATGTTAACCTGTTTCTGAGATATGCAACAAAAACACCATCAAAAATGTGTTTTTGGGAGATTAGAAAAAAATGAAGACATGTATGCAAAATGTAAATGGGAAAAAAGTTGATAAATATTTTCTAGAAAAATACAAAATTAAAATGCCCAAAATCGGTTTAAACCTGAGAAAGTTTTGATGGTGGTCAAATATCACCATTCCCACCACCACCAAGTTTAGTTGCTAAGGCCCACCAAGCACACAGTAAAGTGATTATTAATATAAGGGCGAAACCCATTTATAAGATCGTTATGTCCGTCCGTCTGCCGGTTCGATGTGAACGCAGCGATATATGTACAGACTTGAATGAAACTTTGAACATATTTATATGTAGGTTTCTTACGTTAATTGATCTGATTAGAATCGGAACACACCCCCGGTTATGAAGGTCAAAAAGGCTACTAATTGCATACACGTCAATTTAGGAAATTTAACTCCGAGTTCAACGGTTACCTCGATATTGACCTTGAAGGTCAGCAAAAGTCACAAAAATGTCACCAAATGTTAAATTACATAAATTTGCCACAAATGTCGAAACATTTCAGATAGATTTTGAACGCTGAGCCCGAGTATTATACCAGTTTTGACCTACATACAACACCCCAGGAACGGTGTATGGGAAGTCAGAGGTCACATATGTTGGAGCATAGGTTTCAACTAGAATTAAGTGGTTTTGGTCTTTGACCTCGTCCTCACGGTCATTAGGTCAAAAATATTCGTGGTGAAATTTTTTTTAAATGATACGCCACATGAAAATTAAGGTGAAACTTAATTTTGGACCACACTCTCTAGCGCAATGGGGGGTGGACCTATTAATCATACTATCGAACTCGACCGAGAACTAAAAATTAGAAGCACAATAGCGATAACCGCGCTTGACTATGAGTCGTTCTGGAGATATCTGCCCACGGACGGAATGACAGACGGACGAACAAAAAGATCACAATAAGCAACAGGGATGGGCAATCCCAACACTTTCGATGGATTACGGATTACAGATTAATTAATTTAAAAATTACCATGGGATTACTGGATTGGGATTACTTCGTTCCTGAAATAATGTGGATTACTTGTTGGATTACTGGGATAAATTAATGATGTGGATTACGGATTACGGATTACAGTAATCAGATTACGGATTATTATCTGGATTACAAAAATCTATATTTATGTATTAAGGGGTGAAGAGAAGCAAAATCAATTTATGTAAAAGTGTTGTCTGTTGGTCTGTATCCACGATTTAGAACGGTTTCGAATTTCAACATGCGGTTTTCGCCAACGGGTTTCTAATTCTCGAGGTACGGATGAGTAATTGGAATTGTAGGTCATAAGGTCACGGCGCCACGCCAGTGGTGAAACGTGTCGAATTTGTTTTTGCCGGTTTAGACATCTCGGGCGAGGATTGTTTTGACGGGGCATGACCGTGTGACCGTGTCGACGACGCCAAGGTCGAAAATGTCGAATTTTTGTCTTGACAGTTTTAGACAGTTTTGGGCGGGGATTTAAAAAATAAAATGTAGACATATTCAGTTTTGGCATGCCATGACCGCGTGACCATCTCGCTCCACCCCTTTGCAACATTTCGTTTGCAACGGTTTATTCTGAATAGCGTCACACTTATATTTCATGATGATTAGTTTAAAATACAAGAGCTTTGAATCCGACAGTCGGTTTCGTAGGGTAGACAAAATTATCTTAGGGCAGAACTAAACAGATGTTGTGCAGGTGAAGATGATGACAGAGATATGTTGTAGTAAATAAACCCCTCTTAATTGTTCCAAAATTCTCTAAACTTTGCACCTCTGCTGAAGAATCCAGAAGATAGTTTATGCACTCAAGTTCAGAAAGTGACTTAGACTCTGGAGAAGTTGCAAGATGGAGCTGTCATGCCGTTCACAGGAGCAAAGTAATCCAACCAAGTAATCCGTAATCTGATTACATTTTCCAATCTCGTAAATTGGGGATTACGGATTACACATAATTTCCAGATCTAGTTGGGATTACGGACTACGGATTACTTTAAAATGTGAATTTTTCATGGGTTACTGGATTACGGATTACATTCAATGTAATCTGATTACTTAATCTGATTAAAGTAATCCTGGGATTGCCCATCCCTGATAAGCAATTAATAAATTACTTTCCAATGCGACTAAAAACCACCAAATAAACTAAACCCTAAAAAGGAAAGCTTAGATGAGACCAACAAGTGCGATGAAAAGTATTAAATAATTTTTTTTATGTGAATGATATAGAATTTTAATATTTCCAGCATCAGCGCCCCATTTCATTCAATTCACTACCACGTACATAGGTATGCATAATACCATAATTATCAAAACATTATTGATGGTAAATGGTACATCATTTAATAATTTTTCTTCTCGCTAAAAATTATGAATTCTTATAAATGTAATCATAGAGTTGATACTGTTCTACTCAATTAACATATGCTTACATAATATCCTTAATTATATATGTACGGATATTATGTATGCATTACGTATGCAGAAATAATAATAAATCATAATTTGTTGTTAACCTTTCTTAGCATTTAAATATTATTATTTCTTAGTATTAAATAGAATCGTTAGTGTTGTTCATATGAGAGCTGACCTGCTACGAGCAATTTACTTTCGTTAGCTTAAAATGAAATGGGACGCTGGTGCTGGAGATATTAAAATTCTATATCATTCACAGAAGAAAAAAATTATTTAATACTTTTCATCGCACTTGTTGGTCTCATCTAAGCTTTCCTTTTTAGGGTTTAGTTTATAACCAATTTCTATCTGGACCGGGTTAAATTTGAGTTTCGCCAAAAAATTTGTATAATGTACTTTACAGTTTACCAGCAGAACATTATATTTATGTCAATGTGCATGTAGTAACTCTGACGAATGCGCATTGTGATGAAAGTATTGCATACTTATAATTTTAGTATGTATTTATAATGCATGACTACTTATGTATGGACATTAATCTTACCCAGTGATATTTACTTATTTAATTTGTGTATTTACATATTTACTTGTTGGCCTCTTTGTTACATTACTGGGCACGACGACCACACCAGATACGCTTTCTCCAGCGGTATAGGTTGCGTCTTGCTTATCCAAAATGATTTTCGGCATGTTTTTCCTACACAAAAACACGAGGAGGACTTAAATTTTATTTTGCATTGCAAGGGTAACGTATTTATTTAGTGATGAAAGATGCAAGTGACCAATATTGATATATTTGGGAGGCAATTAATATGTAATTCAGCCTCAATTCGCTTGCAACGTATTGACAACTGGTTCATATTAAACACGCTAAATTTATGGTATAGGTAAATAATAAAGCTTTCTATGCACAAGGCATGGTGAATTTGACCGCATTGCTAACATTGCAGACCACATCCTTTTTATGCAAATACTCTAAATTAAGTTGTAATGTAGAAATATCTATACTCAAAATGGAGGATGATACAATAATTGAGTAAAATTAAGACACAGTTTGCTAAATTGATGTCATCCTCTTTTCTATTCAAGCTTAAGTACATAAATTTTGTACAACTTTATTTAGAGTGTAAGAACATACATTTATTGGGCGTACTCACTTCAACATAAATATATACATATTATTTTGCATCACAAATAATTTAACAATAAGCTGAAGTTGAATAAAAACACGTTCGTTTCCTGAGGAAACTTGGGAACACAAATACAATGTTTTGCTCAGCTTCTAAAAGTATTTGGATATTTTTTAGCTATTGCGGTAAAGCCATTTTTAAAGGGAATTTTTTGATAGGTTTCGAAATTTTTTAATATTTATTAACGATGCGAACTACAGATAGATTTGTGAATTAGTTTTAACCGTAAACAATTTTATTGGCTTGTAATATCATAACGAATGTGAATAAGCAATATTTATTCCTTCATCACAGCTTCATACGGTGGAGGAGGGTCAACTGTGAAATGAGCACAAATTGCAAATTTATTTGCATATATAGTAATTAAACCTTTATCAATATTTTCCTCACGTTTAACTTCTGATTCTCCAATCGTTATGGGCACATCTCGGCATAATGTCCCCACTTTAATCTGAAACCACATATCGTCGTACTAATTCATAAAAGACCTAAGTGCAGGCGATGCTAAATTCAGAAAAGACCTAAGTGCAGTAGGTGTTTAATTCAGATACGACCGAAGTGCAGTCGATGCTCAATTCAGAAAAGACCTAAGTGCACAGAAAAAAAGTAAAAAAAGACCTATGTGCAAGTATGTATTTACTTATGGCTAAATCGCGCGATATATATGAAAAATAGTTTTGGCAAGATTTAGCCATAAGTAAATACATACTTGCACATAGGTCTTTTTTTACTTTTTTTCTGTGCACTTAGGTCTTTTCTGAATTGAGCATCGACTGCACTTCGGTCGTTTCTGAATTAAACACCGACTGCACTTAGGTCTTTTCTGAATTTAGCATCGCCTGCACTTAGGTCTTTTATGAATTAGTACGACGATATTTAGTTAGCCGATTTATATAAAATTTCACGTACAAACAAGTAATTAATCCAATATGGGGACACCCATATATTACGTTGTCAAAAAGGTGGGTAGGTGGTTTTGGGTCGACTATCTTGCTCCTATTTAGCTTACCATGTATACATAGGCTAGGAAATGGGCGAATGATTGGGAAAAAATAGGGTTTTTTATGACGTAATATACAAATACCCCCTACGAACCTTCAAAGTGTACTGTAACTTAATAACTTTGCAGGGACCACCCAATCCCGTAGGTAGCACGAAATCCGGAATTTTCAGGACATCTTTTCCCACCCAGACTTCCTCCCTTCCCGGAAGAACTTCCGGTCCTGTGACGTTCACAACTTCTCTCGTTTGTGTTTTCATCTTTTGCTTCACATGAAATTCCATAACTTGAACCAGCGTTATTTCAGGTTCAATCTTCTGCTTGGAGTGGTTTTCCAAATTTGCAGAAAATCCGATAAATTCACCAGGAGCGAATAAACTCTTATCGAGTTTGAAAGTGAAGCCAATATTTCCCGACCCACTGAAAAGACCGAGTTTCTTGCTATCTTCGATTTGCACCGGCTTATTCAGATTGGAAGCCATTTCATGGGACAGATTTAGCATGCCGTTTACAATTAAGATAAGATTTGCAGTGATATCCTTCTTGGGATTGGATGGGTCGGTGGCGGAGGCATCGATGGTGTACACCACACGTCCCGTGGTGCGTCGAAAGGAGGATGGAAGGTCACGTGGTAGTTGGAATGTGAAGGGAAATTTCAAACCTTGTGAGTCGCCTTTTTCGGCTAAATTGATTTTACGTATGAAAATTATAAACAAAATTCACGCAAGAGATTTGAGGATTAAAAAGTAGGAATATCTATACTCGAATTTTTGTATTTGTGCTAATCACCTCATTCGCATTTTTTAACGCATTCGCGAGAGGCACAGAGTTTATTCTGCATGGAATGCCATATCGCCGAAAATGGGTACAGTGAGATTTATGCAGATGAGGTGACCCACAATAAATTTCACTATTTGTACGTATATACATATATATATTGGGCGTATTCATATCAATGTGTTATGCATAACTCATTTAATAAAACGTTTGGGAAATAATCTTACAAATTGCGTACAAATGTGTTAAATTTCGGAAAATTATAGTGAGATTCACGCAGGCCTTGGTAACATTGTAAAATCCATAAATTCTACAGACAAGTTTAGAAATAAACTTACAGTTTATAAATCTTTCTAAGGAAAATTTTGACAATTTTAACTAAAAACTTTTTCATAATCAGATCAAGGACGTCTTTTTTTACAAAATTTACATATTTTACAAGTTATCTACGAATGCGTGCCTTGCCTTGCTGACAATCTGCACGTTCATGATGAGGTCGTGCATATATTTAGTAACGAGCATGATTTGGAAATTTGGTGAAATTATGAGATTTGGTGAATGGGTACAATATTGTGCCTAACCGTTTTCAAGTAGAGTTTCTTCGCCTTTAAAAAAAATTCTCCATCCGTAACGTATATTGCGATGATGCTCCTTCCTGCACGCATAGTCTCTGTCCACTGGACGAGAGCTTTTCCTTCAAATTTTATTCGAATATCTGCACAAAAAGGAAAATGTGATTAATAACGACTAATAAATACGTACGTATGTAGGTAAATTAGCTGAGCACAATTATGTAAAATAAAATTTAATTCGAATTTAACTAATTAAAAAGTTAAATCTAATGAAATTCAATTTAAAATTTTATTTCGTTTGATACTTTTTGACACATTTGTTCCAAAGTTGACCACAGGGTTGCAGAAATCTCATCTCACCTTCATAAATCTCATCTCACTGAGATATAGTGAGAAATAGTGAGACATGAGAAATATGAGAAATAGTGAGATTTATGAGCCATGCACTAGCGCCACCTAGCGGACGGGGTTATGAACTACAAGTTTATCTAATTATTTCTCATATTTCTCACTCAGCCCCAACTGAGATAAATGATATAAATCATTAAATCTCACTAAATCTCACTCAGTGATATATATCACTTGTAACCCTGGTTGACCATCACGACCTTGCCGGAAACAATTTCTCCAGGGACGTAAGTTTCGTCCTTCCTATCCAAAATGATATGCAACATCTTTTTTCGAAGTAATGATCAGAAATTAAGATTTATGTGTATTTTATACGCTTAAATGGGCAGTTATGTATTTTTTGATGAAATATGCAAAACCGAATGTTACGAATCAATAGCTACAATTCGGTTACACAGCGCAAAACTGGATATCTAAATTAAATAGATATGTTCAACACAAAAGCATGCACTCTTAGAAATCCAGTATTAAAATTGTACCAAGCGGTATTCATATATGTACGACTCTACGAAGGTGGTATTAATAAGTAATACCGCGTAGTAATACCTTGGTATCAAAGTTTTACCGTATCGGCAGCAAAGTTTTACGGACCAGTATAATTATAACACTAAGCGGTAACACTTTAATCACGAGAAAACAATACGTGCCTGACTATACCAGATTTCTAGCAGTGTTTGTGCATATCTAATAGATATTATCTATTACGATAATGTTTTCCCAGTGCTGATTAAGTTTGCCTCAACCTAAATCTGGTCGCATCGATGAATTAAGTATGCAAGATAACGATGCTTATTTTCATGGTATATAGGTAAACAAATCGCTTGATGTGCTAATAAAATTTAATTTGTGCATGTATATTTATCTGCCTAGGAAAATGTGACTAAATTGAACATGATCCTTAGAAGGATCTTGTTCAATTACATTGCATATCTAGAACTATGCAATGTAATTTTATCGTGTTTTAGTTAGTGGTACTAAAGTTGTCCCTGGAAAAGAGATTCCAGTGTCGATTTTCTGTGGGTTGTTAGCCCTGACAACCGGGTCCAGTTCAGTTTTTTCAGTTTCGCACCAAATCTGCATGAAAATAAACATGCAGGCGTCATCGCCACGTACATATCCATAGCACCTAACAAACAATGGAACAATACGCAGTTTTACTACCGACAATTTCCTGCATTGTAAAAATTAATTGGTGACTGGATTTGTTAATCGTGGAAACTTGTATACCATTCCAACTTACATCTGTCGAAAACCCTTCGTACATACATACATGCCGTTTGCATACATACAAAGTTTCCAACTATTCAATTAGATAGTTCGTCCAAAAGTAGACGTTTTGGATATCTGTTCGGTATTTATTTTTCTATAACTAAACTAACTTTAGTATTCCAAGAATGCAGAAGACATGCATATTGAAAAATAACGGAAAATTTTCTACCTTTTCAGGGAACAAGATGGTATACTTGATTCCATTCATTATCCTGGCACTGATGGCAAACTGTACATGCGAGAACAGGGACTACAGCAAATTGAAGCTAAAACAATTTGCCCGGAAGCATCTGGACAGCCTTATAAAAGTGCGACCAAATACGGACGACAGGTACACTGGCTGCATGTGCCCACCCAGTCTCAACACCAAGGGCTCCTTCTATAGCCTTTGTGGACATGAATTGAATCCAAAAGTAGGTGGGACTTGCGTTAAGGAATCCGGATATCGCTGCATTGACGGGCATGCGGAAGCCATATTGACGCAGGACTGTGCAGCTCAATCAGCTCAACAGGGGAAAAAACTTCACTGCGCAGATCTTACTGAGGAGTGTGACGCAGATTGCAAATTACAGGGAACAAAAAGCTGCCTACCGTGAGTGGAGTATGCATTTGTGGTCAATTTTACCAGCAAATATTGCTTTCCTATTACAGTAATGAAGCACGAAGAGCTTGTTTAAAGAGTATTTTGTATCGTAAATAATTTTGGGCCAATATCACTGTAATAAATTAAATACTGGTTATGCGATTGATTTGGTTTTTGAATGCGGTGACAGTGTTGTTATTGCGGTATGCACGTATGGAATCACCATTCAGCCAAGTTTACGTGGTTATTGCTTAATTCCCGTAAGTGAGATATGGGATATGGACCTATGGCCGAGCGAACTTCTTGGTTTTGTTAACCAAGTTACCAAGGGTTTGGGATATACGTATGTAAGTTTACTCCATTGCTTTCTACATGGCACAAAGGCGCCCTAGATCGGTCTGGGCCAGGAATCACCCTCTTTACTACTTGAGCAAAGAGATCGAGTCGCTATATCGAACTAATAATATATGATCCATGAAAGAAGCTGATAATTTTTTAAATTGATTCCATGTCTGTGTTCCAAGGTTTATCACTTTTATTTGCATAACAAATTTCGTATCGAACCAAAATTCATGCATGCATAAGTTGCATTCAACCCAATACTTCCCGCACTGATACTTTTATTTATTTCTATTCAATTGTATATAGTTATTAAGTCAATTCAACATTTTCTTTAATCTGATGCAGTGATGCTCCATATTTAAAAATGGCTACTTTTCAGCCAATATTCCCACTCAATTTTCTAAAAGGGGTGACACACCGTTTCAACAATTTAGAAAACAATTTTCCTTCAGAACAACGTAATTCACCCATCGGGACAGGAGCGGCAGTAAAGGGACGTTCGCCCTCGCGATAAATGCACTGCGGAATCCAACTACTTTTTATGAAAGTGTATCTATAAGTTCCGTATGTCTGAGACCGGCCATTATTTCTGTCAGGTGGGCATTGGGCATGAAGTTCCACGCAAGATTGAGTCTTGCTCGAATAAAAGATCAATTTATCTGCATCTCGCGAGTTTCGACAGCTTCTCTTGGTGCAGATGGATTTCGTCCCTGAAGGATCCAGGACAAACCACTCGTATGATTTGCAGGGACCCTACGAAGCACATCTAATTTAATTATTAATAATTTGACTTTTGCAAACTAAGTATTTGAGAGTTGAAAAATGATTTTAAAATTCTCACCAAAAAATCCAATTCGACTCAAAAAACACACCTTGAGCATCCGCCCTTTTGTAATAATTTAAATACCTGAGAAAATAGTGGGTAACACGATTCCGTTTCCGAGGAAAATCCATACGCTCGAAGTTCCGTATCCGAATGCCACTCTTTCGCCTTCCGCATGCAGTAATATTCAACTGGAGAGGAGGGATCATTATTGAAGAAATCACATGAACAATACCCGAATTCGGGAGAGTCTTGATTATAGAATAATTTCATGTGGAGGGGACACGGGTCTTGAAAACCTGTTAGATAGCAACGTGCCGGCGTGCCAAACATGACCCATGGGTAACCATCGGTTGGACTGTGGGCACGATAATTAGTCGTGTTGAATATGGTTCCGAACAGATATCTTGTCTCAATTTGCTTAAGATTGTATCAGATATCGGATCAGATATCAGATTCAATGTTAATCAAGTTGCCACCATATATTTGTTTGGAGCCATGGTGTTGAATGTGAATTTTTAATTTCTTAAAATTACTCATTAAAATATTTAACTTGAACCTTGGACATCCCGGACTACTTGAAAGGATACCTGGTTCATTTGAGCGGATTTGAATGAACGATTCATCCACTTCGATACCCTCACCGAGTTGACTTTCCGTCAAACTGTCCCTATTTTGCAATGCTTTCGCCAATCCGGCATGCACTTGCCGAGGGGGACCGCCGCAACTTGCTTCAGCAAGTAGTACAAAAATCATAGAAATAATCGGTACGAACATAATGCTACATAAATGCGTGGCTTTTATTTATATAGTTAAATACATATAAACTCACAACGAATAATCTTTAACCAGTTTTAGAACTTTTCACCTCTAAAACAAGTGCCACACTGGTTCCGGAGAATTTATACATATATGTATGTACGTATTTGAGACACAGTTTTTTAACAATTTAAGAATACGTACATACATAAATTAAATTATTCAATTCTTAACTTGCAGGTACATATTTATATGTACATGTTTGTGTCGTGGATATTTTTGCCAATATTTTTGCAATGCATACATATGTATTTATGTATATAAATATATGTACGAAGACAACAGAGAAGATACGACGTATATTCATATGCAATGCAATTAAACACACATATCTATGTACAAACGTAAGGTATGTATACCTTACGTATATTCATATGTATGTATGTATGTACGTAAATATGCGTAGTATTAATAACCTCCAGTATCTTACACCGTACACAAAAACAGGTTTGTATTGTTACGAATTTGCATGAATGTACATATATTGTATACACGTATATTGTAAACGTTCAGCATTTTTATTATCATCCCTTGTACATCTAAGTTGTTACAACTGGACACGATTGAAATTGTTTATTTCCATGTCTAGCATCGAATTTATGTATCTCAATATACCAACTAATAATTATTAAGCCAATTTAAAATTTTCCTCACTCTGATTTTGAAAAATGTCACCTTCTCAGCCAACATTTCCACTCATTTTGCTAAAAGGGTTGATACACCGTTTCAACAATTTCGAAAACAATTTTCCCTCATAACAGCGAAATTGACCCCTTGGAGCGACAGTACTTAAGTGACGTACCCCCTCCCGATACGTGCACTGCGGAATCCAATCACTTTTTATGAAAGTGTATCTATAAGTGGGAATTATGCCAAATTCGGAATCATGGTAGGCCCGATCATCGTTTTTATCAGGTACACATTCCGCATGAAGTTCGAGACAAGATTGCGTCTTGTTGGAGTAAAATATCACTCCATCTCGTTTGCTGGGGTCTCTACAGCGTCGCTTCTCGCAGATAGCCTTCGTCCCCGAAGGATCCAGGGTGAACCACTCGTCCGATTGGCAGGGACCCTGAGCAGGTTCAATTTGCAATAAATGTTACTATTGAAAAATGATGTTAAAATTCACACCAAAAAATTAAATTCAACAAAAAACATGATAACAGTCTGTCACATTTTTAGCATCCACCCTTTTTATAATAATTTTACCTCAGAAAATAGTGCGTAACACGATTTGGTTTCCGAGGAAAATCCATACGCTCGAAATTCTGCATCCGAATGCCATTCTTTCGCCTTCCGCATGCAGTAATATTCCACTGGAGAGGATGGATCATTATCGAAGCAATCACATGAACAATACCCGAATTCGGGGGCGGTTTGATTATAGAATAATTTCATGTAGAGAGGGCACGGGCCTTGGAAACCGGCCAGGTAGCAACGTGCCGGCGTGCCAAACTTGACCCATGGGTAACCGTCGGTTGGACTGTGGGTATAATAATTAGGCATTTTTTATATACATTTTTAATGCGATAAAATTAGTAATTTAAAAAATTTCAACCTAGGACATCCCGGACTACTTTCGGGGACATCTTGTTCATTTGTACGATTTTGAAGAAACGATTCATCCACTTCGATACCTTCACAGAGTTGAGTTTTTGTCAAACTGTCCCCATTTAGCAATGCTTTTGCCAATCCGGCATGCATTTGGCTAGGGGCCCCGTTACCATTTGCTTTACCAAGGAGTACAAAAAGTATGGAAATAATCGGAACGAACATAATGCTAAATTAGTGGCTTATATTTTTGTGCTTATTTATTTAGTTATTTAAATATTTACAACGAATAGTATTTTGAACTTTTCGTCCCTAAAGCAAGTTTCACACTGGCTTCGGGGAATTGGTGTGCATATTTGAGACCAGGGTTTTCTAACAATTAAAAATAATACCATACACAAATTATTCAGTTTTTAACTTACATCCACATCTATACAATGCAATACAAATCTGTATGCATAAAGTGTAAGATGTTTACATATGCGAATATTTTGCAAAGCATTGTATGCAGTATGTATGACGCAGATAATTGGCATACAGGTTATAACCTGCATGCCCATTATCTTACACTCTGAAAGAACAAGTTTGGATTTGGGAGGAAGGTTTACGTACGTACATATGTACATTCAATTGTTAAAAGTTGAGCATGTTTTCATCTCACGTATGTATAACTTGTTACAACTGGATACGACGCTCATGTCCAGCCGCATTTGCCTCAATCTAATAGAAAGGGAATGAATATTCTATCAACTACTTAGATACATGCATATGTATTCTATAATGGATACAGATTTCTGTACAAGTATTTAGTTAAGAAAATTTAAGTATGTTTAGTATTTTAAACTGATCCATGCTCCTAATGTATGAAATTAATAAGCACAGCTACATATGTACCACATCTGTACATATGGGCGTAGAAACGTATGTACATACTTACGCACATCCACGCTGCATACATTTATTAGTATGTCCTTACGTACAATAGGAACCAACATTACAAATAGCGAAACAAATTCTGACAGACTGCTTAAAAGACGGCACAGACTGCCAGCTTAAAAGTTTTCGAGGTGGGCGACCGTTCCATAAAATGATACACTGACAGCGTTAACCCTGATGACGATAAGGTGGAAGGGAACGGTCAAAAAAGGTCAACAAAATTTCTCAACGCACCGATACCTACAGTGCATACATTTCCCCAAGTAAAATATGATTCAGACTTGATAATCGTCGAATTTTGAGAAAGAACCATGAATTTAAGTATTGCTCAATGCTCTCGTTTTAAGGTTTTTAAGGGTCCTCACTGAAGACTGTTGTTTTTGAAATGTATTCAGATTTGTGAAATCATATTCTATGCAACCGCTCATGACATATTTTTAATCTGATTAGATTGCATTTGGTTTCTGGGTTTTCGATGAAGGTGGAACGTGAACATGAACAATGGATCAACGTGGATATGTAATTCATTCATTCCCTGCCAAATTACAAAAATTATTTCATGCATAAGAACCGTTTCGACCTTTGTTTGCCTCAACGGGACTTTCCTTTCACTTTCTCCCTTAATGTTTAGAATAGCTACATATGTATGTATATATGTAAATATGTACTTGCAGTGACTTGCACATATGCACGAAACGAGACGAGACGAAAGTAAAGAAGCAGACTAAATCCATCTGCTCGTTCGTTACATTATTAAGTTCATAATCCAAAGTAGAAAATATTTCATATATTTTTACTCGACCTGCTCTAACAATGTATGTAGGTGTCCCAGTGTATGTTCTCCGATTTTAACCAAACTAGTGCCAATCGATTTCAAATTAAATTAATAAGAAAATTTCGAGATGCAAAATTTCCAAATGAGCAGTAATAGCAGACATATTTGCATCCGAAGAAATTGGACCCTGTAAAATTTGCTAACTTCATGGCGCATTTTCTCCTCTTTGGATGCAAATATCTCTGCGAAACCTGCACATCGGAAGATTGTGCCTTTTGCTAATTTCATATTGATTAAATTTGTGCTCTATTGATATCAGTTTGCTCAAAATCGGAGAGCATACCCTGGGAGCATACCTGTGCAAGCGAATTTCTCTTCACTCAACTTCACTCATTTTCAGCTCGGGCCAAGTAGCCCTTCACTCCCCTCATTCGCGTGAAGGAAGGCTGAGTGAGGCTTCACTCACTCATCAATCCCATTCTCACTCATTCATTCCCTTCACTCCTTCATTCTTCTCACATCACTCATTCCCCTCACTCACCTATTTTCCTCACTCTTTCTGTCATTCAATCAAGTCCCTCGTGTCATCATAATTTAAATATTTTGGCGCCATGTAGTGGGGGAATGTGAGACTGGGCTGGGGCAATGTGAGACTAGGCTGGGGCAATGTGAGACTGGGCTGGGGCAATGTGAGACTGGGCTGGGGCAATGTGAGAGTAGGCTGGGACAATGTGAGACTGGGCTGGAGCATTGTTAGACTAGTCTGGGACCACATGAGACTGGGCTGGGGTACTGTAAGACTTTCCTGGGGTGATTAGAGACGCACTGTTTTAATATTGCGAGGGCGAGTTTAGTGTGTAAACTAATTATATTCCTTCATTTTTCTTCCCCGGAGATAAAGGAGTGAAGGAGATCTCCTTCACTCCTTCACCCTTCATTCCACTCATTTCTCGTTTGGGCCTCCCTCACTCAGCTTCACTCACTCGATGAAAGTTTTCAACTCCCTCACTCAGCTTCACTCTCCTTCACTCCTTCATCGCGAATGAAGCCTCAATTTTCGTAAATTGAGTGAAGCTGCACAGGTATGCCTGGGAGACCTTCATTATACGTCTAATTATAATTTGTATTAAATCCTCACTTACAAGTCATATAAGCAAGTGATGGATGCATCCCCTTTAAACAACAGATTGGTAAGTTCATATGTTTTTTCAAACGATATGTACATACTCGTGTCATTCGGTGTCATACACAAGTTATCTGTAAGCAATTTATAAATAAAATCAATTATCTTCTAGATACTAAACACCCTGTTCAAATTTTTATCACCAACCACTCTACAAACTGCACGGCTCGTTTGCAAACTATGGGATTACGAGGCAGCAAAGTGTTTCCCAGTAACTATTTTCATAACACCATCCACCTTCAAAAAAGCTAAGGCCAGAAATCTCATCAACTTTGTGCATAAATACCAAATCGAGTATAACTTGCAACTATCATTCCTCCCAAAAAGTTTGTGGAATTATTATAAGAGAAAACACTTCTTCGAGGGTTTGGTCGACCACGTGTACACTCAAGGCATAAATGTCTCTACTGGTTCGGCATCTTCAATCGTGGATTTATTATCTGGAACGCTGCAGCTAGTTCGGGATCTGCGTCTTGAAATTATGGTCCGCAATGCAGAAGATGGGAAATTGTTGTCCAAACTTTTTCAAGGGATGCCCGGTTTAAAGATTTTGTCACTGGATCTCGTTGACTGGACGGAGGAAGGGTTGAAACATTTATGTAGGAAAATACCCTTCTCTCTAAACATTCTTGGACTACAATTTCATAATGTGAGTTTTAGCTACACTGTTACGCTTAAAAATTCGGTGTTAATCGTTACCCGGCGGTGTGCATATGTATATGGCTTCATCAAATGGTGATAATGTTTTTCACTGCATGGCAATAAGTTTTTCCCAACATGGTGATAATTTTATGATAAAATTATCAATGGTGATAAAATTGTTATGACCATTAGCTGAGTTACATTATCACCGCGCGGTATTAGTCACATACGCATACCGCTCGGTGATGAAACCATTGTGTCATGAGGGGACGTTCATAAATTATGTAATGTTGGAGGGGGTCTAGGGCTCCAACGATATCATGCTTATATTACACATGTTAAAGGGGGGCGGCGGTCTAGAAAATTAGGATTTTTACACTACACAATTTATGAAGTTCCCTAATTACATGTTTGTTTGCTATAGAAGGACGAAAAGGACAACTACACTGCAAATAATCCGGTGTTAATATTCACATTGAGATTTACACCAAGGCGTTGGTGAGGCTTGTTGACCCTGCTCTGGTGTCAGATCGCCCCTACCCTCGACACCGCGGAATGTTGAATTCACACCAAGCATGTGTTTACATTATTTATTTTTAGCCGTGTAAAAATTTACACTGATAGTGTAAATTTACACCTTGTTGGAAGAGTTTTTTTGGAACGTTTTTATTTTTGCGCATGCTTCTCAGTCCATCCCCGGCAGCCATTTCTCCAAGTTCAAGAAACAGCATGGCCAAGTTAGTAAGAGTTTCGAATCCTATGAGAGGAAAAAAGTTGATTGTTTGTGAAACACGAGGTTATGAAGATTTTATAAATTTAGGTAAGTTTTCATCAAATCATTAAATAATTAGTTTCGTGTTTTAATTTAATAGAGCCAATATTTTTATTATTTTATGCAGTTAAGACAAAGTTTCTGTTGACAGAGGAGGTGGAACTATCCCTGCAGGACGAAGAAGGCGCAGAGATCGACGAGCAAGTTCTTCCCATTCTACTCGACCAAGCGACCACCCCTAATCTTATCTTTTTGCTGAATGGCGAGGAATTGGTCTCGACAACTTCGCAGGTCGTGACGATTCCATCTACATTTGCAGGTAATTTAATAGTTGTAAAATATAGCCCATTAATTCATACTTATTTAAGTAATAATATTTACATAAACTATCAGGTGTCAGTCTAACTCCAGGCTCATTTTCGGTTGGAGGGCAAAACGAAGATTTGTTTCAACAGGTGAGCGAGGAAATATATTCAAACGACTGAAAGTAATTAAAATAATTTCTTAACCAGGTACTGGAACATTTATTGGAAGATAGACAGGATCTGTCTCAAGTCGTCAGTGAGTGCAACAAAAATGGTTTTGTTGACTTTACTTCCTCGTCAACTTTGATCAAGGAATTTGTTGCCAAGTTGGTGCAACTCAAAGGGTGAGTTAATTTTGAAAGTAAGTGTATTATTTGACTATTTAGGATAATCACATCTGTGACTTTTCTAGTGAGTCACCATCCCCCAAGGATCAAAAATTACTGGCGTTGGCAATTATTAAAATTTTGCCCTGTTGGAGATTTCCATCAAGTGTTGAAGGAATTGTAAGAATTTTCTTTAGGTTTAAATATATTAAAATTAATCGTCTATAGTTAGTCAATATAGTTAATAGAATATATTTTACGATTTGCAGGATTTGTTATTTGACGACGTAAATCGCACCGGGCTTATTCAGTCAAGACTTCGCTGGGTTCATCGGAACTTGAAAGTAGACAATAAGGACGTCAAAGTGAAGGGTAAACGGGCAGCGCCGGCTATGACAGGTGGTCCGACATCAAAACAAATCTCTCCCGATCAAGACTGTCAGCCGGCATTGGAAGAAACAATAAATAAATTGAACGGTTTATCGTCCAAATCAGAAAATCACGAGATAAAGGCGCTGGTGGAGGCTACTCTCCCTCACAGAAATCAGCTTCGCTCGACAAACGCGCAGTCCATTCTCAAAATCTATAATAAGTTTACTGAGTGCGATTTTCTGGTAAGTTTTTTTTGAAAATATTAACTTATATGTCACTGGTTTAAGTTGTTTTTTAAACTAGGTGAACTACGAATTTTCTCTCATCCATCAAGCTGAAGAATCAAACTTTTTGACCATCTGGCCGGCCCTATCTGCACATATTATTGACAAGGCGAGAAGTTTGAGCAAGTCTCCGTCCCTTCATAAATTTATTAACGAAGAGTCGGGTAAAAATATGTAAAAAATTAGCAATTAAGCTTACATTGAAATATTTATATAAGTGCATATTTTAATTTATTATATTTATACAGGAAATTGGGATCCAAGTTTAAGGGCACTCTTCTTCCTCCTGCACCTCATTCCACCTGCTGCTCAGGGCAGAGGGAAAGGAATTAGATGCAACATTCTGCAGGCCAGAGAACGACTTGTTACTTTCCATAAAGTGAAATATGCCAAATTTATAGATTAGAAGATTACATACTAAATATGATAAAATTAATCTAATTGGAACTTATTTTCGTAGACTGGAACGCCGCTTCAATCTATTTTGGATACGTGGAGCCCGGAGAAAACACAGCCCAACTTAATCTGCATCGGGGACAACAGTGCCACGATTTCCTCCTTCTATTTGACCCTTGACAGGAGTTTACTTCCCCTCAGTGCGACAGAATCCTTGGCAGCTATCGACTCACTCTTCAAGGCTCACTTTGTCTTCGCCACTGAATACGACAAGAGTTTGATAGGTCTCTGGAAGTTTTTACAAGTTTATGTCTACAAATTGGATGTCAACACAACGACAATTCCACCGAAGGCCAAAGAGGTGTACGTCCAACTGTGCAGTTCCTTCGAGTTTTAGTTGCTATTTTGTTTGATAATATTTAGGATAAAATTAATTAGAATTTCAAAAATGTTCAGCTGCCCAGACTGTGCGAAATGGTGCTTAACGGGGCATGATATTTTTTTGCACTTTAAATATGTACATAGTTATTCTCAGTCCAATTTTCAAGAAATAGTTTGCCCACATATTAATTGTTTAGTTTCGTTAAGTAGTTGGAGTGGTCTATTAAGACATATAAAGTCCCACGAAAATGTGGAACGAGTTCAGGTCGAGCCTTCTGAGGAAGGTTTACAAAATAATATTAGTTTTGATATTCCGGACGAGGAAGAGATTAGCGATATTAGTGAAGATTTTATGTCTCGTGATAGGGCTGTAAAACTATTTCAAGATTTGTTAATCAATTTCTGTTCTTCTTTGATGTCGCGTGGAGTGAGTAACTCTATCGTTGATTATGTAGTCAAAGATTTAGATTATACATTTTCCCAAGTTTTTAAGATAATTATTAGGTTGGCAAATTTTAGTGAAGACTTTGCTAACTTCCCGGTGCAAGTGGAGTCGGCTTTTAAAAAGTTAAGAACTAGTTATAGCAGGCAGAATCTTTACGAAAAAAATAACAAAATCGTAAAACCTGTAGAGATTACTTTAGGGACAAGGATAGATTTAAAACTAAAAGACAACAAAAGGAAGCAAGTTTTAGTGCCCGAAACGTTTATGTATGTTCCAATTCTCAAGACGTTAGAAAAAATATTTTCTCTAAATATATATTCCAAGTATTTAAATTGTTCTGAGCAAAGTTCATCTTGCTATGAAAGATTTTGTGACACGCAGAGTTTCAAGAATAATGCATTGTTTAAAAATTTCCCACGCTCAATTCAAATTCAACTTTTTTATGATGATTTTGAAACTGTAAATCCGTTAGGGTCTAAACGAGGAATACATAAAATTGGGGCTTTTTATTTTATTTTAAGAAATTTTCCAGACTATGTGAATTCCGAGCTCAATAACATTCACCTCTTGGCTCTTTTCCATACGGAAGATGCTAAGAAATATGGTTTAAACTCAATTTTGAAACATATTATTCCCGATATAAAGATTTTAGAAACTCTTGGAATATTAGTAGGAAATGTACGGGTTTTAGGAACAATTTGCTGTCTTATTCATGACAATTTAGGTGGCAATACTTTACTAGGTTTTATGGAATCGTTTAGTGCGAATTAGTACTGTCGCATTTGTTGCACATCCAGAAATGAAGCTCAAAATATTTATGATCATAAGGAAATGATAATTAGGAACCGGGACAATTATTCGGAACAATTAGGCACGAAAAGTTTTGGTGTTACTGGGTCGTGCGACTTAAATAATTTGAATTATTTTCATTTTATTGATAGTCCAGTCGTGGACATAATGCACGATTTATTAGAAGGAGTTGTTCCATATGAACTTAAATTAGTTTTACAGAAGTTGATAAATTTAGGCAGTTTTACTTTGGAAGATATTAATAATAGACTAATGTGTCATGATTATGGTTATTTAGAATCCAGAAACAAACCGTGTCCTCTTCGTTTAGATTTAGTTGGAAATAAGATTGCACAGAAGGCTGCTCAGGCGTGGTGTTTAATCAGATTCCTTCCAGTTATAATCGGTGACTTAATTATAAGTGAGGAGCAGTTAAAATATTGGGAATTAATTTTGCAGCTGCTAGAGTGCATGAGTTTGATTTTTTGCCTAAAATTTTCTGAGGGAACAATTGAGACTTTACATGCAGCAATAATTAAGCACCATGAGTTGTTTAGAATATTGTTCCCCGAAAAAAAATTGATTCCTAAACACCATTTTATGACACATTATTCCTACGTAATTAGAAAATCTGGACCGTTAATTTCTCTTTGGGCTATGAGATTTGAAGGCAAACATAATTATTTCGTACAATTAGCTGGTCAGATTAAAAATTACAAAAATATATGCCTCTCACTTGCCACACGACACCAGCAACACATTTCACATGTGCAAACTAATTTTTCCACGAATGATGACCTCAAAGTTGACAACATTTTTCCTTCTTCATTGTCACAATTTTCTGATGCTTTCGATTTGATTGAATTATTAAGAGAAGTTAAAAGTTATGAAGATGTTAATGAGAGCACCCCAATTTTTACGACCAACCAAATCTGGTTTAGAGGGTATAATTATAAATGTAATTATATTGTTTGTTTTGAGATGGGAGCGATTTTTCCCAAATTTGGCTTAATTTCAGAATTCATTATTCTAAATGACAATCGTTGTTTCTTGCTTCTTAAAGAGCTCAAAGATTATTTTTGTCGAAAACTGTTTGCTTATAAGATTTCTCCGGTGGAAGAAAGTTTTAAGTTAATTAATATTAGCAATCTACTAATTCATGATGGCATGGAAATTCAGAAAAATTGTAATCTAGATGGTATGTATGTAGTTTTACGACACCATGTGTAATTAGTTTTCGAAACTGTATGTCATTTATAACTAATTTGTATTATTAATGTTTAATTCACTTGTTATAAGGTTAATAAACAAATATACTTAAATAAATTTTATGCGATTTAAATTCATTAACACCAAATTTGCATCATAATACTTACCACACAGTGTAAAAATTACACCACGCTATGTTAAGTATTAACACCGAGACCGTGTTAACATTGTCCCTAGACAGTGATGATTTGACCCCACGTTGGTGTAACTAATGATTTGCACCATCCCGTGTGGATTTCACACCAAGACGGGGGTCATATATACACATCTCTTGGTGTAAATCTGGTGACGATATTTTTTGCAGTGTATAGTATCAAATCAGTCGAAATTGAGCAGGACTACCATCCCGTCTTGGATGATTGGATTTCAACTCTGCTACATCTATTCAACACGATAGAATTTCTGGATACGAAGGGTTGGCAGAGAAGTGTTGGACCCAGACTTTGCCATGATTATGACTATCGTTGCCTAAAGTTTATCACCCAAAGTATTTCCAATAATCCCTCTGCTCTCCCAAATTTAGAAGGGTTGCATCTTTTTACAGACTCTTTGTGCGAAAATTTGGGACAGGTTCAGACATTTAAGACCTTAAAACATTTATATCCCCGCATAACGCAGTATTTGCGAAGTTACGCGAAAAATTTCCAGGTATCGTATGAAATTTTACGTCTACTTGTTAGAAATTCTAATTCCTTAGAGACGTTGGATTATATATGGTATCATTTTGGGAATGTTTCCGGTTACGATATTACTCTTCCATACATGCCAAAATTAAAATATCTTGGCTTGACGAGTTACTCACGGGAGCGGTCTCGCACGGATAACTGGGCACCGGCAATACCAGACGTGCTAAACATACGGAAACTTATTTTGGTAAGAAATTTATGAAACAAATTTTAAAAATATTGAGCATACTCACGTCAACTTTAGCATGTCTCGCAAATTTAGCGTAGCAACATATGTAACTTGCCAAGTTTTGCGTTCCGATATCGCAAAATTTTTGCTGCAAAACCATAGGACTTTTTTCGCAAATTTACCCACGAGATGTTCTTATGTATTTCGCAATCTCATCCTCGCCATCAGCAGCTAGATAAATTACAGAAATTCATGGGAGCAGTATCAAAATGGGTTTTTTAGTAGCAGATTTGCCAAGCCATGTTTTGCGAATCCCTTCACGATATATGTACTTTTTTCAATTTTCGCAAGTTTGCTAACTGCGAAAAAGCGTGACTACGCCCGTTATCTAAAAATTTGTAATAAATAGCATTTTATTGTCTTGGAGGGTGGCCATGAAAATTTTTCCGCAACTCTACCAGCCTTGGAACATTTACTTTTAATAATGCTGGGAAAGAACGACTATGACGTTTGGGATTACATATTCCCCTTCGATCTTATCCCGGATGGGGAGACAATCCCACAAATTAAGTCATTACTTATCTCACTGATTTGTGACTGTGATGCTGAACAGGGTTTTACTTTACCCACCTTTTGAGCTTAATCCCCAGCCCAGTGGGTAAAATGGAAAAAATGGTGAAAATGGGTGGGTAGTGGGTAAAATGGGTATGAAGGGTTATAGTGACGTGGTGGACCACCACCACCATTGGGAGTAGTTTATTTGCCTTGTTTTGTTCTTATTGTTTATTAAATAAACCACTCGATTTTTGATTTTACCGTTAAGTAATTCATTAGGTTTAAAATTGCCAATTTAGTAAAAACAAAACTACACTCTGGGTAAATTCTGGATAAATACGAAATATCCTAACAATTTGCATTCATTTTAATCTCTCATAAAGTATAACAATTTATCTTTTGTCATTAGATTTTGACAGTGATAGCGATTATGAATCAAGCACCTAATATAACCTTACCCATGAAGAAGGAAATGCAAACAATTTCGAAGAAAGAAATACAGAGAGAGTCAGCAATTATCTATATTTTTAAAAAAATTTCAGTGCTCTCGTGTTATTAATATGATGAATTATTTTATCTTTCAAGTTGGGATTGAAAAAGTGAATCATTTTGCCCCAAAAAAGTGTTTTCCCCATTTTGTCCATTTTCCCCACTTGCGGGGCTTTGGGGTGGGTGGCTAAAACCCATTTTACCCACCCATTTTCCCCACCCTATTTTCCCCACGGTAAAACCCTGATGCTGAATTTATTCGCAAAATTTTCAACTTATTTCCAAACCTGACAAGATTTCGACACCAAGTAGCTACAAGTATTGAGGGCAAGGAATACCTCCATGTGTGTGAGCATGACGCCAAAATTGGAAAATTCGAAAGTGTCGAGCTATTAAAAATTGGGTATGAGGACCATTATGAATACGGCGCATGTAGTAGTTTTATTGAATGAAGAAAGAATATGCATTTAAGACGAAAAGATTTTTGTTTTTGGGGCGACATGCATGAGAGGGATGTTCCCAATCCGGATGAGGATAATTTCGTTTATTGATTGATTCATTATGCACATCGTATTTAAAACCATAGTTAAAGATGTATGTAAATATATATTTGTAACAATGTCAAAATTAGAGGTGCATCTCAGGACCAGTATTTCTAAAATAAACCGCTGTAACGTTAGAAGTAGCTCACCCTGTAATAAAAATATTTTAGTGTATGGACAAAACGGGGAGACTCAATCTGTATTATTTATACGTTACATTACATAAGTACCCACTATGTAAATTCATTTGCGTTAGTATTTTTTTAATTCACAAAATTGCATCTATGAATTTTATAAATTGAAGAAAGTCGAGGGAATATTCAAATGACTTATAAAGTTGGAGAATTAGGTACGTGAAAACTTATTTATTTTTGGATAAATAGTACACAATCTGACAACCGATTTGATGGATGAGAAGATAACTAATGGATGGATCGTTATCGGAGAGAAAGATAAGGTCAAACACATGCTTACCGAGTTCAGAGGTCGATAGGTGGACGATTGACTTTTGTTCGCCCATCTTCCGATGTAACGCAATTATGTAGCAATGCATGGATGGGCACCATGAATATTTTTGTCACCGTGAAGTTTTTATCTGTTATACACAACTGTTACCTGTTACATTAATGGTTAGCATATATTTATGTAGTATGTAAGGCGTATGTAAGTTACTCAATTCTTCAAGTCACGCCACACACCGCAAGTTCGCTAAGCCCGAGATAAATACATATGTTGTATGTATGTATGGCCGGAGTAAAAAAAAAAGTCGTCTTCATTGATTCCCAATTTTAGCCAGCACAATTGAATTACAAGTGAACCAAACCTCACATAAGTGAGAAATAGATGGTCACAGGTTCCTAACTATGGTGCCCGTAGTGCAATGGACACCGCACAGACCTGTGCAACAAGTCAAAGGGGAAAACCACAAGGGAAAAACTCTCTACCAGTACTGGGAATTGAACCCAGAACCTATATTCGGCTTGAAGCACAGTGTGATGACCACTCGGCCACCACTGCCTGCAACACTACTGACAATGGAGGTCTCCCAACGTATGCTCACAGATTTGCACCAAAGTAGCATCAATCTATCACAAATATAATTAGTATGAAATTTGCAAATGGGACTATCTGCCAATGCGCAGGTTTGGCTGAGATATTTGCATAAAAAGAGGAGAAAACTCACCTCCAAGGCTGGCAAATTTTTCATTTTCCAAATTGGCTGCACATTTATCCCGCTTTGGATGCAAATATCTCCGACAAACCTGCGCATTGGCAGATAGTTCCATTTGCAAATTTCATACTAATTATATTTGTGATCGATTGACGCTAGTTTGGTCCAAATCTGTGAGCATACGTTGGGAGACCTCCATTGTGAGTACATATGTATAAAACTCTACCGCTACGGTAATAATTATCATTTAGCAATGTTATGGTAATGTTATGGTAAAATCAGGTAGGAAATTACTACCAAATAAATTACAGTGTTGAGTGGATATGTTGGTCTGATTTTTTAAATATTGTCCAAAAATACTTGGAGCATTATAATGCCTCCGCAGGTGACGATTTGTCTCCAGTTTATTTAGAGTGTTCATACGTAAATATGACTGCATACATACGTACATATAAAAAAGTATCAAAGTCGTTATTTAACAAAATTTTATATCTCAATTTGATATCTGAATATAAATATATAACCAATTTTTACAAGCAAGCATTGAATTTTTTAATCCTGCTCGGGAATGAATATGAATTATGTGCACTCATCGTAATAAAATTTATATAAGTGTGTATTTTTAAAAACTTCCATAACCAACTCTACCAAATAACGCTCGAACAGACAGACCGTCTAGTAGTCTGGCATATAAGCCTTGTATAGAAATATGTATTGAGCCTGCTTATCAATCCTCACCCCACCAGTCATTAGGTAAGAAATTGTTTGTTATTCAGCACGAAAGGATTTATTTATACGATCGGCAGAACTGGTATAAATTCGCGTTGATCCGGTAACCATGGTCAGTTCTGCTCCAGTTCGACTTCAACTAACTATGAAAATGAAGACCCTTCTCATCCTCGTCTGCCTTGTGGGGTGTGCCAGGTGGGAAAATACACGAGGAAATAAGTTATCACTTTAATTCATAAATCATCTCTAAAAGAGAAAGAATTCGTGAATGATGCACGTTCGGCAGGGTGTCCCTGGTAACTTTGTAAAATTCGTAAATTTTGAAAAATAATTTTACAAGCTTTTACGAAAAGATGCCGTTAAACTTGCACACATTTGTGGGCCAGATAATTTTCTTTGGAAATATCGCATTTATTTGTTAAAGTTTGTAAGCTTATAGATTTCCCGAATTTTACAAACTTACCAAGGACTGCGTGAATTGCGTATAAAGAATAATTGAAAATACGACCGAGTAAATGGGGGTATTCTTTTCCAGGTCGAAACGTTAACGACGTTAATAAAAACAATCAAGTTTGCAAGTTTGCGAAAAAATGGGTTGCAAATTCATTTGTGAACTTGCGCATCTCCAAAGCTAGTATTTATGTATGCAGTTCGCAATTGTTTTTCAAAATTATGTTGGGATGAGCACATGCGAATGCGTAATGAATACACTCAATGAACTTGTGAATATTAATAAAAAATTGGTACAAAAAAATATTTTGTTTAATTTCCGTAGTTTGGCCTCCGCTCAGGTGAAGTACTCCCACGACGTGGCGGTGGCTAAGGTTCAGGCAGCCGGGATTCCTATTTGGTCCTCGGGTGGGTGCAGCGATCGGTACAACCCGAGCTGCACGTCCCTCGAGCAGGTCAACGCCAACTCCATCGATTCTGGCTCAGGTGGGATCACAGTGTTCAAATCCGCGTCGGGATGCCCGGTCACCATCACGGGAGGGACTGAGGTACGTACATAAATATGTCACAAAGCAAGTATATTACGTGTAGTATATTACGTGGTAAAGTGGTAATAATTTAGAATAAACGGTTATTAAGTGGGGAAAGTTGAAAAACGGGAGAACTTTGGAATAAATAAGAACCGTCCAAATAAATAATAAATATGTGAATGGGAAAAACTGAGGTTCAGTTAACTTCCAGGCTTAAATACCAGTTAATTTTTTGAAATATTCGGTTGCGTATTAAATTACGGATATTTGTGTAACGATTTTTTATTGCTTTACTACCACTCTATTATTCCAAATATTACTTTCCCTACAAATTATTTATATACATTTGTGTAGAAAAATTATTTCTCTTACGCACGAAATCGTCTCCATTGCATACCAGTTACACAAATGTGTGCACATATTTATGTAGTTATATCGGGGATTAATGCCTTACATGCACTCTTAGAAATCCAGCATCAAAATATCTGTAATAACCAAGCGGTGTTGATATGTTTCCCTACCAAATTGATATTGATAAGTAATTTGCATGATGTTATACATAATTGCTCGCTACTAAAGCTCTACAATTTTGGTAGCTTATTTTTACGGACGGTTTTACTTAATAACGAGTGGCAGCAAGTTTAATAACAACTGCTTGACTATGTATACCAGACTTCTAGCAGTGTATAGCACATAATTTATGAACATTCATAATAGAAATATTAATTTCAAAATTGAACTTAAATTTTTTCACAGACCGGGCACGGAAACGGGGCTGGTTTCTCGCACTGGAACGGGTACAAGATTGACATTTCTTTGAACTCGTGCGTCGACAACTGGATCTACAGCGCGTACACCTTCATCGGCAACCGACCAGGCGACAACGCCCCGCAATACCAATCCGCCGCTGGAAACATTTACGCCCGAGAGATCGACCACTGGGACATCACGTATTATTAGATTTTGAAAATATATTACTCTAAGATTTAAAAAAAAATATACAGGCGTACAAAATTTGATGTAATCAGTGAATTTTTTTGGAGCATAATAAATTATCAGAAATTAATAAATCAGCTAAAACATAAATTGAAAAGCATAACAGGATAAATTACTTACAAAATTTCATTTAGGAAAAACTTTTGTAATTTTTCCTCCAAATTTGCAAAAAAATGGGTATCTTTTTATTTCATAAGCTTATGTATGCATGTGAATACATATTTCATAAGCTACATACATCTGTATGCATCTATACTGTCGTTACCTTGGTACAAAATTATTACCAACCGTCGTCTACATAGATGTATGTAAGTATTTATTTACATGACCCTATCGGAACTGGTAATAATAAGAATCACCGTGTGGTGATGATTGTTTTGTGGTCATAATAAATCTGCATGCTTATCAATATTCTACGATAAACTAGGAAGCATCGACAGATTGAAATTGCACAATAACTACCAAGTACGTCATAATTCCTGTTATTATCTGAGACATTATAAAAATTAGTACACTTTCAATTGTCACGTTACATATTTATATATTTAAATAGAAACTTACAGTGATGAGAAGTCTAACATTTAATTCCAAAACGGAATTTCCTACATGAATTGGATCCAGTGAAATAAATTTGCCCTCCTGTTAAATAATTGTCATTATTTACGTCAAAAATTTCGAAATTTTTGATACTTTTTAACGTATTTACCTTTTCAACATAATTTCGCATCATGGACTTCGACACACTCGAAACTTCCCAAACCATAGAATTATTTCTCCCCAATAAATCCTCAAATTTTCTAAATTTTGCCAGTTTAAAAAACAATTTACTCTTATCCTCCAGCACACTTGCGCAATTCGCCCCCCAGTAAAAATAAGTCGTGAAGACGACCACTTGCACCGTGAATATTCCACTTAATACATAATTTTTTATTCGAATCGTCATAACGACGTAGTACGAGCAGAATAATAAATATCCTACCGTATAGATTACAAAGGTGTTTAATTGTATGACAAAAAGGGTACTAAATTCTGTCACGTATTGATCCAATTTCAAATACAAGTCTAAAATTTGTTCCATATTTGCATTCTCATTTTCCTCTAAAACTTTTACCATCCGGATCGCACAATATGCAAAATTTTCCACGAAATATATCACACCATGGAGTCCGCAACTTGTAAAGAAAAAATGTGCCAGGAAACCTACGTCTTGAAAAAGCCCGAGAAAATTGACGCTCACAGAAGAATCTTCTTCCACCTTAAACGTATAATTTGTCGACGTTACATGCCCCACGAAGAGGACGCACATCAAAATCGTGGTCACGATTAAATGAATGAAAAATTTGGTTTTCAAATTTTTGCAATGCGTTTCAGAATGTATTGACACGTTCAAATTTTCTAGGATGGTAGTCAAATTAGTGAACTTTGTCCAAAAAGTGGAGATTTGTTGCCTTATCGAGACCAAGTTTATCCGCATGATTACCGGACATAAAATAGTGCATATATTCCAGCCCAAACTAATTAAATAATACGTGTTTCGTCCCCTTCCTGAGAAATGGGTCGTCGTACTTTCAACTTCTTGGTTGGATTCTACCATTAGTCGGAGGGCGGTTGGAAGAATGGAAGTGAGGATGAGGATGATAAGCCAAATTGTTGAGGGTGAATGGTACCATGGTTTGCAGTAGATTTGGAGGGGTGAAAATTCGGTGGAAATTGATAATGGAAAGAAACCGCAAAATTGCAATATTCTGAATGGAAGTTTTGCAGCTTGAATTAGATTCTGGGATTCTTCTGAGAATGGTTTCACTCTCGTGCGTGAGTTTAAGTTCATTTCGGGATTTAGTATAATATTTAAAGAAAATATTTCAAATATTGGGTTGAAGGAGTAGGTAGGAATATGCATGTATGTATGATGTGTCCTGTAAATTGCGAATATTTGTGAAAGTAGCAAAAATATTTACGTAGGTACTAATTAAATTGCTTGTGTAAGACGAGCAATTTCTCAATTTAATAGAAAATAGTAAGTTCGTATATTTAGGTTAATGTGGAGGATCTTAATTGTTACATTTGTAAACCAATTTACTAATTGGTTGGCTTATCATTGGAAATGTCACATTATCACGGTGCACACCCACACACAGATACATGCATACATATTTACTGTATTACATGCTCACGCTCACATGACATAACAATGATTATTGACATGGAATTTTTCGTACATAAATTAATCTAAGTAATGTTCTTACTAAGAACTTCTTAGTACGAATGATTACCAGACGGCGGATATGTATGTATTTACATTATGTAAATTACATATAACTCTTTCATACCAAATCAGATCGTACTAAAACTTCGTGTACCAACATCCCATCTAATGTTAGTAATGTTAGTAATGTACGTATGTACACACATAGGTATGCCTACGTATTTAGTCATCATTACGTACGAATCTCTTATTGTATTACTCACTCCGTCTTTGCTACTCTACTGATCCTGAGTAATAAACTGTTCTCTCTCTCCTCTCTCCTCAAATATGTACATCTCGCCAACGTATATACATACATATATTACATATTTGCATTATGCAAATTGCATACATATTTTAAGGATTTTTCGTACATACATTTTCGAGTGTTTTTCAAAATACACATTTTTTAGTAGATATTTCGAAGTTCCACAATTACATAATTACCCAATTATGAGACAAATGTAAATACTAATGAGACATTTTTTTGTATTAAGAGACGTTTTCCATGTAGGCAACTCGAATATTATTTATGAGACAGTTTACCTATATTTAAGAGTCGCTAAAATTGAATGCCATTCAGAAATGAAGGTTTCCTCAAAATTATGTTTCATATAAATACATATATAGTAGAAAATTTAAGTTGAAAAACATTTTTTATTTGCACATTTTCAGGTTTTTTTAAGTACATATTTAATATGTAATACATACATATTTTGCGGAATTTATATACATACATATCCACCCCCTGATGATTATGTATGTACATGTATAAATACATTTGTATAAGTACTATGTACACATGACAAAGTAATTCTTTATTTCTGTAAAACTTACAATTGCACCACATAATTTATCGCACATGCCAAAAAGAACATCACTATTATGCCAAGAGTAAGTACGGATCCGATCACAATTTCAAAAATCCTTCCACTCTGGCCCTCCTTCATGACTGCGGGTGCATCTTGGTATAATAAGCTTTCATCATAATAAATTATAAATGAATAATTTAAAAATTTTGATTTATTTGCATTTGGCGCATCTGGCATTGTAACCCATAAAAAAGTAACAGTAACCCGACCTGTGTTAGAGGCACCTTTCTGACAAGGGACACTCACGACCTGTCGTTTGAGTCCAGGGTACCCACTATGTTTTTTAGAATCTACTAGGACCCAAGATGAAGGATTCATTCATATTTCCGTGTAAAACTCATATTTGGCGCCATGGCGTAGCGCCAAATTCGCCAAATTTGATGGTTTTTCATTTTAAAACCGCCAGAACTTTTGAAATCCTGGACGGATTTTCAAAATTTTTGGCAAAAATCATGACAAGGAGTTCAACTTTCGTATTTTATGAATTTTTTTCCAAAATTATCGCTTTTAACTTTTCGCAAAATTTCGAAATTTCGGGTTCGTCGAAAAAATGCTAAAAATATCTCAAAAATTAAAATTTTTTTATTTTTATTTTTTTCTTTAAAATTTGGACTTTTCTGATCATTTTAAGCATAAAATTTTAAAAATCCGACATAAACTGCAAAAGTTATGGGGGTTTGAAGTTGGTCGAAAATGCAAATTTTTAAGTTTAGCGCCACGCCATTGGGCCAAATATGAGTTTTACACGGAAATATGAATCCTTCATCAGGGGTCCTAGTAGGTTCTAAAAAACATAGTGGGTACCCTGGACTCAAACGACAGGTCGTGAGTGTCCCTTGTGAGTAAAGTTTACACATAATAGGGTAAAACAAATTACCTCTTTTTGGGTTGATCGCCAACTCAACGTGAACTAAAGTTGGTTGCCCCTTTGCCCTTCTGGGCTCGTTAACCCTGTACAGCGTCGTCGACCTTTTTACGACTGTACGGATTGACTATTACTCGGTACGGGTTTGTTGGTTTTAAGTGTGTAGTAAACCAGGGAGGGTTTATACCAGATGGACATACGCTGGGGACATCAAATAACCTTGGGGGCATTGTCGGTCTGCCCCCACGCTTCCGCAGCCCCTGGCTGGCGATCTCGTCTTCGCTCAATTCCCACAAATTGTAAATGACCTCCTTCACTTCGTCATAACCCCCTTTGCTTTCACCACCCGCGTCAATAAATACCGCACCGATTACAGCCTCCAAGAACCGGTCGTATCGTGAAAATTCCCGAACACTTTGGTTCATCTTGACAAATTTGTGTAGCTCGAGTTGATCCGAAATTTCTTCTTGTTTTTTTCCTCTGACCAAACTGATCCTCCGCATTGTCAGGGTGCCTTCATCTGCGTCATGATATTTGCAAAAAGGTAGTTCGTTATGACAAAATTGATTACCGAGTCACCCAAATGTTCTAATCGTTGATAAGTCTTTATATTTGGGTCGTCCACGCGGCAGCTGTCATGAGTTAGAGCCTCCACTAGAATATCTTCGTTTTGGAAATGGTATCCGATACGTTTTTGTAGGGTGCGGCGACTGGATGAACCTTTCGAATGAATTATATTAAATAAATATTATGTATGTATGTATTCAATGTATTGATCGGTGGCTAAGCGAACGTTCATAAAGTACTGCATTTTATGAACGTTCCTTAAATATAAAATTGGGAAAGTTGTAAAATAGTTGTTAAATACATAAACGTGCATATGTACTTACTTGAACTCATTGTGTGAATTGGTCAAAGTTGACGTAGATTAGGAAGGGTGCAAATTGTACACAATTCAAATAATATTCCACTTCCGGTTTGATGGAAGTAAGATTACAAAATTGGGTAAAAGGACTTAT